AAAATTAAAAAATACGTTAATTAATATTTAAAATATACGGAAAATTAAATTAATTAATTAAGTTTTTAAAAAAATTATTATTTATAAATTTTTTAATAATTTTATATTATATAATTACATGGAATTTTATTATTAAATTATTAAAAATATAAATAAAAATAAGTTTATAAATAATAAAAAATTATAAATATTTTAATATATTTTTTATAATAATTTATAAATTTAATAAAAAACTTATTTTTATATTAAATAACGTTAATTATATAACTTAATAATAAATTAAATAATTATTTCATATAATATTACTTTATAATTAAAAAATATTAATAAAAATAATATCGGATAAAAACTTAAAATTTATATTTAAAATTTAATAATATATTTTTATATAAATAAATATTAAACTTATAATAAACACGTTTTATTACTTTTAAATAAATAAATAATTTAAAAAATAAAATTAAAAAATAAAGTTAATAATTCGTTATTATTAAATAATTTTTAAAATATTATAAATTAAAATTATTTTAATATTTTAATATAACATTAATAACGTATATTTTTTAATATTAAAAAAAAGTTTTAATAAAATTATATTAAATTTTAAACTAAAATTAATTATATTTATATTAAATATATTAATAAATGTCCTTAATTTTAAAATAATACGAAAATAATTTTAAAAAAAAAAAAACTTTAAATTTTATTATAATAAATGTTAAAATATAATATAATAAAACTTATAAAACCGTAAAGTTTAAAGTCGGCGAAATTATATACTTACACTTATATTACGGTTATAAGTTATTAAAGAATTAATTTAAAAAATATAAAATATAAAAAATAAAATTATTATTTATAATAAAAAAAGTTAAAAATTTAATATATAAAATTAATATATTTTTATTATAACGTATATATAAAATTATAAATATATTATAATTATATAAAATATTATAAAACTTAAATTTTTATAATAAAAAATTATTAACATTTAAACGTGTTATAATATAAAAAAATATAAATAAATAAATATTATATAAAATTAAAAAATTTATAAACTATTAAATTAATAATTAAAAAAAAATAAAAATCTTTAAAATATTTAATATATTAAAAAAGATATATTAATATATATAATAAATAATATTAAAAAGAAATTTTAATAAAAAACGTAATAAAATTTATCGATTAATATAATTAATATTACCCGTTATTATTAAAAAAATTAAAAGTTTTAATATTATAATTAATAATTATAATATCGAATAAAACTTAAATATTATTACGATTAATAAATATAATATTATATAATATAAAAGATTTAATATTATTAAACTTAAAGTTATTAACGTTTAAAATATTTTTTCGAAATAATATTAAAATTATTTTTATATTTTTAAACGTTACATTATTAAAAATTATATTTAATTTTTTATTTCCTTTAAAAAAATATCGTATTTAAATTATATTTTTAATAAAAACTTAATTAAAATGTTAATTAAATTTAAAAAACTTATTAACGTAATTATAAAAACATAATTTCTTTTTATTAAAAACCGGGGAAATTAATAAAATACATTTATATTTTAATTTAATTACATGGTTATATATTTAAATTATATTAATATAATAAATAATTTTTTCTTCGAAAACTTTTAATTAATTTAAACTTAAAATAATTAATTATTATTTATAATATTATAAAAAGATTTTATTAATAAAATAAAATAAATAAGCTTTAATATTTTAAAACCTTAAGTTTTCTTTTATTAAAATTCTTTTATTATTTTAAACCTTAATAAATAATTTAATTTAATTTTTAAAAATCGAATTTATTCGATTCCTTATAATATTTAATTTTAAATTTAAGTAAAAATAATTAATTTTATTATAAATTTATTTTTTAAAATAAAAATAATTTTTAAAAACTTAATATATATAAAACTTTAAATTTAAGTTTAAATTTTAATTATATTTTAAAATTTAAATTTTAAAAAATATTATTTTTTTTAAATTAAATAATGTTTAACTTTAAATTATTAAAATAACTTTTAAATTATTTTTACGATTTTTATTTAAAGCTTTAAAAAATTTTAAAAAAAATGGTTTAAAAGTTTTAATTTTTAATTTTTTTATTAATAATTAATTAAAGTTTTAATTAAAATTAATTAAACTTAATTAATTAATAATTAAATTTTAACTTTAATTTTTATAATAAAAAATTTATATTAATAATTTATAAAAATTATAAATTATAATAAAAAATATAATATTATAACTTTTAATTATATATAATATAATATATATAAATTATAAATTAAATATTATAATATATTTAAATATAAAAATCTTATATAATTTATTATATAATTAATAAATATATTATTTAATATAATATTATAAATATTTATTTAATATTTATTTATTTATTTATTTTTTATTTCGAATATTCGTAAAAAACGTTCGATATTATTACGGAATAAATTTTCGTATATATTTAATTAATATAAATTTATTAATTATCCGCATATATTACGGTTATAATCGGTACGAAGCTTTTTTATTAAGCTTATTTTATTTAAAATAATAAAAAGAAAAACTTTATAATAATTAACATAAAAAACCTTTATATTTTTTATATAATAATTTATTTTATTTTTATTACATTTCGGTTAAAACTTTAATTTATAAATAATAAAAACTATATTTTATTATATAATTACCCGGAAAAAAAGTAAAATTAATTTTTAATTTATTAAAAATATAATAATATATTTTTAAATATACCGGTTTTTAAGTAATAATTATAAATTTTAATAATTATTTTAATAAATTTATTTTATTGTTAATAAATATTTAAAAAAAATAAATATAAAATAAATAATATATTTTCCGTTATTATTAAAATAATTTATTAAAAATAAAATAAAACTTTTTTATTATTTTTTTTAAAAATAAAAATAACTTATTTTTTAATTATTATTTATTTATTAATAATAATTTTAATAATTTTTTAAACTTTTAAACTTTTAAAATATTTAATTTTAAAAAAAATAAATTAAACGGAAATATATTAACGTTACTTTTTTAAATTATAAAATAATAAAGTCCGGATTTTTATTAAAAATAAAATTTATAATAATTAAAAAATTTAAACTTTTTCCTTTAAATTAAAATAAATAATTAATTAATTAAAAACGAATTAAACGTTAAATTATTATTTATTTAATATAATATTATAAATATTTATTTAATAAATATAATAATATTATAATTTAATAAAATATTAATTAAATTTAATATTTTAAATATTAAAATATTAATATTAAAATTATAATATTAATATTAAAATTATAATATTAATATTAAAATTATAATATTAAACGTAATTAATTACACGTGTTATAAATTTTTTAATATTAAATTCGTTTAAATTATATTTTATTTATTATAAATTAAAATAATATTTATTATTATAAATTTTTTTAAAAATTTATTAAACGTAATTATTTAATATAATTAATTTTTTAATTTTATTTAATAATTTTATATATAATAAATTATTATTTAATATATATTTAAAATATTTAACCGATTAATTTTTATTATAAAATTTAAAAGTTTATAAATTAAAAAAATTTTTATAAAAAAAAAATTTAATTTTTTTTAAAAATTTATAATAAAATTATTATATAATAAATAATAAAAATAATAATTATATAAAAAACACGTGTATTATATACGAAAAATTAAATAAAATATTAAAATTAACGTTTAAAAATTTTTTTTTTAAAATTTAAAATTTTAATTTTAATTAATTATAAATATATTATTTATTATTTAATTTTATAAATTTAATTTTTATAATAAAAATAATAAAAAAATTAATAATAAAAAAATAAAATTTATAATTATATTATAAAATAATAATTAAAAATTATAATAATTATTATAATATTATATTAAATATAAAATAATATAATTAAATAAATAAATTTAAAAAAAATAAATATAAATATTTATAAAATAATATTTTAAAAATATAATTTTAAAATAAAAAAATCATTATTAAGCTTTAAATTAAACATTAACTTTTAAAATTTTCAACGATTTTTATAATGTAATTAATTAAAAACTGGTGTGGCTGGGAAGGTACAACCAAAAGCGGAGCTCTAGTTTAAGCTCGTTGAAATAAAAAATAAGTGCCTCCTGTTTTTAAAGTACTGTGACGGTCCGCACCTCCTCAGTGTGGCTTGACTCATGGGCGTGGCTTAGCCCTTGTGGGGTTTGCACTTTCAATGGCTAGTGTGGATAGCCCGTGCGCCCTACCCAAAGCTATCTTAGTTCCTGTTGTGCCACACACCTTCTTGTAGATCCTTTCCTCCTTAAGCTTAGATAGTCTGGCAACCAATCTGAAACGCTTTGAGCTAAGTCTCGCGACAAGGACAAAGAGCCTGCGGGTGGAAGCTATCACCTGCCAATTGAGCCAAACAACCACCAAAAGATGAGAATCGCAAGTCGAACAGCCTCGCGATATTACAGGTGATAAGGCTGATCCGTCACACTTATTGCTAAGCCGTCGTTAAACTTTCGTTAAACCTTCGTTCAGCCCTTGTTAAGCCCTCATCTCTAATTAGAATCAATTATTCTATACCTTTGTTATACTCATTCAAAACCGCTTTTAAAGCTTTATTTAATGGCATACTCAATTCACTATGGGTCGTGTTCTTTAAGTCGCTATTCTAGTTAAAGTCAATTGTAGAAACGTTTTGAAGCTTTGGCGGTTTAAGTCAAATGGCCGGCCATCAAATAACCCGTTATCCCAGTACCAAGTATCGCAACAAAATTAAATCGGTATATATTAGATAGGAGGTAATTTTGCAAATTAATTATGATGCTGCTAACATACGTGTGTACATGTGGTGTCTAACTTTCAATGTTCGTTTCAAATTTCCAACTCCCTCTTGAGGTACCAAAAAGATCCGCCGGCATCTGAACTAAGAACCATCGCTGTTCCTCGATGTTCTCCCATTGGCCAAAAAACTCTTAGGAACTGTCTTGGAATCGTTCAGTGTGTCTTTCGACGATTTAAGGTGTAGCTCCTCTTGACTTTCGTTATGCCTTGACCGATCCTCCTTTGACGATCCCCATATGCTGCTTCTCTTCACGGTGATGTCCGTTGTGCAGATGATTGTGTTATTCATCTTTAATTGGTCCTCGTGGCGGCTGTTTTGTGCTTCCTCGTCCTGAGCGAATGTTGTCAAGTCGAAACCTCCACTATAACCACGGCTTCCTTTATTGCCTTTCCCGTACCTACCCCCGAACCTTCCCACACCGGAGCTACCAAATGTCTTTGGTACATTGTCTGAATGGGCAATTCCTGCTGTCGAACTCCACATGCCGAGACCTTGCGCGGCGATTCGATACAGCGGTCGGAGTGTTGCTAAACTACCCGCTGTGATCGCTAAGCCTTGTTCTGTCGTTGACCAGACGGCAATGTAGACAGTAGCCCCTTTCCCCCCGAGTTAGCAAAGGGTCGCCTAGGGAAAGGGAAAAAGGGGGGATAATATGCTGTACTTACATAAGAAGTCTGGATCCTTAAAGTCCTTGATATAAGCCAAACGAACAACGACAGCGGAACTAGCTCTGAAAATAACCACATTAGTTTGTAAATTGAAGGTATATCCTTACCGCACTTACACGCAGCCCATACTTAGAATCGGAATTAGGGCAATCTTGGTTCTCTTGTCCATCTGAAGGCCCCAAATTAAGACAATTGGAAGAGTAGCAAAAGTGAAGTCGCATATGACGTTGAGGGCACTGTAGAGGTAGGTAAGGGCGGCAATTATATTCACGTCGATGCAGGATCCTTGGGTAATACCGCCAAACCTGAGCCAGAAATAGGGGATTGGGTTGCACTGTAAAAGAGTGACGAAAAAGAAGACCAGGCCTGTGAGGACCGTGAGTAAGAGGTTAACGTAGATAATGTAATGATGGATTCGCTGGACGGCAATTCGTAAGAGGAAAAGACCGATCGAGATCTTGGAAGCAATCATGGTAAGGCAATACCAAATGTAGCAGAGCCACCAATACTTGACAACGTTTAGCTAAAAGAGTCCAATAGTACTGATAGGAGGCGTTGGGCTAGTCATACCATCATGGCCTTCTCAATGTCTGGAGTTTCCAGATCCGCGAAATGACGCCCTGTCCCATAATGGATACCAGTAATCGCACAGGTGCAGAACAAGATGAACGAGACCTATTTCGTTCAGGATTAAAAACTTCCGTAACATTCACTGGCTAAAGAGACGCACCGTTGCCGCCATCATCGTCCAGTCGTCAGCCCCAAAGGCTTTGACTATGCCTAGACGTGTATAGCATCTTAGAGAGATGGCTATCACCGTAGTCGTCAACAAGGCGATACACACTCTCATCAACTCCGGGCCTCGGTTTTCGACGGTGGCCATGGTGATGCACTGGGCCTGATTCCGGGCTTCGGTTGACGGACACACGGGATGGTAGGAGGGAATGGAAAGCCCGCGACAAGATGTGTATGGTAGGCGCAGCACTTAGGAGAGCATATGATCCATCAAGAAAGGAACGACAGCGACAACCCAACCCGACAAGATACCATATCCAGAAAATTAAGCAATGCAACAACCAATATAAAACACCATACCCCCTATGTTAAGACGGAGAGAGTCGACTATTATGTTCAAGAAAGCCGGGCCGACAGAGTATGTCCCTGCCCATTCTCGAATACTACTACTCCACTCGGTTCCACTTAGGAAACCCCTGAATACTCTAACAGTACTATGTAGATATGTATGTATGCAGTAGGACGACAGAAGATATAGATCTCCGGGTTGGCAAGATCTAGCGTGGTGCCAAGATCGGGCCTGGCTCTGTACCGCTGCCCTAGGTAGATTATTTACGAAGAGATACTTGCGTAAGCACCCCTTCCAACTGAATAGATATTCGTTCGGCCATTGGGTATGGATTGCACGTTCTCAAGTTATCTCCTTGAAGTTATACAAACCTTGGTATATACATCGTAGAATAAGCTATTTGCCCCGTAGGCGGCGTCGAGCAGATGAAGAAATCCACTTGCGTGCTGGTTCTAGGGCTATACTAGTTCACGTTCTAGCATTGGAAAAGACGTTAGTCCCGAGCGATCGGCACCCGGTACTTGACGAGATCTGGTAAAGTATAAGAATCTTATGGTACGCTAGTATTCTTCATTCAGGAGACTCGTGTCTGAGAGCGTGGGACTAATGCCTTCTATAAAACCCGTCGCTTGGGGATTTTCCCGATTGGCAGTGCGGTGAGGCGTCGTAACGACTGCGTTCATCATACCCTGTCGAGTAAGATTGGTGGCGCTGTTTTCGGGGGAGACTTACCCATTGAAGCTACCACTAGAGCCCAGACCTCCCCTTCGGTAATTCGTTGCCCTAGATATCTGGGCCGATTTTCAGTAATCGGCGAATGTCAGGCAGTCAAAGCTGTTCGCGTCCCCATGAGTCGGCTCAGTGGGTCGAGCCTTGCATGGTTCATCACATCATGTGTCTCGTGCTTTTGGCCCGGCTGTCCGGGTAGACAGGTCTAACTTTCGAACATAGAAAAACGTTGTACGTAAATCTTTTTCCCCCCCCAAACAAAACGGGCGACGCTAAATCTCCATCAAGCTACAATTCCGTGTCGGCATCCAATCGAATATAGGAGAATATTCATACGAACACCCTGTAATTACACACATATATACACTGATCAAAACATCTCGGCATCGGCAATTGAATGGTTTATGGAATTAAGTTGCGTCCATCCACTTCCCGATTTTCTATGCTACAATCCATCCCCTACACTCATTTCCACATGCATTGGGAAGATCTCGATGATATGACCCCACCGCGACCACCCCATGAAATTGAATATACGGTAGTAAGTGAATAGATTGGAGCTATTGTTTTTTGAGCTTGGATTGATTTGATAAAAGTGTACGAAGATAAATATTATTTGGGTAGTTAAAATAGCTTCTACCTTTTTCCTTTCGGGTTGACTTTTATATAGCCCGTTGGGTGGCATAAAACTGCGACTCCACTAGAATTCGTAACTATAATACTGCGAATAATCCCTAGGGTCTATTGGCACCTTTAAAATCTTGATTCTGGTTGGTTAAATTCATTGTGCAATCGCCTTAAGAGCCTCAACGCTCACGGTGTTTCTCCACCAAACGATTATCACTAGCCGTTTTATGGAAAATGTAGCGTTATCGAATAATGATGTTTATATCGTTTTAACGTTTAAACATTTCGCGAACCGCGTAGTTGTCTTCTATCGTAATTCTTTACAATCTTCCTTTCTTAATTACTAAGCGAACTAAAGTGTAACACTGCTAGGAAAGTGCTTGCTGACTTATCACGGCCGTTTTCCGAACCGCTTACCATTTTAGGACTTTTCTCCACCTCCCTCTTCCGCTTTGGGGTGGGTCGAGGAACGGCGGACGATAGTACCGGTGCCGGGATCACGCGACTTGGCTAAGGCCGATGACGTTCGCGACTTCTCTCCTAAGACGCATAGCCAGTACATACTGATCTACTGTCAATCGGTAAGGGGGCGCATTTCGATTGGTGAAACCTATTCTCGCTTAGGGAACACGGTATGAATACAGGAAGAGCCCTTTTTACTTACTATGCTCTAGGACCAGCCGCCAACAGACCTCCCACTGACTTCCATGGGCCAAACTTCGATCTCACCAGGCCTCTGACGGTATTAATCCAGCGGCTGTTGTTAAAAACAGCAACATGCTGTATGCTACTACCTCAGTAAGTTGGACAGTGCCATTCCGGTTAGAATAATTTACGGTTGCAGACGCGATCGAGGTACGCATAGAAGCCGGAAGGAATGGAAAAAGGATGTTATTATAGGTATCGGTCTTGAGCGTATCGGTATGCTCTGAAAGGATCAACGCGTGGCAGGGGCATGTGAAGCCAAAGTTTCACCTATGATATCGCATGGTCCCATGACTGCTCTACTGGACTCACCGGCTTCTCGAACTACTCCTTTGAGTACTACTCGCCCGCTCTAATAAGATCAGCAGCCCTCTCAGCAACCGCATAGACAGAACTTTGAATATTTCCTCTCGGAATCAGCGGAAAGATACCGGCATCGACGATTCTCAGGCCGTCCACCCCGTACACTCTCAGTTTCGAGTCCACCACACCGCCCGACTCTCGGGGCAACATGGCCGTAGTACCACAAACATGGTAATGCGGCGTGTACCCGTTCTTAACCGCCTCCTTGGCCTGGTCTAACGTCTCGACTCTCCGTCCGCCATTATGTAGGCGTCGTCCCCCTTCCTTGAAGAGCTCTCGTAGCGGCGAGGTGTCACGTATCTTCTCGAGAAGCAACACATGCCGGGCATGCAATTCTAGGTCGAGCGGGTGAGACATGGCACGCGGGTCGACGACTGGTGACGAGCGCGGGTCTGCTGATTGTATATGAACCGATCCGCGGCTAAAAGGATGGTTCAGAACCGCCACGATAGACGCGTAGAAGCCTTCGGTGCCAAGGCCAAAGATCTGCGAAGGGGAGTCCCCGGGAAAAGGATTGAGCTGGAATGGTGCGAGCGTAAACTGCGCCGAGCACTCGCCAGGGGTACAAATTTGTTCACGGAGGACCCTGGGCTCTACATCTGCCTGGCCAAGCTCGGAAAGCAGCTGGCTGACGGAGACTGGTGTGAGATCTTGGTCTTGGAGTGGAAAAAAGGCCGATGCGAGCGCGTTGACGGATAAGGGGCCTGCCTTGGTCTCCTGATAAGCACTCATCACCGCTCCGACCACGCTCGGGTCGCGCATCTGATCGCCCGACGACGTCGGATCGGCCACTTCCCAAGAAAATGGTACGAAACCGTGGTCCTGGAGATTCTCGCCTATATTGGGATTGTTTAGAAGACAGTTAATCCCGTGTTTTGCAAGTACATCCTTATTACCGATTCCCGAAAGCTCCAACAGTTGAGGCGACTTTACTGCGCCAGCAGCTAGAATAACTTCACGCGTGGCAGTGACCTGTCGAGTCTGGCCGTCTTTCGTGACGAACGTAGCACCAGTAGCTCGGGGTTTATTGGTATTGTCGGTTTGTTGGGAAAACAATATCTTCTCGACGAACGCCTCCGTGACGACGCGAAGGTTTGGTCGCTGGGCAACCTTGTCAGAAAAGTACGTGTTCCCAGCGTGGCTCCTCTCCCTAGTCGTTGGGTGAAGCGCGGCGGCATTGTTGAAGGCCCCAATGGACGTGCCAGCGATAGGGTCGCCGTCGATAGGCTTGCATAGAGCAGACCAGGCCCGCGGCCAGGCTTGAGCAAAGGGAGGAAAACCTTCCTCGCTACCGTACGAGACCTGGATAGGACCGTCTGTGCCGTGAACGCCGCTCAAGTAATCTAACATGAACTCCTTTTTGAGCTTCGGTTGGGGTTCGGTAAATGTGTGGAATTTGCGAAAATAACTTTCCATGATTTCCCAACCCCAGCCCCGGTTTCCCAGTTTATCCCATGTGTCGAAACCTGATTTAGATGGATAGATTACCATTCCGAGATTGATGCTTCAACCCGAATCGAATTAGCTAGCACTTTGACGGTGCTGGTGTGCAATTGTATACTTACGCCGAAGATCCACCTAGAGTTTTCCCCAGAGGCTGTGCCAGCCTACGGCTGTTAAGCCCGACCTGTCAGCCCCTGCATGTTAGATATGGATTCGAAGATTAAGGCGCAGAAAATATTGTACATACTTGAGGCTCTGTAGTGATGCACCAGTCATAGTCCGGGTCAAAATAAAGAGAAGCAGCAAGGCCTTGAATAGATACCTTCGGGTCTGTTAGGCGGTTCGCGCCGGCCTCGAGGACCAGGACACGGACATCCTTATCTTCAGACAGCCTCGAAGCGACCACAAGTCCCGATGTTCCACCTCCAACAACAACGTAGTCATATTCTGCGCCTAAGCCAGTAGTCGAGGCGGTGTCAATGGTAGCCATAATCTAGAAATACAGGAGCCGCCGATAGCAGGAAATGGCAGATCGAGAGAGAGAGAGAGAGAGAGAGGGCAAGGCTAACGAAGAGAGGAGGACAACGGGTGGAGGGATGAGGAAAAGATATGATAAGTCGTGATGTTGCACAAGACGGGGTGGTATGTTGTATAAGAATCGTAAAGCAGACCCTCACTTGCAGCTAACAACAGAAATACCCCCACTCTAGCTTGCTGAGACTCCTTCGGCCCGGGAAGGGTAATCTTGCGGTAGCGTAAGGGAGAGTCGGAAGTTGGGCGAATCAGCCTCATGGTGGTATGATAATATGCGTCTACGCCGCAATACTTTCCTCACTACCCCTGAAATAATGCAACCCTGAGAATCATTTCGTCTATGCACAACACAGTCAGAATTGCACCTCATTATTTGTCTACCTCGGTTTTGTGATTAAATGCTTCCAAAGTTTTGGTTTGGAAGTTGAAGATCTTTATAGGTAATAGGTATTAAGATGACACTTAAAGTTATGGTGACCCGGACATACTACATGCAAGTTTTACCATACTGTATCCCACGCGTAACCCTCAATGGACCAGTACCAATCTCTGCATGGTCCTGGAATGACATCTCACCCTTGAGTCTCTCAACCCTTGAAAAGAAAATTCAGATCAGGGCTCTAACGATATAAAGCCAGCACTTAGGGCCCTGGTTAAACCCCGAAAAAAAAAAGGTGATTCCATTTGCCTTCTTGTCTCGCCGATAGGACTGGCCCCTTTCATCTACATGATTGCGTTCGAGGATTTGAGGGACATTTTTCTTTCTTACTATTCCAAAATTTGATCTGCTATTTCAAACAGACCAAAATGGCGTACTACCATCCAGACACGCCGGAAACCGGCGGTCCCTTAGCTGTATCCACGCTATTCGGCATCATTGCCTTGCTTTCTTGCGTGGCGCGGGTATATTCTGTAAGGCAAAGGAGCGAGAAGTTCCACCTGCAAGAATTGTATCTCTTTATTGCTTTGGTAAGTTGGTAGCTCTGTGGTGCCTATTAGCGGAACATGTCTCTCACATTTCTCTTAAGTTATTGACATTCACATCACTTGGCCTTCAGTGGGCTTGTAAGTCACTCCCCCCCCGGCTAGGATGCTGGAACCTCACAGTAGTCATGACTGATGGTGTGATAGGCGTTGTACGAGGTGGTACCGGCAGACACATGGAAGATGTGGACATGTTGGATGCAGTCCTCGCTCTTAAGGTAGGCAGTGCTCTGTAAATCAGTTTAACCCCCTTTCCCCTTCCTCCGCCTAGCTAATACTAAACTTGTTTTCTCCGTCAGCTTATTATTCCCTTCGAGGCACTATATGGCGTCACCCTCATGTTCGCTAAATGGTCTATCTTACTATTTTACCAGCGCGTGTTCGGGGTGAGCAGATCCTCGGTTCGGTGGTTCGCGCGTGCAACGTATGTAACATTTGGTTCCTTTCCCTCCTTTTGGATACTCTTGGATATGAGATTTCTCAATCTAGCTAATTAGGGAACTTATACTTGCGAGAAATGCTAGACTCCTAGTATTCTTCCCTAAGAAAGAAGTTACTAACTCCTAATGCGTTGAAGCATGGTCATTGTATTCCTATGGATGGTTTCGGTGGTTCTCGAGACATTTCTCCTCTGTCGACCGCTCGCATATAACTGGGATACGTCCATCAAGGGTAGCTGTGGCGACCGCAACACGGTTTATGTCGTTGCAGGAGCGACAAACATGGTGACGGACTTCATGGTCTTGCTGATACCCGTTCCGACAATCTGGAAGTTGAGCCTACCAATATCCCAACGTATCGCGCTTACGGCCACGTTCGGCCTGGGTCTTTTGTTAGTATTTCCCGTCCTGTTCTGTTGATACCCATCAAGGAGGTGGTCATAGGGGTTCGTGGGAAATAAGACTGACAGTCCGCAGTATCACAGCAATTTCTATAATCCGCTTGAAGTCTCTCATGGACATATCCTTTACCGACCCGACATGGACATTGCCAATGGGATTAATGTGGACCGTACTCGAACCTGAGCTGGAAATTCTCGTCGCGAACTTCCCATTCATGAGGCCATACCTCTCTAAGATACTTCCAAAGAAATGGTCACTAAACCCATCATCATGGCGGAGCCGCAAGTACGGCAACGAAAATTTCGAACGTCTTCCGGCCGACAAAGGAGTTCCACTACAGACCATTGGTGGCGGCTGGACGGGATCGAACGCGATGGCCGGAGTTGCAAAACCAAGAAACGGTGGGACCCCAGCAAGTGACGGGGCTGAATCAGAGAGAGGGTTGACGAAGGAATCAGACGCAGGCATTCAAGTTCACACTATGTGGTCAGTTAGCAGAGAGTAGGTCGTTCTGGTTACCTGGTAATTGATCTAGAAGAATTGAATTTTGGATTCCTCGGGAAATCCAAAGATAGCAAATACCTGTCATAGCATCCGCATCCACATCCAGCGTCTTGCCGACCAACGGTGGAAGATCATGTGCAATTCTACCGTTTTATGCCGTCAACCGTGTAGAAGACTGGTCGATTCGAAGGAGGCGTCCGGACTCCGATCTAGCTTCTCGCATATGAGATTATATCGGGTAGTTGACGTCCCTAGGTAACTACCCATGTTAAAAATGATTGCCATCTCACAAAATCATCTACTTGCCATGTTACTAGCCGAGGATATTCTTTTCGAAGGAATATCAGGTGCAATTGTATGTAACGACCGCGCAGCAGACACGCTTAGTAGAAACGTAGTTTATATCTAGGAAGGCGTCGTAGCTTCTCGGCAATGCTCTAGGTAGGTACCTATCAAACTACGAACATTGAGGATATTTTCGGAACTCGGCAGGATATACTGGGTGCGTATTACATCTGTAGGTTTGTATCAAATAGCAACTGCCACGTACAGGTAGGTAGTCACTTATTGTTTCCTTAAACCTCTCTAATTTCTTCGCAAACTTAACTAACTCGGCATTGAAGTATCATATCTAGGAAAGGCCGATACAGTTGAATGTATCTTCCAGGAGCGATGCTATCAGTTAGCGATGTACCTACTTCCTACCTCTTATATATATGAAGTAAGTGGATGCTTCCCTCAATTGGAAAGGACGTCACATTAGGCAATGTATCAAGAAGGGCGAGCGGTCGTGGCTGCGGTCTATAATACCCAGTAAGGGGGTATGGGGTCATCCGGGAAGATTCCTCAACCCTAATTCGAACCTTTATTCAGAAAGGGCATAGTTCAACTTCAACTTGAACGCTCGTGGTTTCCTGATTGTACAGTCTCTTCCTGTTCAGGAGAGTTACAGAGCGCACCTTCCTAGGTCTAGAAAGGTGGCTTATTTGGCTCATTTGCTTGTTTATAAACTCGAATCCCTCACCCCGGATTCTTTTCCTTCTCTTCTCTTCTTTTCTTCACCGTTCTGGCACACTTCACAGTTGACAGATTGCTCACGTCCAAAATAATCGCGCTTTTAAAACTGCTGTTTAACGCCTTTGGCTATACCACTGGAATCAGACTCTGATTCCCCATTCTTCACCATCTTCTTTCTCTTCATACGACACTTTCCATACACCTTTCCCCAACCTCCACTGACGACATCCGACACAATGCCGTCTAACTGGGATGATAGATTCACGCACTACGCGGAATCCTTCCTCGGTCTCGGTCCTCTCTGGCTTTGCTTGTTCCTCGTCCTAGTCCCCTATGCCAACGACTACTCCTTCTGCTGGCTGTCCCTCATGGCACCGCAGCAGACCGAATTTGGCTTCAACGAACCCATTTCTCCGGCAAAATGGTACCTTGGACTATGCATGATCCTCGTCTCCGCGGCTCTCAAGGCCAGCTGGTTTGGTGCTTGGTTGCAGGTCTTGATCACAACCAGGCTCTGCGATCGCCATTGGAAGCCTCCCAATGTTAGCAGCCTAATATGTCTTCTTTGTACCGGTCACAACTAACAATCTCGTCTTCAGAACCCTTCCACAAAGAGAATCATGCAGGTGGATAATCTCCGATTGGAAGATCAGATGTTCCGCGGCTCCATACCCTACGAAGAAGGTAAATAAAATCGTGATATGAAATGTATAGATCTTTCAAAGTTGACTTACATGGCCAGGTCGACGACCCCGAAAATGTCCGTTCGGTTGTCCATTCGATCTATCTGATCGGGTGTACCATTGTACGAGATGGAATCGCTGTCTCCCTGTCTACGACCACTACTGCAGGTACATTCGGTCAACAGTCTACCTTCGAACCTTGAAGCCGTACTGCTTCCTACTGTTCATCTTGCCCATCGACGCGGCTTATAGCACTGTTATATCACTATACGCCCTTTGTGACACGTCTACAAGATGGACAGCTCCGTTCGTTGGTTCAATCATCGCCTGTTCGCTGGTGGTCTTCATCATCGTCCTCGACAACTTCATAGACGGCTTCAGACGCCTCGTATTGAGGAACTGCGTAGGACCGGAGCTCGGTGTTCGTTCCCAAATTTCCTTCTAGTCTCTGTCGTATATCTATCAATCGTAGCTTTGTGTGGATGCTAACTCATCATATAGGAGGATAAGTGGACACTCGCCTTCAAGTACCAAGACAACGACGAGTACCGCCTTCGAGTACACGAGTTCGAAGAGAACCCTTGGGATGTAAGTTAAACCTCTGTCATTACTATATCGAAATTATCTGACAAGAAGTACTAGCTCGGCCCGATGGAGAACTTTCGCCAAATATTCGGGCAACGTTGGTGGACGTGGTTCTTTTTCTGGTGGACTTCGGAAACTGTCTTGCGTTACGGAGATTATTCGGATAGAGATCTCCCGTACGCAGACTTCGTCACCAGGGAGTTCACGGATCAGATCATGCCGAGACTGACCGGTGTCGCCATTGACCTACCCGCCCCTTCCCTGGGTGGCGAAGGCCTAAATCGCCGACAGTCAGCTCTCTCGGATATCGAACGCCGCCGTCAACAACGACCGGGTGATACGTCTACAAACCATGTAGGAATGATCACTACTCGGTACGAACACGGCAATATCCGTCGGCTGGTCCAGGGCCACTCAAGCGGCCATGACTTGGGACCCTGATCGACATCCGGTTCTTCGTCGAACGGCGTGTAAGGGCATGTAGATGGAGCGATGGGACCGGGGATAGCCTTGGATTGACTAACCCAAAGCTAAGTCTACCCTCTCTTATTTCTCTCTTCCCCTTTGCTTCTTCTTTTCCCCTCATGTCTTTCTCCCCTTTCCCTTTCCCTTTCCCCTTTCCCCTCATGTCTTTCTCCCCTTTCCCTTTCCCTTTCCCCTTTCCCCTTTCCCCTTTCCCCTTTCCCCTTTCCCCTTTCCCCTTTCCCCCTCCAATTGCTTCCTTCACATTTCCTTTCGTCGTTCGTTTAAATTGGTGTCATTACTGAATATTACGTAGTCGCGTTTCGGCGACTCGCCGAGTCCTCCGCCGCGAGTCGCCCCCCTTTCAAGAACACCGCAGCTGCCCCGGATAACGCACATATGCTTGCCTAGCTGCCGACGTGAGCACCTAATCTTAGTCAAGAACACCGCAGCTGCTCCGGTCAACGCATTGTATGCTCGCCTAGTTGCCGACGCGAACATCAAACTTCGGTCAAGAACACCGCAGCTGCCCCGGATAACGCATATCTACTCGCCTAGCTACCCACGCGAGAACCTAAATTCGATCAAGAGCACCGCAGCTGCCCCGGTTAATGCAGGTTGGAGTTGGTATTGGGTTGTATGGGTTGTATGGGTGGATGGGTTGAGTGGCTTGGATAGGGCTATGTGAATTGGATATGTGGATTGGAGGCATTGGCCACGTGTTTTTTGTTGTTGTTTTCTTTCTCTTTTTAGGAGGGTTCTTGGTTCTTTTTGTATCTTGGTTTGTTTGTTGCCCATTGGGTGGGTGGTGGGAGTCTCACTTCGGTGAGCGGGTTCAACCCCTTTGGGCTTTTTTTTTCTTTTCACTCAATTACGCGTTTTCGTTTTTGCGAAAAAAAAGAACCTTTCATTGGCAATTGATAAGTTTTGTGAAAGTTCAACGTAGTAAGACATGAGATATCCCTTTTAATCTCCCAAGTAATGGTCATTCATGTTGGATTCCATTCTATCCGAATCCTTTGTACGATCTCAACCGCTTGAACAGACTTCAGTTTGCCACCGATTTGACGCCTCGCGACATCCTGGCCTACAGCTCGCACACGCATCCCCGATACAGAACTGAAGGTGCTCGTGTAACCAGGCCTGAACGGGAATCCACTTTGAATCTTAAAAGTAAGTTAGTAGTTTCTTCTTATAGAGAGGGATTTAAGTAAGAATTGTAGGAATGTCTTAGGGATGACTACCCAATCAAAATGATTAGGAAATTATCGTTCCCAAGGCAAGCCAAAGGAGGGGAAAAAAGAAACAGGAGAAAGTGGCTTTACATACGGCACCATTGGTGAACAGTTAGTTTCCTAACATCTCCGAGACTGGGCCAACCATTGTTATGGTTTGCGTTGATACAGTCTTGATAGCATTGGGGAAGATCCTGGAAAGGGACAGGGTCATTTCGGTGGTATCTGCTAGTAGTCGATGTAAGATTCATATTTTCTGGACTATAAAGGTGAAAGTCCCCAAGGATATCTTCGTCTGCTTGGTTTGGGATCTCTCTAGGAATGGCATTGTCCGGTTGTGTTGGTATAGGAGCTCCGATGATGCTGCCTGCAAAGGCTAGCCCCGTAGACAGTGTAGCCAAGAGACGCATGGCTATTTTTCTTCTGCCTGATTTAGGTTGTTCTTTTCGAGTTGGTATTCTCGGGTATGCTTTTGTCAATCTTATTGGTATTATGCAGTAGTGGCTGGGGGGAAGTTGCTAGGAGTAGCGTCTGAGTATTGTTTTGTTCTTGGAGGAAAGAGAAGATGTGCCGGTTGTAAGATGAGGGAATGGATGTGCTTTATATACCGGGACTTCTGGGGAGATGATGGGGTTGAATCATATCTCAGTGTCAATTATCGGAGATAAGTTGGAATAGACGTAGATTCTAAGGGTGAAACCTTAATCTGAGATTAGATTTATTGTAGGGTGTATTGCCATGAAGGCAAATTTCATTATAAGTCTATTATAAAAATAATTGCCACATACCTACCTAGGTAGATAGTAATACTTCACTTGACAGTATCATGCTGACTTAAATGGTGCATGGTTTGTTAACAAAAACTCTGGATTAAAAAAGGTTAAGTTCATCTATAATTTACACGCCACCAAACAAACATTAACGCCTATCAAGGGACCTAGATGATGTTGAATAGGTAGTGTACGAATTTTAACTAACACATGTCCCTGAGAAAGTGGATGATATTTATACCTTCACCTAATCACGTGCCATTTGGAGGATATCCATGGAATCACTGAATCACTTACCTCTCAAGTACACTCATGCTTTTTCTGAACTAAAGATAAAGACTAGACTAATTACCTACTTTCCTAGGGATATCATCTCAAGAGCATCTCACGTAAACAACATATGCTGCTAGGTCTAAGATAGATTCACAAACCAACCGCGCTTTTAATAGAGCAAGGCTTGTTCTTCTTACAATAGATCAGTTTCTCTTAATCAACTTTCTCCATTGGTTTGCCACAGCGCTCTAAATCGAGTCATGAATCGAGGCGTACGGGGTCTATAAACTAATCTTTCATGCGAAGCTAGGTCAATGTCGTCAGAAGTCTAACTCTTACTACCTAATTAAGTATTCACGTATATATGACTCCAGAATAGCTAAAATGCTAATCCATGGCACGATTTATTTGTGCTTCATACACTCATATTATGGAATAGGGGCATAGTCCTCGAACCCGTGAACTAGGCCATCACGATCCCGTCTCTTCACCCCGCTAGACAGGGCAACGCCATCCTTCCCCGGTTTCAACCCTGCGATAGCCTTTGCGACCTTCACATAATCTCCAAGGAATGGGTGGGCACGGGCATCCCTTCCGCGAATCACACCGTGGCCTAGCGTAACCGCCCAGATACCGCCGAATTTAAGGGCATGGGCTTCAGTGTTGCCATCTGGCTCGAGAAGAATCGAGTAGATGGGCCCTGAGTAGAGCAAGAGCTGAGCCTGTCCTGACGCAAGCACAAGGTTGGCTGGGAAATTCCATTGAACAGCTGTTCCTTCATTGTCGAGTCGGATTGGGTGCCACGGCGTGATGACTAGATCTCCAACCCTACACATGGAAACTTCGTGAACCTCCGTCTTTAAAACAGCTGCGACGGACCTGCTGCCGACTGGCGTGCGTACAGATGAGCCCTGCCGTAGCTTGCGAACAAGTGATTGTAGGCCGTTAGCGAGCGTCACCCTGCTCGTACCAGTGAAGCAGGGTCCACTCCGGGTATTCAACCGCGACATAGAAATACGAGCGGTGGTAGCAACGCTGGGACAGGACTGCTTAGGTGGGGGAATGGTATCGAAGGATCGATCGAGGTTATCTCGGCATTTGACGAAAAAGGGGTTCTGGTTGTACATCAACGGGCCAGGGTCCTTAAACGAATTGCATCTATCAACCAATGTGGTTAGAATATAGGTGTACCTAACTAGCTCTTAAATGGGTTGGGCGGGATGCTAGATCTCTATCCAACGACAAGACTTACAGTTGCTTCGCGTGTGCGTTCCATAGGCTGAAGAAGTAATGACAACCCCATCGGCGAAAATAGCTTTCGTTTGACAGAGCCAGAGATACCTGGCCAGACGGTAGGCTGCCTACGAGATCTTCCATCAGAGACCTGTTGTACTCGTCATCGTAGAGCCTAGCCGGTATGTTGTCTAGCAGGTGCCGGAAACCTGGCGCTTGGCGCCTCACATTAATCTCCCTGCGAGTCTCGTATTCGCCGTCATTTTGAAGAGGGAAGAAGGAGGAAAGAAAGTTGCATATCATCGATCTACTCCGGTGGTAGGCGACTTCGGCCTCGGGAAGATCAGAGGCTTCTAGTACATCCTTCATTCCGAAGCTGCACAACTCTACGGCTCTCATCTGAGAGAACCTGAGCATGGCGTTGATAGTAGTACTTGTAGCGGGATCGAATATGGCTCTATGACCCTGACTGTCGATGTTCTCGAGGTATATATCCCTAGACTGGCCATATTGCAAATTTCCAAGACGCACAGTAAGTTTCCTGTGGCCTCCTACGTCTTGTGCCTGATGGTCTATGGTTTTACCAGCCGTCGTTCTTAGACGAATACTAGCTGGCATTGTTACTTGAAGCGAACATTTCGTGGCGTACGTCGTTTGAAGATGGGCGATCGCGTGGACGAATACTGTTCCCTATATTGGATTAGCTATTTAACTTCGGATAGGTCACTGTAGCTCTCGTACTATCATGCCAGCATCGGGGATGAAAGCATAGTTGCCGCCCCCGATCTCCGCAATAGACTTTAAAAGTCCTGATTTAATGTCATAGCCAAAGCCAAACGTATGAATCGTCGCAGGGAGATCTTTCCAGATGCTACGTATCTTTGGGACATACCCTTGGGCAGGACATCTGCGAACCATGTCAGCGAGTTTCCTTTCCAGGTTGCTTAGGCAGGGTAGGTGGGCATTGTTGATACAAGTAATTAGGCAGGCCGTCTGTTAGTACCATAACCGCGGGTGCTCGCCCCGTGTCTTCCTCTCCCTCGAAAAGGCCAATCCCTCTCTGTAGGCCATGCCAAAGGTTAGTCAAACTATCTGGTGTCATCGTATCAATGTTGGACTCGCTCAGTCTCTTATTGTCAGGTGTCATTGATAGCAATTTCTGGACTACCTGTTCATTGGCCACACTCGATTAGCAGGAAATCTTTGCAACACGGTTACTTGGGAAACTTGCCGTGGCGTCTTTGCTGAATGTTACGATTCCGAGCCTGTCTCCCTCATCCAAGGTGCTCAGGATTGTGCGTGCAGCGTGCTTCACCAAGTCAAGTATCGACAATCCAAAGTTCTCCAAACTCAGCTTTCCATCGTCACCGTTCATCTTCGCGGGGGCAGGCAGATCCATGCTACCGGAAACGTCTATGACGAGTACGATATCACATGGAATATGATGGAACCGAGGGTTACTCGGGTTTTCTGGTGGCTGTACGCGGACGATAACTCCATCGTGAGCTGGTACGGGATGTATGCTAACTTGGACGTCCTGGAGAACCCCTTTATCCGAGGGAGAAGCTTGGGAGACATGTTCCGAGAGGCGTTCCCTTATGGGAAGTGCGTGTTGCTCCCTTTTTACCTGCGCGTTTGTTAGTGCGGCAACGGAATCCACGATATCTATTGCTTACCATATTGGCGGTGATAGTTTTGATAAGTGAAGAGCCACCGATGGAACTACTTCAAACAGGCGTTTCAAGTGCTTGGTTTATAGTGTCTTAAAGCAACTTCGGTCACCAATTCGAACTAAGGAGAGCAATAATTTTAGTAAGTTCTGGTCACCAGGAGTCCGAAACTGACTCTATCACCCATATTAGCATGAATCACAGACTGAAATGTTGAGGCGCGGGGCGTCATGGAATGGAATTATCAACTAGACTGTGTAATGCCATTATAGCTAGTTCCCTCTCTACTTGTCTCCATTTGCCTCCATCACCCGAGGTGGAGAGTATCTAGTAGTGGCAGTGCGATATCTCGAAGCGACTAAGTTCAGGTCGAACTCCTTGACCTTCCCTGTAGGCCGTCGATTCAAACCAACTGCCAATTTTGGGAGTGTCCTTCTTTCCCATTTGTCTAGTGTTTGCCTACTGGTTTGGCGAATTGTGGACTCTTAAGGTGGCTTATTACCGCACTACACGACCTAGTTAAGCAGGGCTGACAAGTGGATTTAATGAGACTTAGCACTATGGTGAGTCTTCGTTCTTGCTTCACCGACGGCACAGCTGTTTCTTTATTGTCGATGGTTCCAATCGGTCGGTTCCGGCGAGCATGACAAGCATTGGATTGCTCTAGGAGGTTACGTAGCATTTCAACCATTTAGTAAGTTGGGTAGGTATTTATTTTTCTCTCTCGGAGGAGGCGAATTGTGAATTGTTCAAGTCAGATCATGACTAAATATCGACAACGTCGGACAAACCGAGTGGTGAGGCCAATGATGGATGGTTTATGAACCCCTGTTATATGATGTGCCGCATAAATCTCTAGGTATTCATTGGTCTGATTTACAAACAACCGGGTCTTGAGGCATTGCTATGTGGGGAATACGATTGCGGGCTCCCTTCTGCACCGGTGCACTTTTACACCTCGCTAATCTCGCGTTGAAACCGCTCGATTTACTTGGGACTGAGACGTAGTCTTGGCATATACGAAAAATCGTCTCCCTTACTCGGATTGACTTAGGAGTCTTCCTTCCTCTTCTCAAGTTCCTACACGGCGTCAAATGTGTGATGTCTCCTTTAAAAGGCAGGACGCTGCGATTCGAAGAAAAGCCGCCAGAGCGGATGTGTCAAGTCATCATTAAGAATGTTAATTCCAGAAGGTATTACACCAATAAACCAGTAGACTATCGTACATCCTGTTACGGCGATGGAAGCCATACGCGAGGTATTGTAGCTGCCCAGCACGGGAATATATATCCAGACCAAGACCTAATTAGAGCTAGAAGAAGACCCGAGCGTCGTTCGTTGCCTCTCCTCTCCAATACCCAATCCCCGATTCATCCATTACCATTACTATATAGCATCGTCGCCAGGAAGCTACGTAAAATGATCCAACTAAATCGCGATCTTCGTGAGACAGAGCTTTGCCGACGTCCCACCACGAGACAGCTGACCGCCTGTGTTGGCTCGTGGCCCAATCGTACGAAGATCCGGCCCCGCCGCGACTACGAAAGAAGACAAGAGGCTGTGCCTTGGTTAGCCACGTTCGTCTGAAAGGACAACTGCGGGCCTGACCTATTCTCAACCTCGCCCTCACTGTCGCTGTTTGAAGCTAGCTCAGCTCAACGACACTCGGTACATTCTTTATGCTTGCACCATGTGCAGTTCGTGTTGATGACAAAAATACCTCCGCATTTGCAACAGTGGGCGGCATACATGATGGAGAGGCAGCGAGTTGAGGGTGTTGATATCTCGAGATTCGGATCGTTGTGGATAGGTAGGGGTGTAATATGTATTAGTAATTGTCTCTCTTGGTGTTTAGTTTAAAGACTTTCGAAGGTGCGTTGATAAATTTCGAATGGGAAGAAAAGAGTGCGGGTGCCTCGAGGCCTCCCTCCACGGGACGCCGGCTTGATATACATGGCGCAAGGGCGAACTCTCTCCCTTTACAGCGGAAGCGTGGGAGCAAAGGAAAAAGCCAAAACCAAGACCAAAAAGAAAGCAAATATCGCAAACCCTCGTGCTCAGGTAGGTAGTCATATTCGCCGCGCAGGGTCCAACGGACGAACTGCGCGTGAGTCGCACCACAGAGAACTACCCCGCATGGGATTCCAGTGCGCGGAAACGAATCATAACTTGCGGTTAAGATGCAGTAGGACCTAAGAGGAAAGGCTGGTTGTTGGGGGTTGATCGTGAAGGATCAACTGCGAGCGTGACCGGCGATTTCGCAGCCATGTCGCACCCCACGTTTCTGCCCATCCCCGGACGACCAGACTTTCTACTGGTGCGTTCTATTTCCTTATACCATCGCAACACATAATCACGATGTGTGAACCACACATATTGCCCAGAACATCTCGGGCTAGTGGCGACGACGGCGACGGCAGTGACGGTAGTGACGACCGCTGGTTTCCGCTCTTGAGATTCATTGGCTGTGAGGCTGCGGGAAAAACCGGGAGTTGGAAAGACGTTATGGTCAATCATCTCTGGGGGGCATATCCTAGGTTACTCATTAAGGCTTCAACGCCATGTTTTCCTGGTCTCCGTCGCTTGGGATGTGCAGGCGACTCTCTCCACGGGAATACTGTGAATTCCTACCTACCTACCTACCTACCTACCTTTCTACCAATCTCGATCCCCGTGATCGCTCGACCATAGGCCTATTCGACATGGTTGCTTCCGACTACTAAGAGTTTGGATGACGTTTTGGTCATCGCGAAACGTCTTGGGACGTGCACATCTCGGTCGATCTCCTCGAACGATATATGATGGGCTTCCACAGGTGGCGATATCCCTTTCGACATAGAAATTTTTGACTAGCATGCGCATCTATGAAAGAATAATTGCATATCTAGGTAGGTATAAGTTGGAATAGCCGTGTAGTACCAACTCATCGACAGGTCGGATTAAAAGATGACTGGTTTGTTTCCTTTTCTTTTCATCCCCATGGTGGGCCACTTAGGACGCAGACCCCGAGATAATATTTCGAAATTAATGATCATTTCTACATAGAACTTTATACCTAGCTAGAAACTAACTACCTAGGTAGGCATTTTGCGGCTAGATAATATGAGGAATGTTGTCCTGGCATCTCATCTGAGACTTGATTTACATCGAATGCCCCTCGCGTAATATATTCACTATATGTACACCTGTAAGTAAGCCGAATATTAATAAATCCGAGGGAGTTTGTGTGCCACGATTATAACGACCAACGACCTTCACTTTACGGTGCTGCGTTACGATGCGATACGCGAAGTCCGGGTTAAGGCTGTAAACCCTCCCAATCCAGTTAACTGATCAGAATGTCGAATATGATACGTAAATTAGGGTGCGCTTCCTACATCCTTCGATTCCTGTGAGGCACGGTGTTGGTAGCACATTGTCATTGACGATATGCATGTTGCAAGGTTCTGTCAGAGGAGCGCGTGTGTTTGATAGAGTAAAAACATGAAAAGAATTCTTTAGCGGGAGAATCGATCTTCTCTGGGTTCCAATGCTAGATGAAGCAAGGTATTTCTATTGGAAACGCAAGGCAAGTAGGTAGTGATATATGTTGGTAACACATTCATCTTTAGTTCATGCATAGAACCGTCTGTACGGCGGTAATACGTATGTGGCTGCTTGTTTGCTTGTGTCACCGATACATTTCCTGTGCTCGTCGTGGTGTTTTCGATTCTGTCGATCTATGCCTTGATCTTCGGTCGAGGTAGACGTCGATTCGAGTGCTTGGGTCGAGGAGTTACAGAGCTTAGGAATACTAATTTGCACGCAGTACCTAGGTATGTATGAAAATTGTTTGTAAAGCGCCTATGGCGATGGTTTGCACTTTCTGGGTTAATATGTCGGGAGAGTACCGCTGCGAGTGATACTTTTATCCACAAGACTGGAACTCGACAACTTGGAAGCCAAGGATTTGTCATCGAGATCTCACAACTCAGAACACCCAGAACACCCTGAACACCGTGCTTAGGTACATACCAAGGTAGGCAAATCAAGATGCGAGATGTTCAAGATTTGAAGCGGGCCGGTGAGTACGGAAAATGTGGATTCTACATAGCCTGATAGTCCGCACCGTCATATACACCCAGACCAGCCTGCCAGCCCGACGACTCGGGAATTGGTTCGTTTGATAGATATGTAGATGCCCACGTAAATAGGTACCTAAATAGGTAATCACATACATACTATGTAGTATGAAATCTGTGCAACCCTGTCTTGTTTCATAATATAGCGTTGGGAGATAGACGAGAGGCTCAGGCCAACGATGTCGTCTTTCCGTCCATTATGTGACGAAGGTCGGAAAATAGTTGTGATGCACAAGGGACGTACGTAAAAGATATATCTGTGAATGCCCCACGCAGCGTGTTTCAGCTTCGAGAGGTCCAGGAGGTCCAACAAGATATTACTTTACTTCTTCTAGCTAGGCACACGTCTCTTTTGCTCTCGCCTGAACGGCCCGTAAGCTCGTAACTCCCGAATTTACTATGGTCCATCGTGTATTCTGACTTATAAGAAAACGGTCTGACTAGGAAGAAAAGCCTGACTTAGATTTTGTCGATGATAGAATGGGGCGCGGATACCACCCACCATTTTCAGGGGTTAAAACCCAACGCGGTCAAGCGCCAGGAACAGGAGTGTAATTGGGCCGCGGACTCCTTGACCAACCCACAATAATGGTACCTAGCGCACGTCGATGCATCCATCACCTTGTAAGTCATGGCGCGGTGTAGCTAGCTGCTAGCTAATGCGAGATCCCATGATTAACTGTGTGGCTACGTACCCTGCCTACTCTGCCGTAACTAGGTACGTACCTTTCAAGCGACGGGTGGAAAGGGATGGGCTGAACTGAACTGATTCCCACGAGCCCCTGAGTTCCCGCCTGTGCACCTTTTGCGTTGTCGCCACCTAGTCAGCCTCAAGGATTCGTATTCGAGTCTTACCGTGTCGTTGGCGATCAAATTCCCGTGGGCCGTGGCCGTTGTGGCGCGGCAAGGACACACATACGCCTGGGCAGGAAGCTGGCAGGTAATGCCAAGCCGCCTGTGTCTTAAACGCCATGATTTCTCATTTTCGGGTTTACTTTGATAATTTTATTTCATAGCGAATTGATACTATGCAAGGTGGAAAATGATAACCGTTAAAAGCAAGGTGGTCGACTCCTCGCAAGCGGAGGCAAATTGCAATGACACGTCTTGAGAGGAGCCGTGTCTCTCGTACTATGTAGAAACTGATGATAGGATAGGAGCAATCTGATAATATGGGTCAATATGTTCAGGTGAGTGAGCTGTAAGGCGGGGAGGAAGACGGGTGATGTGCCGTGGCTGCATATTGGCTTGAATCGCCAGGGACGGGGCCTATGCTAATCTGGTCTTAACTGCTTCTTTTCTTCTTCTTGGGATCAATAGATTCCTCCTTAGCTCAGAGATTCAGCTGACCAGACTTAACAGTTGGACAGACGCCATAAGCAGTAGTGCGACTATGAAACCGCCAGTTCCTCGAAGCCCCTCGAGAGCTAGCGAAACAAGCCACTGGTTAAAATGAAAGGAAAATTGTACGAATTCAACACAAAGCAATGAGAGGCTAGGAGGCCGTCCAGTCATCAAGCCACCGAGTCATCGAGTTCTAGGAGCTTTGACAGAACGAAAGGCTTAGATACATATGTACCTACCATACCTACGGGTATGTAGTGCAGTACTTGCGTCTGTCTTTCACACGGAATAGCCGTCGGTTCGGTTACTTTTTACGCACATACATACCTACACATTAGATGGAGGTAATAGGACCTCAGCTGAACGGAATACGTATCCACCAATAACAAGATGGATAACCAAGCATTGCGATCGTCGGATTCTAGAAGAACCTTGGAGTCAGTCATCTCGGAGCTTATCTGGGCAAGTTGATTAGTTGATAATACATATCGTCGTACCTTGCCTTGACTTGCTCACTCGCGTAGTCTTCGAACAATTGACGAGATGAGGGTGAATACTCACAATATTAGAACAATATTAGAACAATCAGAACAGGAGGAACTATCATTTCTCCACTTCGATTTTTTCTTTCTTTTTCTTTTTAGTCAGCAACTTCGATCTTCCCGTCCTAAGTGCTAGGATATCTCATACTCATTAGGTACCAGTAGTGTGAGTGTCCTCGAATAACGACATTCCACAACTTACCTGAGTAGGTAATATATATAAGTCGAGATATCGAATCGGCATCAATGTAATGCTCTTTTAAGTATAAAATCCAATACTGTACATATGTATTATTATATCATGGACGTGTATGTACCAGACCCGGTAATACCGATCTAATGCGCTGGTCAAAAGTTTCTTTGGCAATCAAAGCTCGGCACCTAAGCTATGAGCGGTTAATCACTTTTCGGAGTGGTCCTGGCCCACCATACTAGAATACTAGTTGTCCAATAAGTCGATTTGATTTGGGTAGAGAAAGGTAGAAACAGAAGCGACAAAAAAGAGACAGTGCAATTTCCCGACGGATAACACTGGCAACACGCACTATCTAGTGGTAATTAGTGGTTCTTCATGCAGGGGAGGTAACCTTGGAACAGGGGATACAGGAACCTTGAAAGAGAGGGGTTTCTCTTACAGGATAAGGTTCATTTTGGAATTCCTTGGCAGGAACCTGCAGGAACTCACAGCGTACATATGCCTCAGTAGTACCTAGGGCTACATTCTAGTGTAGTGTATGTGCAGCATAGTATGTAACGGACAAGCATCAATGTGTAAGTATTCGTATAGTACCTGTATCGGATTGGTGTAGGTGTACGGAGTACCTTCTACGCCCTTGTTCGATACCTAGGTACACGTATTGAACCCCCGTTTTCAATGTTCCACTCGCTCGGTTTTTTTCCATTTTCGCATTTTTTTCGCCATGACCCGTCTTCAATTCACTTGTTTTTGTCTCGTCTAATCTGGTCTGGGTCTGTTCCTATCCTGCTCTGTTGAGTTGATCAGTTTAGTCTACACTGGTCTAACCCTCGTTTAGTTTACCAGTCAATTCTACCCTACCAGGTTCTTGTTTTTTTCCCTTTCTTCTGCTCTGCTCTGTCCGTTCTTTCGTCGGCCTTCCTTCTCTGCGTCCGCCTCCACGTCCGACTGTTCCACTTCCCCGACGGCGACAATCCGCTTCTCACCGTAGTCATTCCTTTGATCTCGACAACAAGGCGAGTAAGACGGATAGTGTAGTACGTTGGCGGAAACGATTGTTCAACGTTACCGGTTATCGAAGAAGACGAGGAATAGGAATAGGAAAAGGAAAAGGAAAAGGTCGATACTCTTCAAAGCGAGAAGACAACAAGATCCATCATTCCACGCAAACCCAAGTCCAGATCTTGCAGATTCGTCTGTCACAACATCGGATTGCGGCATTCATCTGTTACCTGCCTATCCTGCACGAACCATTGGCCCGGCCTGTTGTGCTACAAATCAATCATTTTTCACTCTGACCATCTTCCACACCAATTCGCGAATACCGTCTCCAGATCAGACTTTCCCAGACCCTCTCAGATCCCTTTGTCTCTTCTTGAATCCGTCTTCGTTTCTCTTTGTCTTTCCAGGACTTGATGAACTCGATCGTCTGTTTCTGGGAAAGGGACGAGGAGCATCGCCTGAATTCGACTGTCTGATCGTCTGCCGGCCCATCTGCAAATTCATGCTTGATTTCCTCCACCCCCATCGATCTGTGAAACACTACCGATACCATTCATCCTGTCCTCAGGTAAATTCTTCCAATAGATTTCTCCAATTCCATATCTCAGATCTCCCCCTCTTTCGAGACTTTGTTCTGTAATTCCATATCACTGGACGAAAATAGTGGGAATTCTTCCAATTAACATCCTGTCTACTGAGCATTAAACTTGTACATATTTTGATACCCCTGGACGAGACCGGGGCTAGCCCCCTTTTTTTTTTTAACTACTGCCCACCCCCAACATGATATCTAATGAACATCCCAGCTGACATAACTGATCATAGATCCATTCATTTGCAGGCCGAAATCCCTACATTCATTCTGTTGATTTCCGTGTCTTTTGACTTTGCTCGCACCGACGAATGAGCCTGAAGCTGCTGGTGTAAACTTACCCTAGTCGATCCTTTTTTTCTTTCCCTCCGCAATCTTTTATTACTTTCGTTAATGTCATGCGGAGGGTGGTGTTGCTTTAGTCATCACATTCAGGCCAGGACTCGAAGTCATTCATTTTATAGTGCACCACTATCTCGACTGTTGTTGTCGCTTTAATTATCAGAGAACGAAGGACAGTCTATCGGATCCACGATGAATCGATTTCGGACTAAGAAGAAGGTGAAGGAGGAGATTTCGGCCCCTAGGCCTTCCCAGGACTCCGAGTCATCCATTCCTTTCCGGCCTTTTAGGAAGGGGAAGAAAACGCAGGAACCCGAGAAAGTCGAGATTGATCTCTCGATGGCATTGCCATCCAACGACGAATTTCGCACGAGCTTATTGATGACCGGCCTTTCCGCCCGATTTTCTATGCTGAGGGAACAGGATGACCCGAGTACAAAGATCGGCAAGGCCAGTGATGACAGCGTCCTATTTCCCAAGAGACAGTCGAGACTAGACTATGGAGGTTTCCGCGGGTTGGGCGATATTGCTGAAGTAGAATCCATCAAAGCCGCCGCTCCTTTTGCCGGAAAAGACTCTTCCACATTTGACGATGGGGATTCGTTCACGGCAAGTAGCGTCATGGGGCGCTCTAAACCGATAGAGGGGAATAACCTTTTTGGCGGGCGCCAGAAGATCTACAAGATTCCCGTTGGCACCAACCCTTCGAAAACACTTGCTGGGGGCATGGGCGGTCGGGCATTGTACGATGACGACGTGGCGTTGTCGGCTTTTCAAAAATGGAGGCAGGCTGAAAGAGAGCGTAAATCGTCCGAGGAAGACAGGGACGGGAGTGAGAGGAGAAATTCAGGAGAGATGGAAATAGACGTCTTTCGCGCGGAATCGCCAGTTCTCAGCAACTACAACCAGAAGCGAGAGACGTCGTCAACGACATTTTCTATACCATCGCTAGCTAGAAACTCGACCGCCGCAACTTCGGTGGCATCCTCTCATCGCGCTCCGTCCTTGAAAGAATGGCAGCCATCTACTAGCTCCGGCCCTGCTATGGATAGAAGCGTGACACGTACAAGGCGATTATATGAGTCTGGGCTTAACAACGACCTTCACGAACAGCAGTCTTCGGCGTTGTCCCGCATCGACACCTTGAGCCGGCAACGCACCTTCGGGACTCGAACACCTGACCTGGCTCAAAACTCCCCATCCCCTACAACTATCGGGTTTGCGGAGCGATTCGCCGGGGAGCGAAAGATCTTGGCTAAGTCTAGTGCACCGAATCTCAGATCGTTGAGCCCCCCTACCACAGCTTCTTCGGCCGGCACCCCGGATCTAGGTGTTCGTGTCCCCAGCGTAACGGAGATGCGATCGAACTTTGGTGGAGCGCCGCCTTTGAGCCCACCCATCAGCGAAACGGAGGAGAATTCCATATTATCCATACACCCTAGCGATCGAGGGAAGGCTACCGCTCTAGGGGTATTCCAGAAACCTTCTCAGCCGTACGATGAGTCGAGGTATGCCCAGCGGCAATTGCAGCGACAACAAGGACGGGAGACGCCGACGCTTAAATCTAGAGACGAACTAGGAACGTCTTCCATAAATCAGAGATCCAGTTCCTCATCGTCGGTGCATAGTCGAGGATTCGAGTCCCGAGTCGATGCTACCGCTACAGCTGCCAAATCGACCTCAAACGAGCAACCGGCGACATCTTTCCTAGCAGATCCCAATGACTCAGATTGCTCACCCGCCGTATCACCCAAGCCAGATCCATCTCCACAAGTCTTCCTGAGGCGTCCATCTGACCGCGAACACCCGGCTTTTCGCGACTCTAGCGTCCCGACACCCTTATCACTAGATTCAAAGTCTGGTGATGAGACATCGCAAATGGCAGAGAACTCGTCGTCTCTTTCGCCAAATCCAAGAGCGGTCTCGCCAGCAGATTCTCCCACCCTCGGTCCAGCCCCAGGTGCCGGTCTCAGCGGGATGGTACGACAGCATCTTCGAGGAGACAGCAACGCCTCGTCAATTTATGGTATGATCCCTCCCACTTCTGGTTTCGAATCTCGGTTCCCGGCAGATTCGGAGTCTGCCCAGGATTTCCACGAGTTGGGGACAAGCGCGAATCCGTGGGATTTGTCTGATGCCGGTCGCGATTGGTCCTTGGACCTGGATGTCAACGAACCTATGCCGGATGTCCAGTCTCGATTTTCCAACCTTCCTGATTCCGAGGACGTTCCCGGCATCGTTCTTGGTGCTATGCGTAATACCAGCGAAGACGACCGAGATGAATTTGCGAGTCAACTCGCAGACGGAGCCCGCCGAGTGCGCGAGCGTTTAACTACATATGTCGAGACCGATAGCCGCTCCACCTCCCCTAATCGACTTGGAGACTCTACCGACTCGTTTAGAGACCAACCGCCGCCGCCGAGGCAAAATGGGCTCAGTCTTTTGCGACCAAAGAATAGTCGTGGATCTCTAGTTGACCGCGGTCGAGATGCATCGCAATCAAAGGCAATGAAAATGCTTGGATTAGGTGCGTCTAGCAATTCCCAGACAGGGGGCTCAGTGCGGGAGCCACCGAAAGAAGAGAACGTCAGGGCCCCGAATTCTTTCGATTACGGTGAGACGGAGGACAAGGCAGATGGTACAGACGAGACCCACGCTGGGCTTCGTGCGTTTAGGCAAGCAAGACGTGAGCTGCAGAAGATGAAGGAACAAGAAACGCAGGCAAGGTATCACCAGCAAGAAGATCATGTATATGATGGCAGTTCGGTGCGATCAACGCCATGTAAAGACCGCCCCTCTGGACGGCAGTCACCTGAACGAGAGCGAAAACCGCCTCCAGTGTTCTACAAGGAACGATCAACAAGTGAAGAGTCAACGCAAGGAAGCCACAGCTCTAGATACGAAGGTCGGTTGAGGCCAGACGGTGATAGGAGCGGGTCGGATTCTAGCAACGATGGACAAGCAAGCGGCTGGCCAACAAGACCGACGAATCCTTCGTCTCTCCGTGGGAATTTACAGGTTGGTCCAAACGGAGCCATGGCCCGACCAATGCGTTCCCCTGGTCTCCCGGGAACTGATATCAAGCGTTCGCCTATAATGCCGCCTCGGCCGTATCCCGGCTCTTCTCAAACTAAGCAATCGAGTTCCAACTCTAATGCTGGCCTCCACGTCCAGACAGGCCGTAACTATGAGTCTGGTCAAGCATCGCCTATCTCGCCCATGCCTTCTCCTTACTCCCATAATCCCTCGACCCCTGTTACATTACCTTCTTCGCCTCGCCCGTCAGCTTCACCAAATCGTGGCCAGGAGAATGCAAGCTCTAATATAAGCGATGCAGCTAGACGCAAAATCAGGACAAAAGATATATCTGACCCGACGTTTGTCATGTCTACCTCCCGAGTTCCAACAGTAGCACTCCCTGACGCGCCACGGAACAGGTCACGCAGTAACAGTCGGACAGCGCCTCCGCTACCTCCTATCAACCCGAGGCGACGACAGGATTTCTCCAGCACTCGGGCCGTCTTTGATAACCTTAGTCGGCGGAATGACGGCGGATTCGATACTGGTGTCGGTCGCGGGGATAGAGACGACTCAAAGCCTGAGCGCAGACGTCTACGTTCGATTGGGCCCGATGCCTCGGGCATCCAATCGAAGACTCCCAATAATCAATCCTCCATGAATGTCGGCCCCCCCACGTCCAGGCAGGCCATGAATCAAGGAGCGAAGCATCCAGGTATGAACTTACCAGGCGGTATGATTTGATTTAATCGACTGGACTCGACCCTCAGCTCCGATCCTTGTTTAATTCCGGACCAGGGTGATTTACCCCTGTAACATTCACGAAATGTAATGAGATACCAATTTCACCTTATTTCTTGTTCCTGGCGAGGTCAGTGTCGGACGGTTATTGTATATTTTGTAAATTTGAAGTTTGCGCTCGGTGTAACAAATCTCACATTTCCCTTAATTTTTCGGTATGCGGACTCGCATGTCGCTCAAGCATCGGGCTGGCCTCGGGGTTGAAGCATGAGGCGGAAATACCATCTAATTAGCCAAAGGAACTACGGTGCGGTGAAGACGTAGCCTTAGTACTTGAGCATCATATATCCGGAGCATATGTACCTATGTATGATTATAAAAGGCGTCAGGCCAAAATGGCAGAAAAAAAAGGGTCAGGTGTCCGAACAGGCCGTGAATACTTGCCTTGAGGATTAAATAACAATTGAGAATCCATTATTGAGCTAGTATAACGATGGACCGTTGAATACCAGGCCTGAAGTATCATTTCCAGTGTGATGACGCTGTAAGTTGCTTGTCCCGTTCATTATCTATCGAAGCATAGTAATTTCGTGACAAATATAGAGTCATAAGGCCCGGGCACCTTTTATGGGTAAGTAACTGCGAATTCCTCACATTAGCATCTAATTTTCGATATAGTCCCACTTTTGAAAATGATGTTTAATCCGGCAGCGTTATAATGTTTATCTTCGCTCTCCTGGCACCTACCATAGGTATGTCCTTAGAAGGTCGATAGCCACTTTCTGCAGCGAAACTCCATATGGATAGTAAACGAATAGGCAGTGTCATTTAAAACGATATCTAGAGTGTCTTAAAAGATCCAGGTTTCTATCTTTTACACTTCAAACTTGGTGACCCAAGGCTGGACGACCGAGGACCGTCCTTACGAAGCAATTATCTCTAACAAAATTACTCTATATTCTCCAGCATGCCCTCTACTTGATAAGAGCCTTACCCTTTCTCGCCTAAAATATCTCTTAGTCTTGGAATGAGAATGGAACTCATCAGACATCGAGTCTTAGCGGAAGTTGGATAGGACGAATGGCCCATAGCCTGTTCCTCGTTAATAAGCGTCACGGCATCCGTATAAGTAAATGACTACGAGTATAATCAATCATATTGCTTCTATCAATCTTTCCCCTTCGAATGTTTTCTTCCTCTCATATACTCTAACCGTATCAACATCACAATCGCGTGAACACAACACTTCTGCCATCACCAGGGGAATATGACTACTAGTATAGTTTAGAGACTGTATATTTCTAGAAATTTTATCTGCGGAAACCTTATAAGCGAATGAATAATTTTGAAGAGATCATATCATACATCCTTGACCCCTGTTTGTGCTGAAGACTGTGCAGTCAAACCACAAGGGCTAACTATATTCCCAAGTACTTCACTTCGTCTCTTAAAGACGTACTCTGATAATGTGAGAAATCGCAGCCTGAAGTTGGGCAGGCCATGTCACTTTATAGCATCCCCGGATAGCGTTGTCTATGATCAATCGTAGTATATTGTCAAGATATTTGTAAAGGCATCCCTACTTATCTACCTAGATAAGAGGCGTGGTCACAGAAATGGAATATGTGACACCGCGGCCAGAACAGTTTACACGACCGACCTTGCTGAGCCCAATCAACATATCTGTTCCACGATAAGTATCGACAATGTAGTACCTGTGTAGGATCTATCCCACGGGGCACTCTCAGAATGATGTCACACACTGTCCTAATAAGGTATATATAGGGATCACCACAGCGGTGCTGCCGTAATACGTTGCTAGTATCCCGATTTCTGCGAGGGACAAGCCTGTATAGAATTCGTGGTGCCAAATTCCTAAAGGTTTATTTTCCCCCTTTTTCGTTCACGACCACGTACTTAGCATATAGGTATATGCCGCATTTGAACAAAACTACTTGCGATGGTTGGATTCGCAATGTTTGGAGCCCTTGGGCTATTTCTCCCGATTGCATGCGCGCAAAATTGCACCCCCCTAACACCATCAGCGCAGATTAAAATAGCTGATGGTTATACGGCACAAGTAATCATGAACGGGCTGAAATATCCGCGCGGCCTTCTTTTCGACACGGCAGGGAATCTCCTCGTATCTGAATAAGGTGAAGCAGGTGTGAGGAGAATCGTCTTGGACGAGATCGACGGAGATACGTGTGTAGCCCCGAGCAAGCAACTGATACCCGATGCTTCGGTGAGCGTGGATTATGAAAATACTCATAGGAAAGGTCATATGCTCATACCTACGTCAAGCTGAACCACGGCATTGCACTCTGCCAGGACGGGAAAACTATCTTCGTGTCTAGCATGGCGGAAGTTCACGCATACTCATACGATGCCGAGGCGGGAACTGTCGGCACAAAGAAGATTCTGATACAAGGAATGCGAAGCGGAGGCCACACTACTAGAACGCTGCTTGTTCCTACCGGTGCGCCAGACGTACTCATAGTGTCGCAAGGGTCGGATGGGAACATCGATAATGCTACCACCGACATCACGGCTGAAAGGAGCACGATCAAGATATTCGATATTTCGGAGGTACTAGCCTCTGAAAATGCGACGGACTACGCGTCGGATGGCGAGGTCTTGGGTTGGGGGTTAAGGAACTTCGTTGGAGTCGGAGAGGACCCTTCTACCGGTGGCATAGTAGGCTCTACATCCCTCGAAATTTCATTAGTGTCTATGACAAGGCTGTAGCTAACCTTGCGATTAGTGGTCCGTCGAGAACTCGGCCGAGGAGATACATCGCAGCAACGTAGACCTGCATAATGATAATTCAGCTGAGGAGATGAACTATCATGGTAGTGTAAAAGACGTAGAGAATTCCATGAAAGAAAAAAATTAAGGTTATCCGGCATGGTTCTCTGCTTGGGGAACGGTTGATATCCCGTCCAACGCAGGAATCATCATAGGTTCGCAGTTTGGTGGCATGGCCGGGACTTCTTTCAAGCAGGTGACCTCAGGCAGCCCGGTGGAAGAAGTCGACGAATTCTGCCGAACCGAACGGCAAGGGCTGCGCCTGGTCTTCCCAGCTCATACGGCGCCCCCGGATATTAAGCTCGAGGAAGATGGGAGTGCCGCGTATATAGCCTTCCATGGTAGCTGGTGAGTATCGTCTATCCCCCCGCCGATATCTTTCTTAGTGTACGTGTTCGAGTGCTGTTGGTTGATCCACTCATAGGGACCGAAGCCCACCGGATGGGTTTCGGTTAGGCAAGGTCAAATTCGCGGATGGTCAACCAGTGGCTAACGTTTCCGATACGGCGGCCGTAGAGTATGTCCTGGAGAACCAGGACACTACTAAGTGCCCAGGGGCTTGCTTCCGTCCCACTGGGCTTGTGTTCGACAAGAAAGGCCGTCTGTTTATGACACGCGATCAATCAGGAGAACTCTTTGTTCTTGCTATTTAGTGCCTAATAACTCCGTAATGGACCATCTCGAATAGAAGAGAAATTTTACCGCCTCTGCTGGGTTTGGAGGATCTTGAGTCCTGGTCATGTCTTTTGGTGTATAAACTGAAAAACAGGGCCATATATTTCTGTCACTCTTGGTATACGCGCACTGCCGGATCACACTATGGATGGGATTGATCTTCTATTTGCTAGTGATCGTTATGTCGTTTTAGTTGAACAATCTAATTAGCGCTAAATGATCGACGTCCTATGATCTAGATCTCGCAAAAGTATGTCGATGTGTATCAAGCTGTTCTCTTATTAAGATGTACACGCTTGCGAGCGCGCAACGTTCTATTAACGAGCCAGCAATTAGTATCTAAGGTACGTATACCAATCGTCCCTCGCTTGCCAACGATGCGTCTTTCCAAGCTGTGTCGATATTCTTCAACGGAACAGAGCGGGCGGGAAGAAGCTTCCAACGAGCCATGGTCGGAACCAGGGTGTGAAGCTCCTCTTGCAGTGCTGATATGCTCCATGACCCGGCGCCGGCGCCGCGGATGGTCAGGTCGAAGGACCTAAGCAAGTGACCGGGAATTTCGGCGGTCCTTTGAGCAAGACAACCGATCTCGACATACTGTACCGTTTTCTTGGACTTGCTTAATGACGACAGCAAGTGTACGGTCGTGTCTCCGTAGACGTAGTCTAGAACGAGATCGCAGTCACGCACTTTGGAAAAGTCGGTCTCGACAACAGGATCCCGAAGCGCGACGTAATCATCGAGGCCGTCAACATTTTCTAGAGTAGCGGCGTTTCGGCCGATGCCGATGACCTTTCCAGCCCCCAAGGCCTTGGCAGAGTGCGCGGCCAAGCGACCACTAGCACTTGTGGCACCGATGATGACGGTGGTAAAGTCCTTGGGCAAGTTGGTGGTGCGGTGAGTGATTGCCATCCAGCTGCTCATGGCAGGGTTGACGCTGGCGGCGAAGGAAACAGGATCAACATCGCTTGGGAGCGGGTAAACGATAGATTTCTCGGCATTGATGCGCTCAGCAAAAGTACCGCCTTGGAGAGTGAAGAGGTAGTAGAGCTGTCCGGTAGCATCATCCCTGCCGACGCAATCAACGCCAACAGTGTGAGGGAGTTCTCTGGCCGAATAATGTTGTCCCGAGGCACGGGAACGAACTACTTGGTGGGCGCCTGTCGCCAAGACGCGGAGTTGGATCTGACTGTTCGACGGCGTGGGCAGGTCATCCACTTCGACATACCGTGGCCCCTCAGGCCAAGATTGGACTTGTGCGATATGCATTTTTCTGTCTTCTCCCTTTTCTTCTTCTTTCTTCGGATTTATTTATTCCTTTGTTCCTCGATTTTCAACGGTGCGTTTTATTCAGGTATAGATAGAGAAATGCCGCCAATATTCCCAGACCGACGTACGTTCGATACGTCTACTTTATGTACGAGACCGAACTGCCTAGGCAGCATGGCCAGCTTGCTGCTTTCAGGCGGTACGTATCGAGTTAGCATCGCGCTGACAGGCGTTTAACACTAAATCAGTAGCCAATCCGTTGGCGCTGCCTACGGTCCGAAGCTGGGAATAAGATTATATCAAGAAGCGAATGGAATGACGCGTGCTAAACACCGAGAGAGCGAGCGCTGCTGGTGCTTACCACGCACTGCACGCACAGCACGCACAGCACGCAGTAGGTATAAGACGTGACAAAAGTGTCCTGCATGCTCCGTAGGCAAGCATCCTCCAATCGGATAGGCTAGGAATATCTCCCGTATGCGTTGATCGTTAAGCATCCGCAATCGGGGGTGCGAAATATCAACTCTTCATGACTATGCATCTTTACTCGATGTCTGTCCATGATAGCCTTCGGGGCCCGACTTGGGGGCGGAGCATCAGAAGATCTTTATACATGTTATGCGTCACGACACGTAGGGATAATAGTCTAAAAGTTATTACGGCCTTGTGGGAGAAGTGGCGACGAGATAGCAGGTTGACAATGAAAAGGACCCCTTCTGCCCTTTCTGCTCTTGAGTTGCAACTCTGGAATATAATTAGTGTTGTCGAATCATGGCTAGTTTCACCAGCCTCGAGATCTTCACGACTCCGCAGTGGAAGAGGAACGGCCCCTGTTCCAAACTGCCAACTTAGCCGGCACACCAAGCCTTACAAGCCCACAGAGGAATTTAGCTGAAAATCCTCCAGAGGGTTGTGGGATGTGGGTTGGTCAGACCGTCAGACCGTCAGACCGTCAGGCCGTCAGACCGTTGAAACCAGTTAAAGAGTTAGGGTTCCGTGATTGAGTCTTTTATGCCCCCCCTCTTTCAATTATCTCTCCTGCTGTGCACTAATTCTGTGCACCAATTCTGTGCACCAATTCTGCAGCAGCAAGGCACGGGAACGAGGGTAGTTTGAAATCAGCCTTGAGGTGATGTTGTAGAGAGAAGGAAGTAAAAAAGAACAGAGGAAAAGAAAGCGACGCATACCTACCTAGTAGGTACCTATGTACCTAACATACTATCTACCTAATGTACTATAGTACATACCTACCTACATAGGTATGCGCAGGTGACAATCCTTCGAAAAGGGAATTAGTATCCTGGTCATTTATGTACTTCCGCATACATTTTATTAGTAGCGTATACCTATTTCAAGTAACGTCATATGCTTCTATTTTTTAATCCCCTAACTTTACGCTGCAGCCCTGCCGCTTCTGTTAGGTAGCTTCGGACTAAACTGACTAATACATCCATGGTACGTACATAACATACCTGCATATGTGTGTACTGCATATTATTTCTCCTGTCCATAATTATACAAAGTACCCGGATACATCATTGGACACATTATGTACCTAGGTAAAGAAGGGGGGCGCAGCAGAACGGGCCAAGAATGTTCTATTAAGAGACTAGTAGGCAATCCGAGCTCTGTTCCCCTTTCTTTTGTCTTTAAACATTGGAATATCCATGTAGGTGAAAAGAGACGCCTACAGAAATACATCATATCATATTCCGGGAAGTCTAGACACATGTACGCAGTATACATATAAGCGTGGTTCATGACTATAGCGGAGCATATTATAACGACTTCAATCAGTTACGAATAAATTGACGAACAACTAAAAAAAAAAAGTAGAAAGGTGGGCAAGTTGGGAAAAGTGAAAATAAAGGCGAAAGATTGGAGTTAAATAAGGAGGGAAAAGAGGGAATATATAAGAAAAGAAAAGAATAAAGAGAAAAAGGAGGGGAATTGGTATTCGAGAGGGAATCGCGCGTCGCAAGTAACAATATCAGTCATAACGACGACGACACGACACGACACGACACGACACGACCGACAACAACAATATGTCGGCTTCGACATCAACATCTCGAAGCCGAAGTCCGCAGACGGCATCTAGTGCGCGCACCTCATCTTCTTCCGATCATACAGCTGTAACGATACACAGTTGTAGTTGTCCCTGCGAGAAATGTTGCAACAATTCTTCCAGTACGAGCGAACCCGCCGTGACGCGCTTCGATGCTCCCTTGATAGCTATCCCGCGACTCTTCAACGCCATCCTGGGCCTTGCCACCGTCATCCGTGTCCACACAACCATCGACGCCGGATGGTGGCCTTGGGAACACAAGGTCTTGTTCTCCCTGTGCTGGCTCTCCTTATTCTGGAATCTGGCACACGGCTTGTGTAGTATACTTGGTTACGCCTACTGGCCTTCGCCGCGCCGCACCGTCGGCTTGCCACCCGTCACCCTCGCGGTGAATGGTCGGACTATCGTCTCGTTCGGCGGTCCCGACGAGGATGACGGCGCGAGACGGAGGCGCACCAAGCGTATCCAGTTCACCATCATTGATATGCTCCTTGCCGTTCCCATCTTGGGTTTCCTCATCTACTCGGCGCACATCATGTACCCATGGTGGGGTTCTAGATACGTCGGCCTGTGGCCGCCCACCATAGGCCTCATTGCTTCTCTCGTGTACGTTTGTTTGCCTTTATTAGACTCTGGATCATATAGCTTTATTCCTTGAACTCCGTCGCGCTGACAGTAGGCAGGTCTTTCCAATTTCTCACAGCCTTCTTCCAGCTATTTCAATTTTTCGAGGCTAAGGTCATCGGCGTACAGCTTACGATGCGAGATATATACGAGAAGGATGACCCCGTCGGTCGTTTACAATTATAGGACGACCGAACAAAAAAACGAACCAACGAACGATAGTAAGCAGTGTCATTTATTCTTTCTTGGGGGGAGAGGGGAGAGAAGGTCAAGCGGAGCGGAATAAAGCGAAGCAAAGCGTAGCACGGTCGTTTTTTGTAATAAACATTTGGGACGGCGCAAGGTGTTTCGAAAGATACCACGAAAATAAGGGTAACATTACGCATATACTACACACATACCTAGTTGGTCGTCATGAATCACGATATACCAGTACGAGATAGGAACACACCACTTCTTACTCCCGCATCCCACTATTTCATCAAGCCCTTCGGTGGACTGAAAATCCAGCTCAACGAGTATATCATGCCACCTATAAGAGATGTAATAAAACGCGGGACTCCACTCTCGGTCTTGATTTCTGCCTGTGTAGACTCTGGGTAGACTATGGGTAGGCAACTAATTCGCTTAATAGAAACGTAGATATCATGCACTCCATACTATTTACAACTAGGTAGATGTGCATAGAATACGGACCCCAGATGTGCCATGAAAAAACAATAGAAAACATACCAAATTTACCGAGCCTGTTCCTCTATTGACTAATATCCTATCTATATACTACCCAACCACGTTGTGACCTGTCCACAAAATCATAGCGACTGTCGGTCGATCTAGTCTAGCCATCCTAGAAAAAGAAAGAAAAAAAACGCCCAGTACAATGCAATTTTACATGATGTAATAAAATGGGAAACGTCCGCCGCAACATATAGGGGTCGTGATATCGGATATAACCGGTATAAATTAGGAAAAGCTATCAGGATATGAATGTAAATGTGAATATCAAAATGGACTCGTGAAGAGAAATATGCAGCGAGGTCTCAACAGACCATGACCGCCTTTCTCGCTTTTACTCTTTCTTAGACTTCTCTTCCTTCTTCTTGCCCTTGGGAACACGAGCGAGCCAGTAAAAGAGCAGGGCACCGAAGACATTGAATACAATGTAGGCCCAGAAGATACCGAAGTTGCGCCATCGTTCACCTGCAGCAAATAACGTTAACTCAGATCAACAGACGCGGATATATACACCAAAAAGGGAGAAAAGGACTTACTGTAATAGGAGTTGGCCTGGGCCAGATACGTGTTCGTCTCGTAAACGGTGCAGTAACTGCAATCGCTAGTGCGGTTCTCAGTGCCGGCTTCGATATAACCGCCTGTGGCGTTCCTGTAGACGTCGAGGTATTGGAAGCAGGTCATGCCCTCAGGGGGGTCGAAGTGCACGTATTCGTTGGCGGCGCATTGCACGTGAGTGTTGGCGAGCGCCACCGATAACATAGCTGACACCAGATACGTGAACGGACTGACACGATACATGAAGATCCAGAATCTTGGGAAGGTGCTTGGGCTGGCGAGGACACCGCAGAAGATCAGGCAAAGCATGAAGAGCAAGTTGGCAACATTACCACCACCCTCAGCGGTCTCGAAACCTGCGATGATCATGTCGGTGAATGTCGACGTGAACAGCATAAAGGCCCAGAAGAGCAGGAACATAAGAGCACCACGCTCTGTAGTTTGACCTAGCTCCGTGGCGTTGTTGTAGAGACCGACAGGGTAATACCAGCAGAAGAACATGAACACGGCCATGAGAGTGTTCCAAGGCAACTCAACGATGATCTGCGACAACATGAAGACCTTCCAGCCGTACACTTTAGAGGGACGCTCGCGGACTTCGTATAACGACCGCTGGATGACAAAATGAGGCATCGTCTGCTGAACAAGCTGACCGAAAACAGTCAAGAGGTTGAAGATGGCGAACATTTGGTTCTGAAGACCTTGGATCGTGTTCGGGGCCCTGAAGAAGACGAAGCCGATGAAAAGAGCGATCAAAATACACAGAGTAGCCTTGGAGTAGATGTACGACGGCGTTCGCCAGTACTGCTGGAACACACGGTACGTAACAGCCCAGAGCTGGGTCCAAAAGCCGGCGGCGTGCTCACGGTAGGACTGATCGTGCTCGGCAGGAGGATGGCTCGATGCGCCGTCCTTCAACGCCTGTAGCTCGGCCTGCACCTCGGCGTATTCGGTGCTGTCACGCCAGGTCTGGAACCAATCGATATCGGACACACTACCGGGCGCGGCCCCGATAGCATCCAGCATCCATTCCGCGGGGTTGGCTTCGGGAGGGCAGGGAGGGGCACCATGTCGTTCGAAATAGCTAGTTAACGTCTTAGAGTTCTCCCCGATATCGCCGAAGTAGACAGTCCTGCCACCTTTGGCGAGGAAAAGCAGGCGATCAAATCGCTGGAACAACATGGCCGAGGGCTGGTGGATGGTGCAAAGAATGGCCTGTCCGCTCTTCGTGAGCTTCTCGAGGAGATCCAGAATGGCCCAGGAAGTCTGAGAGTCAAGACCGGAAGTAGGCTCGTCGACAAAGAGTAGTAGAGGAGGCTTCGCCGCAAGCTCAACTCCAATAGTGAGACGTTTACGCTGTTCGACATTAAGGCCTTCACCGAGAACACCGACGACTGCGTCCGCGTACTCTTCCATATCCAATAGCTTTATCACCTCGTCGACATAGGCGAGCTTCTCGGCACGAGGGACGTCGGCAGGCTGGCGGAGAAGAGCGGAGAAGTTCAGAGCCTCGCGGACGGTGGTGGTCGAGAGATGGAGATCTTGCTGTTGAACATAGCCCGTCTTCCGCTGGAAGGAGTTGTCACGGAGATGGCCGTCGACAAGCATCTCACCGGTAATGACGCCCATGGTGATTCGGTCAGCGAGCGTGTCCAGAAGAGTCGTCTTACCAGCACCGGAAACACCCATTAGAGCTGTCAAAGTCCCAGGCTTTACCCAGCCGTCCACATGATCGAGGATACGTCGAGGCTCGCCCTTGATCTTGATGTCGTAACACACATCCTTCCAATGGAAAACACTGGACTGCTCCAGAATAGCGCCGGCTTCCTTGCCGTCACCATTGACGCGACTAGCATTGGTTACAGTAGGACCAACACGCGGACCTTCGCCTTCTTCGACGTCACCTTTCTTCTCCTTGAATTGGGCGGGTTTGTGACCACGTCGGAAGACCAGTACCTCTCCCTTCGACTTCTTTTCGGACACGAGCTCCGCAGCGATCATATAAGTGATCAGGAAGCCGATCATGAACGCAATCAAGATACCAAAGTTTCGCCACCGATGTGAATTATAATACCTGAATGCGCTATTGATATACGCATCGCCGTTCACGGTGGAACTTCCAGCCACACTTCCAGCAGGACTGCAGGCATGGTTCATGGGGCCGACATCCCCGTATCCGGGAACCGCAGGACTGGGTACGAATGAATCACACTCAAACTCACGGTTGTGGAATTCATTCACCATGAGTGATTCGAATGCGTAGGCGAGAGGATCCAGATAGTTCAACCAGCGGCACCAGCCCAGCATATAGTCGATAGGAATGACGAAGCCGGTGAAGATAACTAGGTCGAGAATCAAAAGGGCAGCCGGCACCATAGCTTGCGAGAGGGTACGAGAAGCAGATGCGATGGTTCGGAAAATCATACTCATTACCATGACCGTGACGAACGTGATGAGTAAAAAGAAGAAGAAAGCCCCGGGTTCACGTCGTAAATTCGTCATGAAGTAGAGACTGAGGTTGAATATGATAGAGTTGGCGATCTTGTACGGCATGTCTACGAGCATGGAGGCGACGGCCTCAGCCGATGGATGATAGAGGGCATATCGACTATGCTTTTCGACAATCGGTCGTTGCGAGTAGAGCGTGAGAATCTAGAGACGGTTAGTATTTGGTATTTTGTACTGGATTAGTTCTGAAAAACGCTCGGAAGGGTTGAGACTCACTTCCAAGGCACTGGAGAAGGCATTCGATAGACAGGCGAAGAACAACAAGGCGCCCCGTTGATAGAAGCTCGAGGAATAGTTTTGGAGGTTGTAGAACACACTTCCGATGATCAGAGACATAACGAAATTTCCTGCTAACGAACCAAGCGTCAAGCTCGGATCTCCTATCAGTCGTTGCCAGCCCCGCCAGAGACACAGTTGAATTTGTTGAAAGTAAGATAAGGTGTAGGGCGATTGTGGCCGTTGCGATCCAGCCTGCTGTGCCCTTCTCGAAGCACGAAATACTTCGGCGTCCGGGCCGTTGAGCGGATGCTCCGTCTTATACTGTTCAATTTCGGCCTGGAGCGCGACGTACTCGGCGCTGTTCTTCCAGGCGGACGCAAATTCGTCGGGGGTTCGCGGGACCCTGCCTTCAAAACCGGGCCGGACGACGCGTTCAATCGGGCTCGTCATCGAAGTCAAGAAATCAGGGGTGGTTTGGCGAGCGGGGCACTCGAATCCTAGGTTTATGAAATATTGCTTTGCTTCGTTAGCTCGGCCAAAGAAGATCTGGCGACCCTCATATAAGACGAGGGCCTTGTCGAAGAAGTCGTAGGCCGTCTGTGGCGCTTGGTAAATCGAGACACACGCGGTGGTCCCGAAAAGTTCCGTCTGAGTACGAAGCGTCCTACAGAACTCCACGGCGTTGGCGCTATCCAAACCCCTGGTACTGTTGTCCCAACACTGGAGAGGAGCACGGCTCAAGGCGGCCTCGGAGATGGTTACACGTTTTCGTTCACCTCCGGACACACCACGCACGTATTCGTTGCCGACGCGCGTGTTCACTGTATGGGAGATACCAAACATGGCCATGGTGACGTCTCTGAGATGGGTAGCATAGGTCTTCTTGTCGACGCCAGGAGGAAGGTGACGCGGAGCCCTGGCTTGGGCGGCAAACGTCAACGTATCCCCAACCGTTAACATGGGGAAGTGGACATCGACTTCGGCCGTGTAGATGGCCTCTCCACGGTGATGACTATGCATCTCCTCGGCAGTTAGACCTATTGGCGTGATTAGCTCTAGATACAAACCCATCGGAATCGGTAGATCTAATGCTCTTCTTACCTTGGTAGTTGAAATAAGAACCATTCTCGACATAAATACCATTCGTCTCACCTGCAATCGTCTTCAAGAATGTCGAGCAGCCGGACCCCGGAGGACCTAGCACGACCATCATCTCACCCTTTTGAACTACACCGTCAAAATTCTGAAGAATGTCAATCTTAGTCTGGCCCTTTCCCATGGCCTTGCGGACGAGCCCAGCCGTCTCCAGCCAGATATTGGCGACATCCTTCTGGTAATCGGTGGCAGCTCCGAAGCCATGGACGTTGAGGTTCTGGAAGCAAACCCCGGCGGTTCGGAAATGCTGGCCTTCGCGATCGGCCACATTGACGACGGCCTTAGCCCAGGCGCGCGGGTTGAAGTTAGGCGAGTGAGGGTTGAGCGGGGAGTTTTCCCCGTCGTCCAAGTACGGGTTCCGTCCGGTGACTCCAGTCGCATTGGACTGGGTGGTGTACCTGCGAGCCAGTTCATGCACGATGGACTCGCGTCGTTCCAGCTCGGAATCATCCTCTACCTGAGTGGCATTGCTAGAGCCGACGGTGTCATCCTTCTCCACCTCGTTGTGTGAGATGTGAGATGCAGCTGTCGTCCCTTTCTCCTCCCCAGCTTCCTCGGTATGCGAATACGCCATTGGGGGCGCTCCTGATGTTTGCGCCGTTCGATCGTAGTTCGTAAAAGCGTTGCCCACAAAAGACATAACAAAACAGGGGGTGTACCCTGAACCACCTAACCAATCACCACCTAGCGACGATCGCGAATTGCTGGCTGACCTCTAACGATTCTCCCTTCCCCCCTTCTGCAGTATATTTTCTGGCGTTGCGTCGTGTTGGTGTTTTTTTAAGGGGAGGAATTAAAAAACGTTGCCCGGACCAGGATAATTCAAGTAGCAATAGACTTTTTAATATAAACTTTGCGCTACTGGCACGGGATGGTTGGACCTCGCATACAGTTATACTGGAATTTCCCAATTTTCAGGTTAAGGTTTATTAAGGAATAAGGTTATAGGGATTAAAAGGCAATTAGGTAAAACGAACTCCTACCTAGGTATGGTTAGAGCTTCAATGGGGGGATGAAGGAGGAAAAATTAAAAGGGAAGGATTACGCCCTCAACTAGCGAATATTCACTGAGCTGAAACGATGAGGGAAAGAGAATCCCGAGAGTCAGGATGGACGGTTGTTTTTAATAGTATTCGCCTCGTTTTCGTATTCCTACATACATGCCTCCATGTAGTCAGGGTCCTCGACTCGGCTCGTTTCTAGCATATACTACCGGGCTACGAAGTACATGATACGTATTCGTACAAAGTTTCCATGTGGCTCCATGGGTACGAATCTTACCGAGAAAGTGCATTGTACCCTCAGGGGCGACCCGGGCGGGAAACCGCGTGCTTGGGACTTTCCGGTCGGTGGATAGATGGATTAGGGTGGAACGGATAGGTACGTACACAGGTTAAGTGGGTAAAACAGATAGGTAGGGCAGTCCTTATCAAGTTATGCAAGCTTCTGGCCGTTTGACTCAATCTCCGATAGTGAGATTATGAGATTATGAGATTATGTAGGGGGTGATTAATGACTCCACGAGATTGCGGGCTAGGGTGTATACATTTACAGTACATGTTTATGAGCAGGAGCTAGCGTTCTCGAGGTCCCACGCTATTACGCGTAGCAGCATGATTAGCTGCAAGATTAATAAAAGTCTACAAGGGTTTACGGGTGGGTCTTGCATAGCCCAGTATATTCTAAGTACCCATCCCCGCCGCTTGTTTGCTTCGTCAATCATCCCCAGACGGACTTAGCTCAAGCCCGCAACCCGTCAACTTATAATAAGATCCGGTCGACGGGTAGTTGTCAATACCGCAACACAACAACAACTTAGAATAGACCTCCTCGAAGAGTCGATCTTCAGCACGGCTTAGCGGGTGTGCGGGAGCTCGAAACCACTGGGTAATGAAAAGTGGAAGATGGAATAGAAAGGAACATGATGTGAGAGGATAAAATAATAAGAGCCGGAGAGGGAAAAAAGGGGGGAATGTGTTCTATGAAGACGATAGTGGTAATTCGCAAATAGAAAATGATATTTCATAGCAATGCAAAGTTTGAAGAGACTTTGTTAACTCGGAAAGGATGCATCATTAGAGTATCACTGATATATGAATCATGATGACCCGTTAAGTAGGTAAATTATTCAATACTATACTACGCACACGCTCCCACATGACATAACATATAAGAATAATGTCATTGTCGCGTGATGTGAAATATTCAATTAGTAGAAAAGGCACGAGTCAGCATTTGAGCTATCCAAATACGTACCTACCTAGTTATGCACTACATTAAAAGCTGTTACATGTCAGCATAAGAGCTTTCCTACATATGGTTGGTTATGTTTTTGGAAGGTGAGCTAAGATCAGAAATATATGAAATCGGAATTCGCATCTTCTAACCAATAGGAGAACTTAGATGTGTCCCGGATCGAGAAAGAAGTCCGGCAGTTTGTGCAAGCCGAGAGCGACGCGAAAATACTGAAGGGCCGTATATTTTCGGGGTCTTCTATCTGTCCGACAACCCGGAACGAAACAGAAGGATGATACGCAAAAAAACCTTCCATCACAACCCTAGCACGTTATTTTTATCTTTTTATCTTCAATGGAATATAAAAACTTGAAACATACCAACATTGAAGAGTCATCAAGTCATGTACATAGGTATGCATATGCAGAATACTAAATATAAAAATAAAATAATATTTCAGCTACCATTATCTAGGTACTTATCTACTACGTAGGTATGTGCGCAACAATATTTTGATACAAAAGACAAAGAAAGAAAAAACATCCGAGATCCCTCCGCGTCCGGTTCTAAGTTTTGTGACACGTAGTCTCCGAACAAGACCCTTAAAATATTTCTAATCCGCATTTCGGGAATCCCACATTTTCCGCACCCCGAACCCGAACCCGGCGGTAGTATTCTACATAGTACGGCGAAGCAGGAACAACCAACTCTTTGAAAATGAACGGTCTAGCCTTTACGCCTTACACTTTGCCTACATGGTAAACCTTACCGAAAACATGCATGCATTTGTTTGTACCATACACATGAAAGGGGGAACATGTATTACATGAAACCTTGGAGTCGTATCGCTTTGACATATTTTGGGATCCTTCTATCCATCTTATAAACAGCATCTTCCTAGGAATCATTTTTCTACTTCGGCAGAGTCTCTAAACCTGCTCGCATGTCAGACAGTCGCATCTCCCCTAAACTGATATCTCGTCGCAACGACAGTTTGTTATAGCTGAAAATTATACACCCTACCTGTTTACAAAATACAACTAGCTGGATCATGCATGCAGAATTACTGCTTAGGTAGGTACCGAGTTGGCCAGTGGCATTTGATGACATCTCTAAGGCTATGGATCATTGGCTCCCAACATTTTATCGGTCACCGAATCCACGTGGACCCGATGTCAGTGCCTACGTAAGTAGCTAGGTACGAATGTATCGTATAAGATTACAGCGGCGAGTTATGTAGAAGCGTGTTGCCGATCTAGATATACGGTACTTGCCGATCTAGGTACATGTAGATAAGACCTAACCAGGTAGATACATACCTAAACAAGTACTCGCATGTGCATGTAAGTCTGCAAATAGGAGCTGGGTCTCGTACTTGCGATTGCTTCATCGATGGCTATACTAGCTGTATGCATACCCTTGCAGCTGAGAGTACTATATCAGGCAAATACCATTGGGTAACCGAGCACCTGTAGCCCTAGACGCTGATTAGGATGATGTGCAGCCAGTCAGTCCCAATGGTATTCCGGCCTTCCGAACAAGAGCAGAAAGGTCGCCAGGGGCCAATACTACCTAGGTATCTTAGCCCAGCTTGTCATCCTAAATAAAGCACCTACCTATGCATGACTAGTCTGTCGAGACCTTGGCTAAGACTCGGTCGTGCCTGCGTAGCTGTCCATATATCCCAAACCTCGTCGAGACGCCTAAATTTCCAAGACCTACAAACACCGTGGTAGGTGTATCCATCACATTCCTTTTTTTTCTTATAATAAGTCCCTATCCACTTATCATTATTGAAGATACGTTTACCTAGGTCTTGTGCTCACGAGATTAGCCGATCCCTAAAATATATTGGAAAAGGCTACCTAGGTACCTACCTTTTAAACTACTCAAAGCACAATGTTTCAACTACCACACAGATCAGGCTTACCAGGCAGCTTGTTAAATTGCCATGGAAGCCATTTAGATGTATCTAATAGTAGAGAGTATCCAGTGTGTGTGTGTGTGTGTGTTTTTAATAAAGCCATCTTATTCTCGCAGTTGCCAGATAACTCACTGTCCCAAATCATTTCTTGTTGGACTCTTCCATAATATTTCTATTATCTATTAAATAGAGCATACTGTTTAATAATATATGGGTAATTCACGGTGATCGCTTACTCCATTGTCAGCTTCTCGCTCCATAACGATGAACTAATAAAACGACACGTTATCATTTTAATGCCAAGTTAATAAAAATGTATTCTATTTCTCGTTAGACTCTCTGAGGAAATATGGGAAAGCTAGGCGTTTATACCTTCAATACCTAGGTGGCTTTCTTTGTTATTACATGGCTCTTTTGGAACCACTAACTCTGTTGAAGGAGGAGATATACTTACAGCCCTAATTTATTCCAAGATATTCCAGGCAAACCGTACCTAGGTATCTTTTAACCACTTCACTACAGGCGCATGAGATACTCGATTTTTCTAATCTCGACAACTTCTACGTGTGATGCTAGTTTAAGGTTCCTGACATGCGAGACAAGAGCTGATAGCTTAGTACAACTTCAACCGTGGGACTGCTTCTCCTCATAGCTACTGTTACTAAAACTGAACATTGAGAGCCGGTTATCAGCGTCATAGGTAACGTTTCGGAAAGCGCGGAAAAGGCAGAGTGCCGAAACTAGGTAGATCACGCCATTACCTAGCATCTATGTCTCATCAGGTATTAACCAGGCTGCTGGAGGTTCGTTTTCTCGCAATAGCGTGTTTCCGAACTTGATTGTTTAGACTAGCGTCCCTACTATATAATGCCATTTTCATAGACACTAGTCTGAATAGATCGCCTAATACGGCTCTCGTAGCCAACCTTTGTAAATTTGTCAATATTTCAGAATCTAGAATAACCAAGTATACACAAAATTGATATGTCAGCAGAGGATATCTAATACGTTTCTTTATGATCAGAATTTTAGGCTTTCCCCTTTCTCCCCCTTGGGAATACCGATTTCCAAGCGTTAGAACTCACAGCTAATCTAATGATGTGGGAAAATAACAGGCAGTTTCTAGAGTCATAGAGGCAATCCACAAATTTAATGTCTATGAAATACAAACTTCATACATTTAAACGTAATCTACTAGGTTCAAGTATATTTTCATCTCTTGATCATTTCTCTTTTCCCTCCTCCTTTTACAGTAAAATCTCTTCATGTGGCTGTCTCCATTTTGCTGCAATTGCTTAAAGCTATCGACTCACTTACAATCTCCTCTATTATCTTCGTTTTCTTCTCAAATGCTTAAACGGAACTAAAAGGCTGAAGAATACCGACGTTATTGCGCGAAGAGCTCTGACTACTCCCTTCTAAGGGATGCGGTATACATACATAGACCTTTATCTACAGCCAAAAGGTTAACTGCTAATAGGGAGGCCTCGTACAAGCTGACTCCTGATCCTTCTGGGCTACTAGCTCCTACAGTGGAGACTTCTGCCATATATGGTAATGGCAAAGCTTGGAAATTAACTTTCTTTGCTTGTTCCAGACAAAACAGTTCCCTCACGCATTATCTACGCCAAAACATCCGGTACAACGTTAGGTATCGAACACCTTTATCATGATACAGCCCCAATGATATGGCAGTGATGGCATTACTTGATGAACTTTAATTATCTAGGACCATGATTGCTGATATAGGCCGCTTTATTCGGATTGTATTTATCTGTTCTTGCCTGAGACTGGCTACTAAGAGACCTTCTCTCAAAGAACCAAGCCCCTGGATGGTCGAACTCCAATCCTACTAGACTTCCAATGGTAGCCACAGTGTTCAATACCTATGGCCTTTACGTATTGCAGACAGCCCTAGAGGATAGGAAGAATCATCGAAAAACGACATGGGCGAAAATTTCCAATGGGGTTAGTTCTGCCTACCTACCTAGGTAACACACTGGTACTCCAAGCGTCCTGTGCATTTATATATTATACCCATAGGCATATAGGATATACATCCCTCAGACGTAAGTAAGCTCATCATCATTTCGATAGAGAAACCCAACACATAATACACACCATCATTCCAGTATCTATAGTGTTAACAACAGAACAGCTACGGGATTCCAGGCGCAATATGTGTAGGTGTGGAGGCATGTACTTTGCAACATGATTCATGTCATGCTTGAAGTCCCTTTCTAACTGCAACCCAAATAGAACATATGAAAGATTAGCCAAGGAACACAAGGAATCACCAAAAAAGTCCTCGCAGGTAGGCGTGTAGAAGCTGCTAAACTAAATTTATTTGATTATATCCTAGACGCCCAGAGCCTTTTTTACTGTCGAACAACGTTCTACCATGCCTTCAGACCAACCGGAGATTTCCATCCACATTTCCTATGCACTCGTCCAAGTCAATCCTTTGCCTGTGCCAATTTCCTCCAAGGTCCATCAGTTCCGCCTCGAGCACGCGGCCATTCTCAATGAGACGGATATCCCTTGCCGTAGAACTGAAGTTGCCGGTTGATTGACCGGGTACCTGCAGGTTTTGCCCCGGGTAAATCATATCTGGGTTACTGAGGTTATTGGTCCTCGCAATATCCTCGACCCTGCAGTTGAAGCGCCGCGCGATATCCATCAGAGTGTCCCCTTGCTGAACGGTGACGCTGCTGGCACCAGAACCACCTTTCGCCCAACTGAAGCGCCCGTTTTCGTTGCTAAGTATCTTATTGAGATTTAAACAGCTGGTCTGGCGACCACCGTCTCGGCGTCGGCAAGCAGCGTAAAGGTCGTAGTCACCCTCCAAGTGAATGTCGTCAGATGAAGATGAGAAATTTCCGGCGTAATTCTTTATCGACCGGTCATGGCCCGGGGAGTGATGTCCTCCGTGATGAGGCTGAGGTGAGTATTGCGGCCCCGGGGAATAGCTTGGTGGTGGTGGTCCCGAGTGTAGTTGATGTTGCAGCCTCTCTTCCTCTTCCTTCTTTTCCTTGCGGTCATGCACGAAGTCTTGTAACTTATGGCCGGCCACAGCACCGCCTATGGCTCCAATAACTCCATGACCCATCTTGTGGCCACCGTATGCCCCGGCCGCAGCCCCAGCTAGCCCTCCCATTAGACCGCGCTCCCCGTCTCCCTCCGGGCCGGCATTTTCAGGTCCGGGCCCCGGGTAAGATGAATGATGCTGACGTTCGTCGTATCGATCTCCGTTACCGTTATGGGGGTATTGAGGATTAGGCTGTTCGCCATAATAGGAAGAAGCTTCGCCGCCGTAGCGTGGGTCCATTCCTGTTTATAGCAGTCTTCGGTCGCTTTGGATAGCTTTGGTCACGGATAGGATAAGGCTAGTTCTGAAATGCTGTTTGATCGAGAGGCTTAATGGGGGAAGATGGAATATGGAAGCAAATATAGATATGTATTAATGTCTGAATAATAAAAGTCACCGCTTAGGGCGGCTATTTGGCGTGATGCTTCAGCTGACGTGGGCATCTTCAGCCCCTTACCTTGACGATTAAGTGGCTCCTCATTATGTAGCGCGGCAACCGTTGTTTTAGTCCCATGGAACTCGACTCACATATTATGGTGAGATTTGATTTGTGGTGGATGGTCGGGTCAGAGCTGCAATACGGATACTCGGCAGTGGTAGTGGGTCTGTCATGATTGGTACTACGAAACGACGGTTTATGACTGGATTCGCGTGAGACGAAAATCATGCTGCCTAAACAGAAGAACACTATGACTGTTGGTGGAGTAATGCCAATAATATGAACCCGACTGCGTCAAGATGTAGAGCTTCCTGTCCATTGAAATGGCCAAGTGTGAGGCTTACCCCCTATTGGAACAACGCGTCTTATCCCTAGAAGACAGACAACAAAGTAGTTCACCTAGACACTCTTTTAGATATGCCGTTGAGGATGCATCATTCTTCGTGTAAACTGCGTGTATAAAGCCACTCGTCATTGTTGCCGACGACCTTCGCACTACCATTTCCACCAGAACAAATAGGAGAGTACACATACTTGTCCACACGTAAACCCAAGCTCTTTCACAAACAGAATCCAGCGGCTTGTTCCGGGGTCCATGAGATACCATTCTGATGAGCTGACTGGAAATAATACGAGAGTGATCGCAAGAGGACGTGCATGTACCACAGCACGTAAATCACGGTAGGATCCAAGTCGTGACACTATTACCAAGTAGGTTGCCACTCCATTGCTCGCCGCTGGTAGTATTCAGCGTAAGATAAACATCGTTGCTCAACGTGTTCTCGATTACGACCGTCCGCGTACCATCCGGATTCTTCGAGGCAACTGACTGGATACCCGAATACCTATCATAAGTGTAACTACCGGAGCCGCTGAGGATGGTTGCACCCTTGGGGATATACTTAGAGAATTGAGCCAACATGTAGTAATCGACAGTGTACTCAAACGTTTTTGCACTTTCATCCACGATAAACAGGCCACGGCACGTTGAGCACCCGCCTGGGATGTAAGGCCCAAAGGTACCGTCCGAAGCTTCGGTCCATGTGCCCAGAGTCCACATCAGAGAGCCTTCAGCCCAGTTTTGTAGCGGGCCAACGGTACTTTTAGAAGACTGATACCATGACGTCTGAGAGGCGGTCCAGCACTACAGCAGCGGGAGTCAGTGATTCCTTCTTCAAGGCATATTTTGGAAGAAAATCCTCCTTATTCGGTTGGGTTAAGAAGCTTTTGCCCTTAAGCGAGCCTAGAGGAGAAGCTAGAAAACTCACGGTGTTACATACCTCGGTCATGTACTGCGATTTCCCGGGATTTGTATTATGAAAATCTGTGAGGACAGTCCAGTTGAGGTCAATAGCATAGCAATGCCACGCAGTGGCCTGAACGTACTCGCTCGCGGCGTCGATGACCGTCTGTGGGTAACTAGGCGTGTCCGTATTGTGATCGTAAGCCCAGATCTGCGTATCCAAGCCGGCGTCACGTAGAGCAGGCCCGATATAATCGCGTGTCACCTTTGCGGCCTCGTCGGCTTCCTGGAGCATACTTATGTGTCCGTTTCCTACACTGATGAGCGGCTCGTTCTGGATGGTGATCGCATCTACGGCAACACCAAGATCCGCATAAGCCTGAAGATACTTCACGAAGTATTGGGCATATTGGTTATAGTATTGCGAATCTAACGAGTTGTTTTCGGCATTGCCGGTAAGAGCCTAAGTTATAGAATATGAGCACAGGTGGTTCGTGACGCGGAACTGAAATTGGTTACCCTGTTCAGCTTCATCCAACCTGGTGCACTCCACGGACTTCCGAGGATGGTGGTATCGGGTCTGATTTCCTTTATTTCCTTCAGTAAGTTCGCCATAGCCGTCCCCCGGTCTCCTAAGCTGAAGTTGCTTAGACTGGGATCCGTGTTATTGCCGTTATCATCGTAGGTGTAAGCAGGGGGCTCGGACAGGTCTGACGCCCCGATGGTATGGCGTAGCAAGCTCAGATTGGCCCCGTCCGAAGTTAACAGTTCTTTCAGCAGCTGAGAGCGCCGGTCCGAAGAAAGCGCATTTGCCACGATCACCGTCGCATCCGTTACAGTGCCACCGAAACCGCTAATCTTTTGTTTATATCCGGTTTCTGTATCGTCGATGCTCAAGCTCCATGTTGATGCACCCTCCGAGTTACCTGCTCCCGGAACCGGCGGGTCAACTATATCAAGCTTGTATCTGAGGTCTGAAGTTGAAGTATACGCTTGAGCTGCCGCCTGGTCAGCCCTGGTAAATAGCGACGAGGGAGCGGCGAGCGCTCGCCCAACAAGGACAGCAAGAATCGATAGCAGCATCTCGTCTGACTGAACGTGTCAAATAGGGAGCAGGCTTCTCACCAGCATATAGTCAGCGGATTGTTCAGCTACCCATTCGTCTAAAAGATTTAGCAAAGAGAGTATGGGTATGGTAGATTTTAAGTATCTCCCTCCCTTCACCATTTTTTTCAGATCGTTCATCTATAAGTACCGAAACAACAAGGCATCATTCCTGAAATGTAACCTCGCTGAGTGCAACAACTCATGGAGCATTTCTGCAATTTTATCCGGTAACACGGCATCGAGGGCGGCAGGGTCGAGGTCTAGTCCGATGGCTTTGCGGGGATTCTCTGACCGGATCTGGTAGGTGGCCATTTAGGTAGAGACTAAGAATCTACTACCATGAACAATGTGAATAATCAGAGACTCGTATGGTTTGAGTATCGGAGAAGTGTAACTATGTCCGGGAGAGACGAGATGGGTGTTAGATGGTTATAATGCCCAAAATACGTGATTATTTCTTAACCAAACGTTGGCCTACATTACCATCTTATGGGTAGGTAGGTACATATGTACCATAACAAAACATAACAAGGCGAGAGAATGCGGCTGAGAAGTTGTGCACTAAAAATAGAAATTATACTCCAAAAAGGTCTTATTCCAGGATCCTGGAAAGCTGATTTGACTTCCAAAGAGCCAGCAACTTGAACTACCATATAGTAGTTTTTGAAATTTATATATTTCTACTTCTGTATGTATTATTACTGATATCTAATATTCAAAAATTAGGATGACGAAAGTATTTTTTAACAGTCGGGGTTTTTTGCCAAAACTCGACCTCTGTTGATAAGAAGCCCCCTGAAATCATGAAATTTGGTCGTGACGATGCCACTCCATAGGTAGGTAGTATGCTAGCCGGACCGACTGTCAACGAAACATCTACTAAAGTAGGTAGTTAATGGGTAATCTCATGAGCTGCATATGCCTGCTATGTATAGTCTTAGGTCGCATGTGTACATACATCGTATGATGTGATGAAAGTCTTTTCGTGTCCGCAACAACTGCCGAGCATAGGTATATGGTCAGGTTTCCCCAGGAGTGTGAGGGCTCGCTGGTAGCCCACGCACACCGGAGATACGGGAGGCAAATATTCCAACATCTGGAGAAGGGATCGGACACAACTTTTGTGTTAATTTGTTTGCGTAACATAAGTTTTGGTATAACCTGTTTGTAAGTCGCCCCTGTCTGCGCTTTTACTGGCTCCTATGGTAGACTTAAAACCCATATGCTATTTTGAAAACGATGAACAACCAGTGTAAATTCAATCAAGCTTAAATTAAAGAGCTTCGAAGATGTCTGGTACCTAGCTAGGTATGTACTTACGTTTCTGGCTAGGTTTTTAAATATGTACCTACAACGCAGAACACCACCAAAAATCCAGGTTCCCTTAGATATTGACCTTGGCCAATTTGCCTATGATTATATCATGGGCTGCCTCGAAAACATGCCTAGAGAGCTCCGTTCGCATTAGGGGATAGGTCCTCAAATACCGAGTGTCACTTCCGACTCGACCGAGATTGCTACAAGTCGTGAGAAGTAGGTATGGCTGAAGATAACTTGTTACAATCTTGACGGATCTCGGCAACCCTAGCTACTACGACCAATATTCGGCATGAGATTCCGAGGATGCCTGACCTTAGTAATATTATAGAAGAGTATGTACAAGTTCGGATTTGTCCCTGAGAAATGAAAGTATTGTTAATAGTTTACCCCTTTAATTACCCCTTTATCTCTTACTCTCTTACTCTCTTACTTTATCATAACAGTTATAAAATTGTGCTTTATGTAGGGTGTGTATTGATTTTTATGCAATACATCCATATGCTGTAAATTTACGCGCGAGCCGGGATCTCTAGGGCAGAGACGAACTTAGATCCGCTGTCCCGATGGCAGGTTCTCCCCGCACTAGGAGGGTAGGGGTATCGCCGCTTCAGGCGCCACAAATGCTTATGCCACAGATTCGGAAGCCACACCACCACCTCCACCTTTAGGTAATATGCACCATAAACGAATAGTTATACATACGGAAAACTCCCACTTGGACGCTTCACATTAACTTCTCTTCCGCTCCTCCTTTGTCCTACAATTTCGCATAGCCTCCCGGGGCTCTTCACTCCTATCACCATGGGTCATCTCGTAACTGTTGCGACATGCTCATTGAACCAGTGGGCCTTAGATGTAAGTGTTCCACGACTCGACGTAATATATGCTGCCCTTGGCCTGTGATAAGGGGGACTAAGATTGACATATACTGTCTAGTGGGAGGGTAACGCTCAGCGCATCATCGAGAGTATCCAGTTAGCCAAGGCAGCGGGTGCACGGCTACGTGTCGGGCCGGAGGTGAGCATCCGTCTTATTTGCTTATCTATCCTTCTCATCCGTCGTCCCTTTTTGACTCGGGGCTGGCCAGTTGGAAATATGCGGCTATGGATGTCTCGATCACCTGATGGAGCAAGACCTCTACCTGCACTCCTTGGAGATGCTTAGACGGATCCTCCTTGATGAGAGTTGCTACGGGATATTATTGGATATAGGCATGCCTATCCAACATAGGAATCAGCGGTTCAACTGTAGAGTCATATGTCTCAACTCCAAGATCCTCATGATCAGACCTAAGATGTGGCTTGCGAACGACGGTAATTATCGGGAAATGAGATTCTTCACACCGTGGATGCACCCCCGAGAGGTCGAAGATTATCACCTGCCTCGCATGCTTCAAGAAATTCAAGGGGCTATACATGTACCATTCGGCGACGCTGTTATTTCCACCCCAGACACCTGCATGGGCGCCGAGACTTGCGAGGAGCTTTTCACTCCCGCAGCACCTCATATCCCTATGAGTCTCGACGGCGTGGAAATAATCACGAACTCTAGTGGATCACACTTCGAACTTCAGAAACTTGAGACTCGACTCCAACTCATAACGGAGGCTACCCGAAAATGTGGAGGTCAGTACCAGTTGCCCAGTTCCCTCATACCCCTGCACGACCCTTATTAAGTGATCTTTTATCTAATTATCTAAAATTTACCTGCTTAACAAGTCGTCCCTCTTATGGCATATGCTAACATTCGTACGACCACGGCTTAGGCATTTATCTCTATGCGAACCAACGTAACTGTGCTGAATTCCAATTTGAGAACCAGTCGCTAACATAACCGCAGAGGGTTGTGACGGTGACCGGCTGTATTACGATGGTTCAGCCATGATTATCGTGAACGGGGATATCGTTGCCCAAGGCTCGCAATTCAGCCTCAACGACGTCGAAGTGGTGACGGCAACCGTAGATTTGGAAGAAGTCCGGGCCTACCGGTCGGCTATCTCTCGAGGTTTACAGGCCGCCAGATCCAGCGCCAAGTATAGACGTATTCAGACTACGTTTGAGCTCAGCTCAGAAGAAGACGACTTCGACGTTGGAAAGCGCCCATCCCCACCGGTCAGACCACGGTATCATACGGTGGAAGAAGAGGTTGCCCTCTCTGCAGGCTGCTATCTTTGGGATTATCTGAGGCGGTCCGGTGTAGCAGGATACCTAGTTCCCCTAAGCGGTGTGTATCACCGTATTCCCCGTCTCCATTTGCACGTCCAATTAACTCATATAATATAAAAGGAGGCATAGACTCCTGTGCTACGGCAACTATCGTTTACGTATGTATCTTTTGCTTTTCAATTATTATTCCATGATTTCTCTCCTGTTGCTACCCCTGGGGTGGAGTTTCCCCTTCGCCTGGACATGACTTTTGAGAGCAACTGCTGATGCATGCTGCTATAGTCAATGTGCCGCATTGTGATGGACGCTATCAAAGAAGGAAACACTCAGGTGATCGAGGATGTCAAGAGAATCGCTAAGTACAAAGGTGAGGGTGTTCTTCCCGAGACCCCACAAGAGCTTTGCAACCAGATATTTTCGACCATATACATGGGGATGAAGGCGCAGAGTTCCCGTGAGACAAGACAGCGAGCAAAGGACCTAGCAGAAGCTATAGGGAGTTACCATGTCAACCTAGACATTGACGACATCTATAATGCTCAGAAAGCACTTGTCGTCAACACGCTAAGCTTCGAACCGAAATTCAAGGTCCACGGTGGCAGCCATCAGGAGAATCTCACATTACAGTGTCTCCAAGCACGAATTCGTATGGTCACGGCTTATGAATTTGGGCAGATCTTGCCGACTGCCCGAAATAGGCCTGGAGGTGGGAGTCTGCTTATCCTTGGGAGTGCGAACGTAGGAGAATCTCTGCGCGGTTACCTGACGAAGTACGTTTATGGCCCTGGCTGATTCTCGCTATGATGCTAACAATTTCACAAGATATGATTGCTCAAGGTCAGCATACACTTTTCTTCCCCGATCGCGGGAATGACATTCTACTTTTTTTTTATACACAATCGATTTGCCTCGCGCTTAACCATTCTTACAATCGCTAACTTCCACTGGATCCAGTGCCGACATCAACCCTATTGGTTCAATTGATAGTAAGTTCTCCTTTCATTTAATTAATAGCTGTCCCCTTCAGCTCTCATTATGAATCGTGGCAATCGATTCTTGGCAAAATTACCGCCGTTGGTATCATAAAGGGTGAATGCTAATCCTCGATGTCATATAGAAGCCGATTTGAAGTCTTTCATAGCATGGGCCGAGAAAAATTTCAATCTGCCATGCCTACACGATTTCCTAACTGCTACACCAACCGCCGAGCTTGAGCCTTTGACGGAAACTTATGTCCAGAGCGACGAGGCAGATATGGGAATGACTTATGCCGAGCTAACAATCTTCGGGCGCCTGCGTAAGGAAAATAAGTTGGGACCTTTCGCCATGTTCCAGCGGCTTGTTCACGATTGGAGCGCCGATCGTGTCAAGAGTCCAGATGACGATGCCCCTGAGTACACGCCCACCCAGGTAGCAGAGAAGGTCAAACGCTTCTTTCATTTCTACGCCATTAATCGCCACAAAATGACTACTCTTACTCCTGCCTTGCACTGCAACCCATATTCTCCAGACGATAACCGGTTCGACCTCCGACCGTTCCTGTATCCTTCGTTCTGGAAGTCGTGGTCGTTTAAAAAGATCGATTGGGAATTAGAAAAGATCGAGAAACGTATGAAGAAGAAATAAATCAGCAGCGTGCAGGCTTGTTTCTCAGCTTGGAATGTAAAATAAACAAAGTCGTCACTCGACGCATGATTCGTGGGAGTGATATAATTGGAGTGACTATTTGTTAAGACATATCAATGTTACTTGTTAGCGAGGGCTACATCATAACTTAACCATTATAGAAAGAAACTCAAGATTTACGATGAGCTAGCCTTAGCTTACAAAATGAGTAAGTAAATACGCTTCATGGCATGGCATATCCTCGGGACCTAGAGGCTTCCAAGACCTCATGCGACGGTAGACGACGAGGGAAAAAAATTAGAGCTGGTGAGCTGGTTGAGTTGGCGGGGATACGTGAGATTGCCTACATTCTTACATTTAGAATCACTGGAGCAAAAGGGTCGGTGCTTGGGGGATATTGTTCATACTAATTAGGCGGGCTGGCACTCGAGAATCTGTCTTTGGGAGGTGTTTATTCCTTTAACTGACAGTTACCGCCAGCTACGGATTAGGGAACAAAATACACCTGACCGCCCACCAAAGATGATTAGGAGAGGATAAGACGTTGTATTGCTAGAAATAATCTAGACTCCGGTTTTAAGTCTATTAGCCCCTTTATATTATATGTCTGGTACATCGGGCCGTGTGAAACCATCTATTTTGCCTCCTAATCTCTGGCTGGAAAGGGTTAACATAAGTATGCATAATACGAATAAACTTTCATATAAACACGCTTAAGTATAAAACAACCCAACTTATACTCGAGTGGGGTGTTAGTTCCTTGTATATATATCACTGGAAAAGAGACTTTAGTTTTCCTCGCATGCCCCATCCTGTCTCCAACTGTGCCCGTATGAATCCGTTTCCCCTTGGCCAGGGGCCTCGAAGACATTGTTGTCGGACCTGTCAACAATGACCGTATCCTACAAAGGATTATCCTCGCCAACCCTCGAAGTTCCATAGCCTATTGTGCTGTGGAAGGGATTATGAAAATCTGTGACGTGTCCCATCCTCCATGCCAGTCTTCTCAGGATTGACGTGCGAATCCATTCTCCCGAACTTGCTCACATTGGAATAGTATCAAGGTATGAGTGAATTATATCCCACCAACCAGGTGCGTTGCGTCTCTGTCTTCGTGACACATTAATGAAAAAAAGAAAGATAAAGGTATCTTGATTCTGATCGAAAGTCATTCCGAGATTTGAGACTTAGACCATTGAGCTCCTTCCCCCAGGGCAAACAGTAAACTGACTCCTCTTCGAGCAAAGTAGGGTCGAGGACGACGACCTTCCAATTGATCATATAGTTTATGCCAAGGTCCATGAGGATGATCGCAATCCTGGCACTGCCAAGAAGTTCCTGGTAGAGAAGGAATATAGGTAGCCCGTTTCGTGGACTCATGAGGTGGTCGATGGCTTTGTCGGTGCCATCTCCGAAAAGGTAGTTGGCGTGGACCTCCCCAACATTCGGGGGCACCACGGGGCATGGCTCAGTCCGGGCATCAAGACTTAGGGGCATATCCTCCAGGGCTAAGGTGGATGACAAAGATTGCAACACTGCTCGGTATTTGGTGATCATCTTTGACGGGGCGGCCAGTCTTGGTGCGTGATAGTATGCGTAGCCCGCAACGTTGATGGGCTCATAGTAGCCCCTGAAATGACACACCAAAACTTTGTCGGCGACACTTCAGTGTCATACACACTGGACTCCTTTCCTAGTCGTTCGTGGAGGCAGCTGGATTGACTGTTTGGCACCTGCGGGCTCTCTGTAGAGTCGAGTTATAGAATCAATCAGACTCTAGTCATTAGTTTCTTTCTCCGACTGAGAGCGCTCGTTGTCGATCATGAACGCAACCATCCTAGCGCTCTGCTCCTTGAGGGCGACTAAGGTAGCCTTCGTATCGAGGATTGAAGTCAGCACGGCCTGGTACTGCTTGTTGTAGTCACTCCTGGTAAGTGTAGGAGTTCCTCCGTATGTCAAAAACCTTCTCTGTGAGAGCTGCTAGCCAGAGGTCTCGTCAGAGTTAGCTAGTAGCCCAGAAAGATCAGGAGTCGGCTTGTACATGGCCGCCCTATTGGTAGCTGGCCCTTGGCTGCAGACAAAGGAAGGTCTATGTATGTACCGCATCCCCTGGAAGGGAGTATTTGGAGCTCTTCGCGTAAAAACGTCGTTATTCCTTGGCCCTTTGGTTCCGCCTCGTGACACCGTAGGAAGCTTGCTTCAGGTAGAGGGCAGTCGTGTAGCATTCTGACTCCCTTTCTTTTGAATTTCTCTCTGTGTGTGTGTCGAACAGGCTTTTGTAATGTACGAATTTAGCCGATTCGGATTCATTGATAGTCTGACTCTTGACTATTATATCTAGATAGCAACTCCACATGCGAGAAAGACCGCTTCCAGCTACCGGTCGGTGGCGGGGAAGAAAATGAAGGCACTGAGATCATACCAGTATAACTGTGATCGACTACCTCGCGTAGTTCTCCTTGTTTCTTTGATATCCAGGGAACTGGAGTTGAGTTCGCTGGAGACGAGTTGCGACGTTGACCCAGTCTTTCACCTCGCGGCATGGTGATGTGGTAATTCTAGGATACCGTGGGCTGTGAGTTGTGGGTTGAAGGAAGCAAGAAACTGATTGAGGAATCCGATTGGGCGTATAGATAATATAATTGGTGGCTACATGGGCAATCCTGTAGTCAGATTAAATCCAAGACGCTTGCTGAATATCTCAACGTTAACTCATCATTTATAAATAATCAAAGCCTAGAAGATGCGATCTTTTCACGGTGTTTATAGACACCCCAACGCTACAATCCTGTCTGATTATTGCCCACTGCGCTGGAATAGGCGCGGACTAGTTATACTTGTTATACTTGTTATACCAGAAGGTTAAGTTACTACCTACTAAGGGACTTTCGCTTTGTTAAACCATGGAAATATTGTCGACAGGATATACAGGTATAATTATTTCATCAGATTTCCTGTCTTAGAAATAAATCATCTCTTTCTGAAGGTTTGGTCCAATCGAGGTTTGGCCTGCCGGAGACCCCTTACTACTTATTCCTAGGGCAGAAGGAACAGAGGGCATCGCCTATGCCTATCTATACATCAGTCCTGGTTAGATAGGTTAGGTTAGATCTCCCCATTCACTAGTAGTAGAATATGATAATCATATACCATAGCAAGTCCAATATGCCGTCAGATATTCTTGACATATCACGATAGCATCGGAAAATTATGCAGTGAATCTTAGTACCAGGTACGCTTAGATACTCGATATCATAGGCCAGAATCTTCCTTAATAGGGTAAGCATATTGTTAGACGCTGTAATGTATACACTCACCCGGGGTTTTATTAGGAGCAAGGGATTCCTGTGGCATTCTGCGCATGGTGCCGAAGGAGAAAATCTTTTCGAACGTATGACCCCTCGGGCTTGCCGACAAGACTATGATCAGCTCGCCTAATGATGATCTTGAAGTAAACAACATCTAAGTACATACATTGATAAATTTCTTACGTACAGACAATGGTGAGTTCGGACTAACACCGATCCTTCAAGGGGTCATGGTCCTTTATATGCCATGCCTAATGCGTGGGGGCCTATATCGAGTTGATTGGATACTGTCATGTATAAAGTCTTACGATGAATGGCGAGGGTATTGCCATAGCTGTGGAGAATAAGAAACTCCTTATGCGAACTGAATGTGGCCGAGGTCGATGAGCCTGTGCTATACCCGGTTTACAGACACTGGAAATAATATGAATTCATAACAAGAAATGTCAATGTAACCTTCCATACCCATCAGTTTCGTGGCAGGACGCCATGGTTGCCGTACCGACTGGTTTCCCAGGGGTAGGATGTAGAACCTTGATGGCCACAACTACGACGTCTTAAACCCTGACGATTTCCTATCCGCAATCCGTTACCCTCTCCGCTTTACTCCTCTCTCACAATGGAAAATCTCTTACACTGTGAAACGACAGGTCCCTTCGCGATACTAAAAGGGCGTATATCCTTATCCACCCCTAAAAGTCGACAATCCCACTACCCACCCATCCTCGGGGATCCTCCCTTAAACTCGACAGCAGAAAAATCGAATACGATCCAAATCCCAACTTTAACGCTCTCGATATGAATAACCTTGGAAAATTCTAAACTCGACGTTAAGAAGGTGCCCCGGTCCATCCCAATAAGCCTACCTAAAGCAGGTCTTTTCCAGTTATCCACACACATACACGCACACCCTCACGAGAGGCCGAGATTCCCAGTGGATTTAGAATCACCAGACTTCGTCGGACCTTCTGTATACTGATTAGGTATCCCCACCTACCACTCCTACGCGGCCTGAGCCAGGATGCCTCCCGTAGTCGGACTGTCAATATAGAGTACAAAGTGTTAGGAAGAAAGGATTACTTAAAGAGATATGGATATTAATGGTTACTATTGGTGGATTATTTCTGCGATACTAAAAGCCTTGTTTTCTTTCTCTTTCTTTCTCTTTCTTTGTGAACGCCGTAACACCACAACATCTGTGGAACGGCGTCAAGATTTTGTCACCCTACTACTGGGGACACCTGCGATGCTTTCTAAGGACAGCATTGGAGGCGACTTGGACAATACCATAGTGGTCCTTTAAAGAGTATTTCGTAACCTCTATGCTTTTAAAAATGTATGCCCCTAATCAAGTTGCCATGTTTATATGTACCTAGGTAGGTAATCATAAGACGTTTCTAGTGTACGCTTTTTCTGATCCTGTGACGAAGCGAGGGCTAAGCAGGCGATTGGCTGCATTATCGAAACGAGGCAGACTCTCATTTTCAACATTCATTGCTGTTCCCCTATGGCAACTAATTAACAAGACATATATGTATTTATTGACTCTTCATGGCTTAGTTTATTAGCTAATAAATACTACGAGTGTCAACGTATAACAGCACCAAGCTGGATCGCAGATGGAGCTAACACAGCAACAGGCAAGAAAATTTCCCGCCGATGTCGATGTTACATGCAGCCCCTTGCAGGTCTACAGCAGTCGACTCAAAATCTCCGGGTTCAATGTTCCCTACTATGCAGCCTACTGCGTGCGAATCTAGATTATCCCTTGCTGCCAAGATTGTCTGACGCACCGCTACCCATAGTTCCTATATTCTGGCTGTCACTGAATTAGTATTCGAGTGGGTATTAGAGGCCGTCTGTATTTCTAGTATATCATCCTATCCTTAAGGCCGCGGGATATGTTGCAATCTAGGGTTCTGATGTTGCTATTTTCTCACTTTCGCCCACGCTTCGAGGCTCTTCCAAACCTGGCGCGGCTTGGAGTTGGCATTAGCTAAGTGTAAGTTTTAGACCGAGATACTCTTAGGAATGACACACATAATTACTTTATGGCATTAGTCAACGGTATATTATTCTCTCAATTTGTAATCATTCCGTCTGTAGACTTATTATAGGTACTTGTCTTTAAGCATCAGGAGCTCATTAACTGAAATCCAGCTTATTGCGCTCGAGTATTACAGTGACGGACTTTATACCACTATATTGTTTTCATTAGGAGGGATTTTGAAATTTCCAAATGGGGTCTTCTGTTCGCCTATGGCTATGACAGAATTCCCGGTTCAGGCGTACGCCGTAGAAAGCCGATATCGAGTCAACCCACGCAACGTCAGATTTATCGGCGGCATTTCTCATTCGACACAGAAACATATGGATACTTAGATTAGTAGACTAGCAGACTAGTAGCGGGTGCTGAGGTCGGATCTCAATGGCTAAGTTCATTGGACCTACTTTCTACTTGCGATACCGACAACTGGATTCCATTAGTCAAGCGAGCTCAAGCGGATCGAGCACGGGGTGGGCGTGCTGATATGGTTCCCGAGGCGTCGTATATCACCTGCAGGCCAAGTCTGTGGGGCTCTCGAAGGAGCCAAAACTCGGACAACACCGACCAAACAGCAGTTATCGGGTGCCGCACCTGACCACACTCCCCAGACTCCCGCAACCTCGATCAGCATAAGCTCCCACGCCTTTGATCCGAAACGTGGCAAATCCCGTTCAAGGACTCAGCCGCGCACTGGACTAGCGTGTCGCGTATAAGCTGGCTAGTGGAGGGTTGATAAAGGACGGCAATGAGGGATGGAGGGAAGAGTTGCGAGCTGGGCTTAACAGGAGAGAAAACGCAGGTATACTTAGCCGACGGCGACGATGCGGAAATCGAAAATGGCAAAAGGGGTGTGCAATGTACGTCTCATGAGCATGTTGACGAGCTTTCCCCCAGATCCGTCCTTTGGATTCTCCAACACTACAGTAGATGGAAGCCCTAGAAGAAGTTAGTGAAGCAATCTCGATATCCCTGCCGATCAAGACACGTTAGCTAGGGTTGCACGACTTCGACGGACTGTATATCCCCCCGCACTAATCCCCATCCCGTTCGGTATCGCGATCTGAATGGATGGTCAGCATGTGATAGCAAGCCACTTAGGCCGCGTGAAGCGCCAACTCACACACCCACCCCACGACAATCGTGTAGATAGCTAGCCGTAGTCGATCGAGGGAGGGTGAAGGTGACCACAAGAGGATTCCTGCTACGACTATTCCTTGTAGCTAAAACGACTATTTAAGGCCATCAAGCTCCCCCCTTTTCGATAGATCGTAATAGCCACATAGTCACATAACAGCTCCGTACAACCAAGACACCTCATACACCAAAACAATTCGATTATATATAAGCTTCAGCTCAACCCCCAAACTACCTTCAAAATGGAACCCGCCACCTGTGGATGCGCTACTTGCTCTTGCGCTGACTGGTAAGCTTCCAACCCCCTTTACGCGTAGCCCGTGTCGCTCCTCTACCTTCTCTTCCTCTCCTTCGCCCTTACTCTCCTTCACCCTTCCTCCCCGTCCTTCTTCTCATCCCCTTGTCTCTCTCCTTCTCATGCTCTCTTCCCATCTCACCCCCTCTTCCTCTCTCCTTCCTTTCTATTAAAAGCTCATGACTAACATCGAGAAACGCAGCAACTCCTGCTCCTGCTGCGTAAGTCCCTGTCCGACAGTTGTAGAATGTCGTCCTCCCCCAACTCACACGTACATATAGAGCCACTAAGCACAGGTCATTTCGGCCTAGAAACAAGCGTCCTCGTCGGATTGAGGTCAGGCTGGTTGGAGGATCAATTGGGAGATCGTAGGGGATATATACATTACGGGGTGGTGTTTGCTTCGCACGAGACTCGCGTTGTATGTGTTAGCAGATTGGCCAGTCGCGTCGAGATAAATATACACTCTTTGAAAATCCATTGTTCTATCATGCTTGCATATGGGTATCGTTATGCCGACCATCTACTAACGCCGCCTATTTCATGTGCCCATCGCTCGTGACTTCATTCATTAGAGGGTGCCCAATTAATTAACCAACCCCTTGCCCTATCTAGATCAGGGCCCTCAGCTTCACACGCTGCAATGCACCACTCCAGATCCCAGTCGTCTTCGGCCGCCAGCATCTCCGCAAGCTTCCTCCTACGCTGATTCGCCTCGTCGACGCAGAAGTATATTTGTTTCTGCGTATCACGGACGGAGTCCATCAGAGGCCGAATCTGGGGCAGCACGAGCTGCGCGGTCGACGGTTTTGCCTCCAGCTTCAGGTTAGCACGACCCGTCTTACACCACTCGTTAGCACACCACCTCTTTCCACACCCTTGCATCATTTGCGTTAGATAACGACGTTCGATGCGTCTCTTCAAAGCCTTCCCCTCAGGATCGTACAGGCTCACGTAGAGAGGAGAGAAGCATAGAGAACATAACCCTAGATCGTTGCCAGGGCCCTGTCCCATTCGGGTGCCGGCGTTGACCGTGCCATTCCTACCGACGCCGTGCAAGGTCCGTCCACAATTAACGTTCCGGCAGATTGGGGGCTTCGGCCGATGAGCCTTTTCAAGCTCGTGATACTTCAGGTGAGTCGACATATCGCGGAGCCGGATAATCTTAGAGCACAAATGGCAATCCGTAGTTCTCGCGCCATCGATAAGCTCATGTTCCGTGAGGCCCGTATGAAGCATCTCGGCGGATGGATTGAAGGGGTCGCCTTCTTGGCAAACTTCCAGGTGGCAGAACTGGCACAAGATGATCTTACCAGGACAAAGCGTGGTACGGTGGCGCGCCAGATCCGGGATCGAATTAGTAGTGAATGGACAAGATGGACATCGCCGCTCAGTGTGGTAGATGGCATCGTGCTTAGCTTTGGTCATCTCTGACGAGCCGTACGCCTCGTCACGAGGGCAATGCCAATGCTTCCTCCATTCGTCCGACGTCTTCTGGAAGACATTTCGACATTGAGGACACGCTACATTATTGCGAAGACAGAAATTCTCATGCAGGATAATGGTACGCTTAGGAATCCGTTGAAGACAATTCTTGCATGTTTCTTCATCCGGAGACTCCTCCTGCATTTCCGGGGTGGCCGACTCGGAGACTGCTGGTGCGTCCGTCGTCATCGCGTTATTCTTGACCCTTAATTTATACGGGAGAGGGGAGGCGTCTGTCGGCGAGACGCTCGGATCAGGGGTATACCCAAAAACGGAAATAAGTAGGCTTTCGGCATTCTCAAGCTCGACGTTGGTGGGCTGGATGATTATACGCTTGCTTCCGTGTTCCGTATAGCTGAAGGCGCCGAAAACATATTCCGACTGGCGAGGCGGCACTCTCTGACGCGAGGATTTCGGACTCACAAACAGGTCTACGCCGTACTCGTCCTGTAACTCGCTGATCTCGATCTCGAGAACCCTCGACCGAGCCCACGAAGGGAGTTCATAATCCACGTAATCTCCAGGAAGAACTTGGCCGTCAACGGCTTTCCAAATATTAAGCTCCTGGCCGACCGAACTGCCACCTACGGTCCCAGGTGCCTTTTGTTGCCTAGCTATGATCTGTCTCATGGTTTCCCTGGCTTGCGCCTCGTCCAAGGCCTCAATGTCGACTTCGAGATCAGTATTCACGACGCAAATGCCGTCCCCCTCCGGCCTGAACCCATCAATAAGGAGGCGGAATAACTCGCCCTTGACACCTGGCACGGATAAAATCGCGCCGTTTGTCAGTGTTGTGAAGCTCTCACGGAGTTTCCTCTCGAGCAAGGATTTCCAGTCGTCGGGATTATATCCTGCTTCCAACGGCCTCAGGCGAACATATGTCCCCTTCGGCAGATGTTTTGCGTGAACGGTGATTCGTGACGTTGTGGCTTCGTTGCTAGACGAAGCAGTTTCCTCATCTGACGGGTCCTTGGTGGAATCGACTCCCAGAGCTTCCATTAGGTACGGGCTCAGCAATACCTCGTCTTCCTCGGCCGAGAATTCGCGTATGCCAGCGTAGACGGCGTTACCATTTGACGGGTTAACCAGTCGAAACATAAGCGGGCTTGGAAGCTGCTGATAGGGATCGCCGTCAAAAGCATACGGAGCTCGACTGTATGATGCGGATGTTGACGTTGATATACGGAAGGGGTTTGACGAGGCCGAAGCCGAGATAGAGGTGGAGTTCGAGGATGAGGTTGAAGCGGCGAGTAGCTGTTCGAGTGCAGACTGAGGGAGGATGATCTTGTCGCCATCCAAATCTTTAGATGGGTATGTGGCTCGAGAGGCAACATTTAGAGTGGTAGACCACTCGATAGTAGGTTGTTCGTTCATATTGGACGGGGTTTATGGTTTATGGTTTATGTCGAATGTCGAATATCGAACGTCGAACGTCGAATCGGATAGCCACTTTTTCGTATTATAAGTGCTTGTGTTTTAAGAAAAAATAAAACGATTCGTAAGCTACGAGAGACATCCCTAAAAGAAAGGAGAAAGGGAAGAGAAAAGAAGGATGTGCGATGGGGCCAGCGGCCAGGCCAAATAAAAATAAGTTGATGAGAAATGAAGTTGTGTGGAGAAGTTCATGGTTATGGAATCGTGGATGAAGAAGATTGCAAAAGGATGAAATTGATGAAAATGACGAAAATCAGTCAGCTATTTCCTTCGAGTTCCATCCAACGGGATGACGCAGCTGCCAACCTGCTCAACCTGCTCAACCTACTCAACCTACCTAGGTAAGGTACTCAACCTACTCAAAACCTAAAATTAGTCGATACGTGTACTCGAGAAATACAAACGCTCGCCCGGGAGAAGGAGGGTTCTCGCAAGTAGATCGGTGGTCACTTTCGTAGATTGCCGACGAGGACTAGCGGGGCTGCTCCTAATGAAGAAAACGTGTCACCGGTATCTCCGCCGCTTGCCGCATCGGGGCTAGGTGGGCATTTCTGGCATTTGAATATTGGCAAGTCCTAACCGAACTGGGGTATGTGCATGCTGAATGTAGTATTTAACCCCGAGCATGGCCATTTCGGCAGGTGCATACTATGTATATGCCATGTAAGAATTCTCAACAGAATTTCGGACATAAGATTTATTATCATTTGTATCGTACCTAATACAATATTTATGTACATATTATTCAAGGTCGACATCTTACCACTCGTCACGACAAGCACAGACCCAGACTCATACAAGACGATGATTGACAACATCGAAACATCGAAACATCGAAACGGCTAATAACTGTTGCATATTATGTGCGCCCCTGGCCAAGAAGTTCCAAGACGGAATGGTGTGGGAGAACAGGGAGAAGTAAAAGAGGCCAAGCTCGATTGGTGAGTTGGTCGAGGAGCGTCGATCTCATTCGTAATGAGAGTTATTTAAACGACAGTGCTGGCCACCAGACGCACTATGAGATATACCTACGACCATGGCCAGCATGGCTAACGCTATCCCCGCATCGACGAGGAGGCGAATGACTCCGACTGCTGCAACCTTGGTCAGTCTCGTCTGGAGTCTGGCAGTCTGGCAGTCTGGATAGCCTTCCGGTCTAGATTCGAGAGCATCCAAGTGGTGCAGTTGCACTTTGCTGGCTTTGTTCTATTGACTTGCATGTGTGGGATGTTGGGAGGTGATGCGACGCTGTTCGGATCAACCTGCCAAGGACAGGCAAACTGCAAGACTATTGCCATCCTTACCCAAACGATACGCAATAGTGCGTCTGTCTTAATGAGCGAGGAGCCCTCTGCCAATGCTTCCCATATGTCTTGAGTAGTCTTAGCTTCTTGGGCTCTTAGCCTCTCACATACACAACCTTCTCACGGTGGTGGGAATAGGGGATAGACGAGAAAACACCTCACTCTACAGTAGGTATTCATAAGCCTCCCGGTGTTTTACAAGGGAGTATATTAGATAGCCACGTTTCTCCCGTCACCTTCTCCGTCGTGAAGCGGTGCTCATCCGACTATTTTGCTTGCTCGTTTGCTCGTTTGCTCGTTTGCTTGCTTCGACGTTGAAACTTGTTACCCCTATCTCGATTTTGTAAACGACCTATATACTTGTATAACTGCTCAGATATTCAAGTGCACTGTGTAGGTATACTCCTAATACCTATAATATTCCCTATAAGACGTCTACGGTCTCAGACACCTCTCGAGTCTATCCACTTCTGGTATAACTACTCTCTTACCCCGGACTGCCCAGACTCCACCACCCCATCTATTAATACTACTTATTGATACCTTGCTACCCTACCCATCTCTCTACCTAGCCCAGCTTCCTAACCTTATTCATTCTTAATAGCTTTCTTTTCTGACTCGTCATCGCGTCGCCTTCTTTCTTAACCGGCAGCTGGTCTGTATTTGTCTGCATGTAATGGCATCAGGAGTCGCCATTCAACAACACGCGCGCCACTTTTCCGGTTCCCAATCCGCCGACGAGTTCACCCTCAACCCCCTCCTAAATCTCCTCACCAACACTCTCGTCCTACACCAGACCATCCCCTACCTCCCCATCTCGAGCCTTCTCAACCTCGCCGCCACCTCGCCGTCCTTCCACGACCTGCTTCTGCGCCGCACCCCCGGCGTCTTCCGACATCTCGACCTCACCCGAGTCAAGACCGCCCAGTTCGAGATCGACGGCGGCATCGATCATGGCGGCGAAGTCTGGCGCAACGTCCAGGTTGACGAGAACCTGACCGAGGACGACTTCTACTCAGGTCCCCTGCGCGGCATCATCCAGAGCATCCGCCGCCGCGACATTCTACACCATGTGCAGACGTTAGTCCTTGACGGCCTCTCGGTCACCGCCGAGTTCTGCAACGACATCCTCGTCGACCCCACCCTTCGCGTGCGCATCTTGTCTATCCGCGACGTCAAGAACCTCAACGAGCGCAAGCTGATGCAGAGCCTCCGTTACGTCTGCCGGTCCACCCGACCCGACGACACCCCTCGACTGAAGGGTCTATACGTCTTCGGCGCTAGGGATGCGCCCGACCTAACCGCATCTTCGCCGACGGGGCAGAACGGAACGGCTCGAGCAAGCTCTAACATTAGCATTGGTTGGAACCACAAGTCGCAGCACGCGTTGAAGGAATCTTTCCGGGCGGAAGGTGACGACTGGTATCATAGGAGAGGGCGCATCATTGGCAGGCACATCACTGACGGCTGGGCCGAGACGCTTTTAGACTGTCGCGAGATGATCAGGTTCGACGCTGTGCTCTGCACAGGGCCTCGTCATCAGAACTCGCCCGCGTTCGGAAAGGTGCCGGTTATGTCGGGTGGGACGGCGCCCGGTGTCGACAGCCCATGGGGTGTTGCAACTTTCGCTCTTGGAGGGTGCGCGTCCTGCGGATCTTCGCCCGAGGGCTTCACGGAATACGGAGACTCCCCGGCGGAGCAGTTGCCGCTACTGGCACCCGTCCCGCTTCATTCGTCCACCATCAAGGCGGCAACTTGTCCGAATCCCAACTCCGGCTCCGGGACAGGTAAGGAGACGCATAAGTTTATCCCGAGGTGCCTGGAATGTATCCGCGAGAGATACTGCTTTAGCTGCGATCAGTGGTGGTGCGAGTCGTGCTATCAGGTGCCGAGCCGGCAGGAATTGAGCGCCCAGCACGTCCACATTGTCGACCAGACTGACGGCTTGTTGGACCACGAACTGGCAGCTCTCGAGCCGCCCAATGTCAAGGTACGGAAGGGTTATTGTCTTAATTGCCACCCGCAGTCCACCGAAAGGAGACCTGGAATTCGGAATCCTTTTCCACCCTGAGTGGTTCCGAAGGAAGCCATGTAGCGAGGGATATATAACAACCACCATTACCCCATATGATCCAAGTTCATGTAGGGATGGGCGAGAGTGGGCATATCGACTGCTTTCGATCATCCTTGGAAATTGTATGCGGCGAGAACCCCCTAAACGTAGTCACATTCTCTCTCGAGTCCCCTCGAATCCCCTTCGAATCCCCCCTCGAAAAACTCCTCCATGGAAGAAATCGTGCTAATATTGTTCATTACTCTAGAAGCCTAAAATCAGCCGGAGCTGCTGGGAATGCGAACACAACGTAAGTTCCTTACCGTCCATCCCCGCGTAAGGATGGTAATAGTCCTAATCCGTATAACTTTAGTGTTTAGATTGCATCGCCAATACTCAGAAGCTTTGTAGAGGATGCGGCGGCGGTTACTGCATCATCCATTACGAAGGTTCCACGCTCACATTTGTATGTCCTCGTCGTCCTACCCTTTTATACAGCTGAGCTAACATGAAAAACAGTGTGACTGTATGAATTGTCATCCTATCTTTGTAGACTCAAACTCCATGTGCATTGGCTAACTGTGCCACAGGGTGCTCAAAACGCCGTGGCCGAAGATCTCGAGAAATGTATTGATATCAACGACCGACTAGGGCCAACCAAGGCCAACTAGGGTCGTGATGATACTTAATATGAAGGGTTATGATGCCCTATCATAGCTAATAGCTAGTTACCTGTTTTTGGCATTTGAGCACATGCATAAATTGTTCGGGACATATGGTTGTATGGTCGGTTGCAGGCGTTGAGGATTCTCTACTCCCTTTTGGCTGGTGCTTGGTTCGGGCGGTTGGATCAATTATGAATGAATTTTGAGATGGACTGCAGCAGCACTTGCTCTGGTGCTTGGGATTTTGCACATATCGCGACCTCGCAACTGTTGCCCTCAGGGGTTTACAAACTGAGAGGACGAGAAGATGATACCCAACTTACGTACCTACCTAAGTAGTTTTTATGGACAAATCCACTCCCAATTTCTATCAATCATTGTGCCAGTATATTTCTAGGATGGAGATACTTTTAGTTTTGCATATTTATGTACCTGGATAGGCACCTATGTAACTACTCTATGACATGGTCTAGAGAAATGCAGCACACGATGGGTAACTATCGAGTCCTTTAGGACTCGAACGAGCACAGAGCCCAAGTGGTATAGTTGCAGTATTAGGCCCCAACTGTCGACATGCATACAAGTCTCACCGCATCTATGACCACGTTCTCTCGCGCCCCAATTCATGTCATGGGAAGACCGGACCAATGGTCTTCCAGGCGGAATAGCACATAGAGTGAATACCTACTTGTTATTCAATCCGTAATAAATTTGGGATGCCCATGGACCTAGACGTGCTTGAAGGTGTCGCCTATGACACAAATTAGTACACGTACGGGCGTTCAATGCCATAGAATCATTCATAGATATTCAACGCAACAAGCCACGACTTTTTCACGGCTTTTTCATGACTCCAATCCGACCGAGAACTTGCGTGCAACCCAGGCAGCGCCAAATTCTTCATACTCCTGCTTCGTAACAGAGAGGGCGTTGATGTGTTCGTGCTTCGCTAGGTTGGCACCGCCTAGCCAAGTGCTCGTTAAGGGGTCCGCGGGGCGGGCAACCCGGACAAAGCAATCGTCTGGGACGAGCTGGACGATCTCTTTCTGCAGCCTCTCGACAAATCCGTCGAAGAGGGAGTTGCCGCCAACAACGATGATGTTAGCAAGGAACCCAGGCCACAGCCCAATAGGTAGGCCACGCAGCGACTGCATGACGAGATTCGCAACACCCGGCTGGCGTATGCCGATATCTGAAGGATGAAATAGAAGTTCCGGAACAGTGAAGCGTTCGTTCCTGAGGGTCAGCACATCCTCGCTAGACTCGCCTACCCGGCCGGCAGCTAGTTTTCTAGCCCTAGAAGCTTGGACGGGGTCGAACTCGCGGACGATACCTTTCGTTCTCGTATGGAAATCCGGTAGTACGTAATCTTTGGCCACTCCTCCACCACTGAGATAATCTTCCCGGCGTTCGCCCTTGGTACCCTTCCAAGTACGTTCTAGGTCTCCTTTGAAGTCAAGAGAGACGTAGCAGGCCGTCTCCTTCATCTCGTTTACAATATACGTCTCGTTGCGCATATCATAATGACGAAGAGAAAGCAGTCGGGTCAAGTAATTTGTCAACAATTTCCCCCCTACATCGAGTCTCCGGATGGCCGGGTGAATCGGCCTTCCTTGGAGGATGGGCGTAATGGTGGTGTGAGAATACCCGCTATCAATGAGTAAAAGGATCTCGGCCGGGAGTTGAGCGATCGTTCCCGGATCTCTGGGTGTTCGGAGGATGCCTTGCACATCATGATAAGAATTCAAAGACGGACCTAGTAAGGTCTTAGTAAGCTGCGAGCTGCGAGCTGCCTGACAAGTTTCGCTCTAGGATGTAAAATGTGACGACGACAACCTACCGATGGCCCTGTAATAGCTAGCAAATCCAAACTCCTCGAATACCATCTGATCGCAGTTTGTTTGTAAGGCAGGAAGAGAGTTGGACGGTTCGGCAAGTAAAAGTCGAGTGTCGGATGGATCACACAACTGGGGGGCTTTATCGTCGAAGAATTCGCGCTCCCAGATCTCTTTCTCGGCCTCCCAGTTCACGATGAAGCCTTTCTCAACCGGCCGCCTAAATGCGACTTCGCTGAAGTCGGCGCAACTGTCTAGTTCGGATGCGACATAGAGTTTCTTGTTGCGGTCTCTAGCGATACAATTCGGTATAGAGCGAGGCTCGTCGACGAAATCTCCGGCCACGTATCCTGCTTTTATCGTGTACGCGCCGTTATCGAGGACGAGAGTCCGAGATGGCGGCGACGGTTGGTGAACCTTGGATTTCCTCGCCGGCGCCATGGTGTTGTCTAGGTTGTTTGGTATTGTACCGTATTTTCATCTGGATACATTACAGCATTGACTATTTCACGTTAGTCGATGAACGAGTGGTGTTCCGTCGCAACATATCGAAGAACGTTTGCTGATCTGGTGTCAAGTGGTAGAAAAATATATATGCAAAGTAAAGAAAATATGACGTACTCAGGTATCTAGAAAATATTTAGGTATCTACACATTTCACATGTCACATGTCACGTAGGTATAGGTACGAAGGTACTAAGTACTGAGCTACCCCACATTTTTGTATATAGTGGTACTACTCTCTCACGCCTAAATACATACATGCCCCGCTACTTATTAATCCATCATCGGATGTCCGCGAATACTAAATAATATCTCTAATGTGAAGTACCCCTATTATATTATTTATATACCCGCCTATCCCTTCTTCCCTTCCCATACCATCTATTTGATGTTATCACCATGTCACGCATGTATTCTTATCTCTGCCTCTACTCATCGATTATATACAGGTACACATTTTCTTCTACTCGTTTTCCTCTACCTAGGTAACAATTAAGCATGGTCGCCTGTCTCAGCCACGCCGTGATAACGAACGAATGCCTCGAATATTATAACTCTGTACTGCTCTGATTATAAGTCCAAGTTTTTGCAATACCCATTAGACTATCGTCACCTACGCTGGGGTGTTAGTCGTCACCCACTCCTCGAATTGATCAGACCTCGCTCCGGCCAAGTCATGAATCCATCGTCCGACGTTATCGTGGATGCTGAAGCCGGACTCCGGGTTCGCCGGCTCTTCTACCGGCGTGTTTGAGAAGGCGTACGCGAAGTTAGTGTCCCCCGCGCCGTTGAGGATGTATGGATTTCCGTCAAAGTCCGTCCAGCTGGCGCAACCCGTGCAAAGAGCCGTGAACTTGAAATGCGTTTCGTTGACGCCAGTGCCTTTGAGGACCGTGTACTTGGCGTCGTCATACGTCGCAGGAACATAGTATCCGCTTCTTCTAATCAGCCCGCCGTTTCTTCGCCTTCGAAACAGGAAGTCTATGAAAGTTGGGTGCGTCACTCACGTGGCCTGGCGCGAAGAAAACTGGACCGAGTCGCCGTCCTTCCACACAACAGTGAGAGGGTTGTACGTCATCGCGCCTCCCCAAGCCCATCCAGCCCAGCCCAACTCGGTCGGTGCTACAATTTGAAGGATTACGTCGTAGCCAGCATCGCCGCTTGCCTCTGCCGGAAGGGCCAATCGATAGGTGATTCCGTCCGTGCTGGTATAGGACTGGAATGTAATCCCAGTATCAGCGTCGACGAATGGAGTCGAGTCCGTCTGGGCGATGACTGCGACATCGTTAGTACCCACCCTACTCAACCACTTTCTCCGGAATTGTCTCTCGTGAAGATGGCATAGTGCTACTCACCAGACCCGGCAAGGCCGATAACACCGGTAGTGACGGTGGACAGCTTCATGATTGATTATTAAATAAGGTGTCGGAGGAAAATAGAAATACCAGACCTAAGACCTATGAACAAGCCGACACGAGTATCTAGAAGGGACAGCGCACTTTATATCAACGAAGGTTAACAACAGACAGCGTCATCGCACTCCAAGGGCATGGTTTCAACCGAGGGAAATTAATTTGGAGAGCTCCTCCGTAACATCCAATACGGGTAGAGCAATATAGTGCCGCTGCGAATCGAGGCACCATCTGGGTTACCATCCCGGATAGGTTCTTCATGATGTAAGGTCGAGGAATACCAGGGCTTCCCCTTGCCACGTTCACTTGAAGGGACATGTTATTTCCAACACGGCTAGAATCAACGTGGCATAAATGGTTAACTATTTTGAGCCGGAATAGCATACAGCGCCAAGTACGAGTCCCTTGAATGAAGTGTGGCAGATCATGGGCTATGGAATATAGATTTCTACTATGAAAAGTTGGGAATGGAGTTCTTCACTCCGCGTGGAGACTCCTGATTACAATAACCTAAGTTGGGAAGAGACGCAACCGTAACCTTCTAGCAGCATGTGCCAGGGTAGCTGCGAAACGAGGCCAAGAAATTGTCCTCTTCCACGCACATCAGCGTCGTGGGTAGACTGAATTAGTTTTACCTCGGACTTGATTGGGTCTGTCGGGGCCCCTGGCGAGGATTCCCGGAGTCAGTATTAGCCTGAATTTTCAAGCGGCTCTACTCTATCTCTACGTTCCGCCCAAGCTTTTTAGCAATAACCCTCCGTGGCAAGACCAAGACTATCCTCTTCAAATGTAAAATCATAAACGGGGGGTTTTTTTTTCTTCATCGAAGCCCCTTAATTCCCCACGTGGAAATGAAACCGCCAACCAAAGTCAACAATTTAGCCTATCGGCGCACGACGAAATACAAGTTAGAGATACTCACACGCATTCATTTAAATCCAACGTGAGCCTCATACTTTATTTAGTAATGCTATTACTTCACCTAGGAAGAAACTTAAACCTCGCTGTCGGGCCACGACCTGGACTATCCGCAATATCGCGTGTTCGCTACCGTGAGCAGATGTAGTAGGTAGGAATGACTGGCAATATCATATCCTATAGTTAGGCACGTGTTGGATCTATACGGGATTCACATCTCAATCTAAGTATTGATATGTCATCGTAGACAGGTTGAGAAAAAAAAAAACCAACGACTTGTTAGGTACATGTTCCTCGTATGCCCTACAAATCGTTAACTGTGATACTTCCTAGGGGTTGATTGGGTATCTATCTAAGTTGTCCTAGTTACCAAGAATAAAGATGAAATAACAAGAGCGTTGCCGGCCATTGCTGTCATCATCATACCCTCACACTGCCTTCATACCAATGGAGTATTATTCGATTTAATAAGCTTAACATGAGAATATACTCATGCTCTAGTGTATCAGTCATTCACAATAGGTGAACGACTAGAAGTGAATACGATTTAGTCTCCTTAACTAGTAGTTATCGTTAGTTACCTAGGAATTAATTAGGAGGCATGATACATCCAAGCACCCGCCAAAGCTTGGGTTTGAATAAATAGGTCAGTACATTAAGGCACAGCTGGTGCAAGGCGAGGTTGGGTCAAGATCATATACCTTTAATATGACCTGAGATTCTTAAAATTCTAGGCTCGGTCTATTCGATCATGTAAAGCTGTGTCTCTATTTCTAATCCCTGACGACAACTACCAGTTAAGGGGATAGGAGTGTTTCCTACCTATTAAAGCCCAAAGCAAACAAGTAACCATCAATCTTCACACATTCAATCATAGAGTTTTTAGTACATGAAGATGAAAGGATCTCGAACATCATATCGAAGCGGCTAAACGATCATGGTACGTACACATGACGCCAATCAGCCGAAATGAGTCCTCTCACCTTAAGCTACCTGCCCTGGAGTGAAGGGGCTATCGTAGATCTATCATGCCGCTATCCATTCCCCGGAGGCGATTGACAAATCAGAAAATAGGTACAATTTCGTCGATATAAATTCCGAGTCCATTAGCGACCCTCTTGCTTTTGGAACTGCAATGCGCCGATAGGTTAGAAGAGATCATCCCGGAGGGTGCCCGGAGGGCTGGGAGTTTTCTACGGCGGTTTTCCCAAGTATAAACTGAATTACCAGGGGGCTGATGACTTATTGCCTTTCAACGTGATGATGAATGCAATGTGGTGGACCTCAATGTAGACACGCGTGGAATTGAGAGTCGACGGGTCAGTGTTGCCCCATGCCCAGCATTACCACTTCGATATACGCGATGGTCAACGATGAAGATAGTAGGTAGGCCGTGTTCTTCTACCTTACAGAGGTAGGCTGCATATGTGGGCTAAATTTCTTGTTTCGGGGCTGATGGTGTTAAATCCTATATGAACATAGCTGCGAAAGGATACCGTACCTTGTATTCATGAGGATTAGATATAAATCATAGGTGGATGATATCTATCTAAGCTTCATATTTTTAGGTTCTTCCTTCCTACGTTACAATGTACTTAGATACATGGATAGCTGTTTTCGTCTCGGTAAGTGCCGTAGCGGCGCCACAAGGCTAACCGTGCGCGTGCGAAGATCGCTGATAGGACAAAAGTTAGTCTTGATGACGTGCTTCCAAGCTCTGTTATCTTGCATAGTCCGAGATTAGATTCCACATCTCCTTGAGCTTTCTTTCCTATAGGCCCAGAGGAGACAAGCCACTTTGCTCATTACCTACATAGATACCTACCTAGGTAGGTAGGACCTAGGTACCTAGGTATTCACCCAAACCAACGCTTCCCGCTTCATGTAAGAAGTTAGAAGATATGCACAGAGCACTAACTTCGATTCCGTACGACATAAGCAGAATCCAATTTCATCTTTTCTTTTCCTTGGCTTCTTGCCTGTCACCTTGTCACCTTGTCACCTTGTCTCGTAGATGTTTCACCGCCGATTTCCTAAGCCGTCTTTGTTAGAATCTACATAGGGGTTTGTATAAGTGATGGTGATCCGTCTATTATAAAGATGACGATGACGATGACGATGATGACAACGATCAAGATGGATATTCCGACCAGGACAGCAGACTAGGTAGCTTACGTTCACGCATAACTTCTCACTACACACCCCTTTAGCTTTTACCTCTTTTCCTCTAGATCGATTTCCCTATTCTCCTATTTCCCTACTCCCCCCCCACTTTCATGTGCAAGACCCTGAAAATCCCTCGACCATATTTTTATTTTCAGGTGCTCGTCCCGACTGTACCGCCGATACCTATGTAACATTATTTTCTGGCCTACAATATAATATAGCATAACAAACCAACCGGGTTTCCTCCCGCAATATCATCGCTACATTGCTGGTATACCCTTGGATAGAGTCGACCAGGAGTCGGCCGCCACCCGTCTTCGCAATGGGTTCCCTAGTCCCGGACCGTCAACCCCTCCACGACTCCATCCCCCCTCTGATCCTTGGTACGGCTACGTTCAATACGCAGTACGTCCCGAACCCTTTCGACCTACCTGCCCTGTCTATCGTATCGCGCGCCCTCGAACTGGGCGTCCGTGCTTTTGATACTTCGCCATACTACGGTCCCTCAGAGTGCATCCTGGGCGACGCGCTGGCGCACCCATCCGTCACTCAAAAGCACCCTCGCTCATCTTATTTCCTCGTCACCAAGGCCGGCCGCATCGCCAGCGACGTTTTTGACTATAGCCCAGCCTGGATCCGGTCCTCGGTGATGCGTAGCCTCGAGCGCCTACATACTTCCTACTTAGACTTAGTATATATGCACGACGTCGAGTTCGTCTCCCCGTCCGAGGTTCTGGTCGCCGTGCTAGAGCTGCGCCGTCTACGGAGCGAAGGAATTGTCCGATATGTCGGCATCAGCGGGTACCCCGTCGAGACGCTGTGCACGCTCTCCGAGATGGTGAGCCGTGAGACGGGCGAGCCGCTCGATGCTGTGCTAAGCTACGGCCACTACACCGTGCAGAACACGACGCTGGGCGCCGATGCGATGTCGCGTTTCGGACGCGCCGGTGTGGATGTCGTACTCAACGCTAGCATGCTGGGCATGGGCCTGCTGACGACGAGGGGCGCCGACGCAGGGCCTATGGCCAAGTGGCATCCCAGTCCGGAGGGGCTGAGGAAGGCTTGTCAGGATCTCGTACCTATCGCGGTAGGCGCGGGCGAGAAACTGGAGGTCGTCGCAATCCGCTGGGCTTTAGACAACTGGGCTCGAGCGGGCGCGTCTAGAGGTGGCCGTACTCCCAAGTTGCCAACAGCCGACCGGGTCGGTGTTAGCGTCATGGGCATCTCCAGCGTTGCCGAATTAGAGGAGACGTACCGTGTCTTTAATAGCGTGATCGAGGGGTTGGCACCGGAGACGACCGACATCGAACAGATGAAGCGACGGCGATGGAGCGCAGACCGACGACAGAAGATTCAGGGGGTGGTTGAAGAGATGTGGGCTGTCCTAGGCCGGTGGAAGGACTACAGCTGGAGTAGTCCTGATCCCGGATTCGTCAACGCCAGGAACCCTCCCGAGGACGTTAAATCACCGATGAGCGTAGACGTTGAGGAGTTGCCAACGATGAGTGTATGACACCCCTTTCTTTCCAGGTTACTTGGTCGTTATCTGGGCATGCATACACATATCTTAGTATCAGTAGTTGCTCAGGAGTTAGATCTTCTATACTTGCGGATTGATAAACGTTCGCAATAGTCGTCGCCTTATCTCTAAAGCACCGTAGTATGGTATCTTGCTTTCTTTTTTATCCCCACTATAGATCCAGGACCAAGACTAGGTATATTTCTTATGTTGGGACATGTAGTACCAATGTGTTGCTCGAATGCCACCGTCACATTTTGGAGATATAAATCATCTCCACGCCCGTACTCAGACAACCGATAACTTCAATAATTACCTACCTGCCTGGGTACCTACATATCGTGCAGGAGCTCACTACTAGATGTTGTGTTGGCATGGTTTCGTTGTCAACATGTCACTAGGTTAATTCAAACCCATACATATATTAGTCGTAGAGTTCTCCATTTTTGATCCCTTCCCTATTTCAAATGTGTCTTGCGGCGATCTGCTTGACGATGACCTTTGGTACCGGATAGATTTAGTCACGCAGAAGTACCTCGATACTTATTAACGCCTTAAATCACCCGACTTCGATTAATGTAGGCGCAATCCATTGACACTGTCTTAATCTTCTCATCGACGTTGCTGCTAGTGGGTTTAGGTACAAAGGCGTCAAATACGTTGATGATGCTATTTATTGTTCACAGCAGCGCTGGAGATAGGAGACTACTACGCCCTATTCGCTTAGGAGATCTCTATTTCCGTCGAAAGGAGGGAGACTTTTTTTTTAATCCCCATATGCCTCATCGCTCAACGACCTCGCTCGAGGGGATTATGTAAATAACCATTGAATCCACGTAATCTATGTATACAATCCTTAACTCCAAACGAATGAAAGTCAACAGTGCCTGCCCCCCCTTTAATGCAAATATCATGAACCTTGGACCTAAAGTCTCCATTTTACCAGACTGTCCCGTGGCGGGGACATAAGAAACAGCGAAGAAACGGGGTAAGTTTATTGCGTGACTTCGGGTGATCTCTCCGCCAAGTTAACGTGCCCGAGTCGCTTAGAATCCTCGCTGCCGTCATCAGCGGGCGCTGGAGTGTCGGGTGTGACCATGAGTTGCGGCGGTGGCGAGGTGACGTCTTCGCTCCTTTCTGCCGGGCTTTGATTACCTTGGCGAGCCTCCTGTTTTTGCGGTTCCCCTTGACTGCCCCATCCGTTGCCTACGGTGGGACCTGCGGCATGTTCTATATGCTCACCGTGAGCCTCCTCGGCATCAGCCGGCTTGCTACCCGGACTCACATCTTCGCTATTAGGTGACTGTGCTTCACCGTCAATGGGGACGCCGACCATCTCTGCTAGACTCCGAAAATTGAACATGGGTTCCGAGTTCGTACTATCGCCCTCTTCGCTACGAGCGGCCAAACTAAGACCGCTTGACCGTGGGTCCTCGGAGTCGCCACCTGGGTTCTTGCCAGTATAGCTGCCTGGTATACTATCGAGCCCGCTGGAGCTGACAGAGCTGGCGTTGCTCATCTGGCGGAGATGCGACGATCCTCGTGCGGGATGTGATGGTACGGGGATTGGTAGAGATGCAACACCTGTATCGTTCTTTTGGCCTTCTTCATTATCGCTACGGTCGATGGCCTTCCCTTTGCTGCTCGACGCCGGGGTTGAAGCCGACGCTGATGCGGAAGCTGGGGTTGTAGGTTGGTCGCTAGCTTGACCAGCGATAGTAGAGCTGGCAGCGGTCAAGCTAGCTTCCATACGCAAATTGCTGGCAGCGCTATTGCCACGCCTTCGCCCAAGTCCCAGACTAAGGGAACTCGCGCTCGCACCACCACCACCACCACCACCACCACTACCACCACCATACACATCGCCCTTCTTTTTGGAGGCTTTTCGGTCTTCCTTCTCTCGCTTCTTGGCTTCTTTTCGAGCTTCTTTCTCGGCCTTCTTCCGTCGCTCTTCCTCGTCTGCTAAGCTCAACCTTATCGCTTCAGCCATCATGAGACTCTCCAGATGCGCGGCATCTATCCGTTCCCGGCTCGGACCAACCCGGCTAGATGCAGTACGAGCACCCGGATCAGGGGCAGAGGGAACATCAACCTCGCCATCGTTGGGTTGTAGGTTAGAGCCGTTGCTTGGGCTCTCGTTACCCCGATGCCCCCCGGTATTCCTACGACTGAATCGGGACGATCGGCCAAAAATCGTACGTGGTTCCTGGTTACCCATCATGAAAGCAGCATGATGTAGGGCATCGGCGGCTGCTGCTCTCCGTTTCTGCTGGGCTCGGGCCGCGGCTAGCTTAGTAGACCAGTCGGGTCGAATGCGGTCGGTGGTGATGACCCCGGGCGCGTTGGCAGACACGCTCTGCGTCCGCCGGCGATTAGCGTTGGCGGAAGGCGTAGCTAGAGTCGGAGAAAGGGTCGAGCTGAGAGAGCTAGAAGAGGACATAGCCGTGCTCATAGCACCTAACGTAGACGGGTTGAACGCGTATGTGAGGCCGCGGCGGAAAGGAGGAGGTTCGTACGTCACGCCAAATTCCGTCTGAGTACAGTAAGGACATTTGGCCGGTTCCATAACGAGCTCGCCCTCACGCTCCTCCGGGTTGGCCGGCGCTTGGGCACCCTCGTCGTCTGCGTGATGCTCGGGAAGATGCGGGTCGGGGCGCTTGATTTGCACGAAGCATTCGCTACAGATGATCTGGCAGCAGCACCGGGTACGATTCAGGTATGGCGGATAGTACATCAGGCAAAGAGGGCACTCGATTCCTTCTTTATATAAAAATACTTCGAGGGGCTGGCCGTTGACGAACGGGTCATTAGGCAGATTGATCTCGCGAGGGGTAATGATATCCGTATGCGGCCCACTGCGAGACAGATTGAGAGCTGCGGCCAAAGACTTCTTATGGGGTTTAAAGGGTGAGCTAGTCCTCGGCGCAACAGGCGATGTGGGAGACGGCAAGGTTGAGCCAGGATTAGACGCAGGGTTGTCAGACGAGATCGAGAGGGTTCTAGGGCCCATCGGGACCGTGAGATTCGGCGTCGAAGTAGCTGGCGACTCGACAGACCTGGGCTGCGGAATAAGATTCTCAGGAACTTCATCGGCAGGGGGAATATCGAGACCACGAGCGGCAGCGATGATTTGATGCTCGGCCCAGTTATCCTTGAAGTCGTCCAAGCCACGCCAAAAAGGCGCTATCTTTCTTTCGATCTGTCGTTGCCGACACGCAAGATTAGTCACATGGCCGGTAGATGACCCTGAAATGACACTGCGACGAGGAGGGTGCGTCACTTACCTGTAATTGACGAACCACGGGCTTGTTAAAGTCCTCGGATGCGGTATATATGCCCATCGTAACCAGATAACCGCCATCCACATGTTCCTCTCTCATACTGCGTTCGCGTTCCTTGAGCCGCGCTACTCGTTCCCTCTCGAGCCGCCGTGCCTCCTTCTCCTGTTTTGTTTCTCGATGCTCAAAGGGAGCATCCTGGTGACGGGAGCTCGACGAAGTGCCGAACTGCAACGATAAGCTGCCTAGGTCCGGTCGACTAGCACGCCTCGATCGATCAGGTAGATCTCCGTGATACCCAGCACCGGTGGAACTCCCACCGGGATCCATGTGAGAGCCATGGCCTCCCATACGGGAACCACCCCTCGCATCTTTCGTATGCGTATTCCCCATCTTTCGACGTTATTAGAGAAGCCCACGAGAGATGCAGCGCTAGATACGTCTAGGCAGATCCGTGACCTGTATGCGACGAATATTTGCCCTTCTTTTTCTCTCTTTTTTCCTTTCTTCTTCTCTCCTTCAACAAGAAAAAAAGCCTTGGGGACTACACCGTTAAAGCCGATCGGCAAGGATGTTGGACATATACATGTATGATGTTGGATATTGGACTAATGAAGGTCGAAGGATGAGGTTGGTAGATTAGGGCTAATCAAGTAGATGGTGAAAAGGACGCGGGCCTTCGTGCGTGGATATCGCTATTTCAAGGTGTGACCTAATAGGCTCGACCGGTGGGTGCGCCGTATTTATATCCTGTTTTACTGTACGGTCGTCAGAATGCGGCTCCAAATGCACAGGCGGAGGAAGGAAATAAAAGGACAAGAGACAAGACGGATAGAGTTGCGGGCAGACGGCAACATAGGCAATATACACACCAGATAGACAGATAGAGAGATAGAAATAGACGTTAACCAAGTCGTAAAAAAAGTCAAGGGGGCAGATAGATGCTGTCAGTGGTGAAGTTGGAAGCGGAGGTGGTGGCACCGGTAACACATATTGTTGATGTTGTTCTCCAGTGACATGAAGCCCGAGTCCATCTGGGGAAATGGCTAGTCTTGCTAGTGCGGTGCGTCACCGAACGGAGGCCGGGTATAGAATATGTGTACCTAGTACCTAGTAGTCAAAGAGCCAGGGCGTCGGGGTACAGTATGTAGTGGTAATTGGTAATGTACCTCCAGAAGGTAAAAATGTAAAGAAAGGCAAGCACTGTACCTTCTAGTGTAGTGCGTAGGTAGCACTGTAGCAGCTTAGCAAGGTAAGGTACGGGCGGATAGGAACCGATAGGAATTGATAAGGATTGGGGACGAAAGCGTTGATGCGTTGATGCGTAGATGCGTAATGCGTAATGCGTAAATGCGTAGGCGGGATTTCCTTATTTCTTATTCCATGCCTGGGCAAGTCGGGCAAGTCTTTCCAAGTATTCCGGTTCCCATTCGTACTTTCCAGCTTTGGCCCCAGTTCTACGTACTACCTAGTGGATGTATCGTGTAGTTCCAGTTCCAGGCACAGGGCTGAACTTGGCTGGTTGTCTAGCTCTACAATTCGCTAGTTCCTCGAATTCAATCTTGCCGCTAGGTCGGTAGCTCGGTATAGTCGGCTAGAAATCTCGACTCTAGAATGCCCAGACTGCCTTAGGTGTCAGTTCAGCTTTAAGTTTTGCTCAGACTTGATCTGCTTTGCTTTGCTTTGACTCAATTCAATTATCTTCGCCTGTATTCTTATTCCGTAGGAAAAGAAAAAAGAAAGGGAGAAAGGAATGGAATAGATACCTATATTATCATTATTATGTGCACCGAGAAAAAGGACACACTAGACCTCCGCTATTTACCACCGATGCACTTCGTACTAGGTACTATGTAGAGTAAGGGGAGAAAAGAGAATTGATGATTCCGCGCTATTTGTGATAGAAGGTGAAATCATGGATACGACCAAGTAATGTTAGGTACCTACCTACTGTACTGTACCTACCTAGGTAAGGTCAAGTTCAAGTGAAGAGGTGGAAAGTCAAGCTTGAAAGTTCAGAGGTGGGGGACAATCCGAGGTCAGTACCTGTACCAATTTACGCAGTACATTCATATCTGGGTAGCTCCACAATGTACTTGGGTCCTTATCCCAATCCCGGATCCGTACCGCAACCTACGCACCTACATGATCAACTAAGTACCTAGTAGGTACCTGGCCCCTACCCAACCTCAAAGTACTTCTCCATCCACAACCTTTCCATTAGCTCGTCGAGCCTCACTTACGAGGGGTCAATTTATGCATAGTTGCATACATATGATTAACTACATATACTTAATTATCAAGCTGCATGTAATCTTCTTTTTCAACGTCACTATCCTGTCACGATGAATATATTATTCATTTCTCCCTTAACCCCGAACATGTCACCGATTCAAATCATGGTTTGTCTATTTAGTCCAAGTATAACAAAAACCGCCGCAGGAATTATATATTAGCTATCTAGCATTCAGCTACGATGACGTTTAAAGCCCTTGCTCTCGAATTGCTGCCACCGAATACACACATTTAAGGACGTGCACTCGTCTTGAACCGTTTACGCGTAGCTAACCACCTCAGAACAGAAAAGTGTCACAGGTTCATCAAGGCAAATCGACAATGTCAAATTATGTTTACGTACCTAGTCTTTGCCGTGCGAGCCATGTTGATCTAAACAGGGGCCACGATGCTCATCATCTCGCAAGGCTTGACAGCTTATTCAGTGGAAGACACTGTTCATTCGAATAAGTCACCTAGAAATTCGGCTTGACCCTGAACCTGGATCTTTAGACATCGTCATATCGTATACCTAGGTACTTATATGAAGCGCGTTTAAACACCTAAATGGGTTCGCTTATTACGGGTAAAAGACATAAGAATTAAAAACGAACCCTTAGTCAGCAGCGTATTTGGGGTAAATGGCGGGGCATTAAAGATTGCCCCGCAGTTACAGAACGAAATGAAAAATAAAATAAAATAAAATAAAATTTAATCAACTCAACTCTGTTCTACACTTGATTCTGCGTTAGGTACAATACCTATAAGTAGGTAGTCATGGCTGGTAATAACGCAGCCGGCGACTCTATCGAGTCTTTGAAAACGGTAGTACAATCTACGATAGACCTCATTTCTCAGCTCGAAGCGCTTCTTCATGACGGCGCTTCCGAAACTGCCACGGCGCCATCGTCGTCGTCGTCGCTACCGTCACCACCGTCACAATCCTCGTCAATCAAACCAGTAGATCCTCTTTCCCTCGCCCACGACTCCGCCACTTTAATAAAGGCTCACACAACGAAGCTATCTCTGCTCATTATCAACAAACCCTTCACCCCCTCGGCTATAATTAAGGTCCTTCAAGAGCTCGTTGCTGGTCCTATCCCTGCTCTCGCTTCCGCCGTCCAAGTTTGCGACGTCAACAAATATACTACTGTGGCTCGCCAAGACCTTTCTTGGCGATGCTATAGAGTGTTGAAAGAGCTCAAGAGCTTCGTCGGCATTATACCTCTGGATGGAAATGTTCTGTCTAATGAGCAGAAGAACGGTACCCAGGGAGGAAAGGGCAGTATGGCCACTACTGGCGTCATATGGGCTGCTTGCGACGACGTAATTCTTCTCAAGAACCTGGGTATTGCCGGACTGCTTGTCAGGAAGGTGGAGGAATACAGGGATACCTTGAAGGATATCCTGGAAGAATTGAAGGAATACAGCGAGGAAGTTGACGAGGGCGAGGACGAGGACGGTGCGAATGAGAATGGGAACGAGGACGATATCAACAATGTCACGAACCAGATCCAAAACACGCACATCTCGACGCAGGAGATGCTCGATGATCTCATGAATCCCCGCCACATACCCAGAGATGACCCGGACAAGTTTAGAGAACGTCTTGAGTCTTGTATGAAACGGCTACGACTCACTACTCTACTTTATACCGCTATCGTGAAGAGGCGGCTCAAAACTCTACCACCGCTCCCCAATACTACAGAGATACCGGTCGCCCAACGCCTTGATGAAGTATTTCCTTTACTAAAGAGACTACCGCACCGATTCGGCGAAGTGGCCTGCGCATTCTACGAGCTAGATCGCGACTCTATCGACCGTGCCGTGGATTCTTGCTTCTTCGACGCTTTTGCCGCGTCAGAGATGCTCATGAAACCCTGGGAAGGTCAAAGAGACGAATTCACCGACTGGGCAGAGAAATTCCAAGTCGGAATTAAAAAACCAGACTAGGTGTGCCGTACCAACTGAGTAAATTTTGAGAAGAAGATATATATACATATTGCCCGTCAAGATTAAAGGATGAAGTACCTCTCCGGAGCTAGGGCATACTAGGAATTCAAAACTAGCAGACACGAACTTCCCGCAGCCGCACTCTGAATAGGATATCTCATCACACCTGGATCGCGACCGCGTTGAAGTTAACCTTATTCCGCTTGTCAGTTCCGCGTACACAAATGACATGCCATGGACTGGGGGGCTTACATGACCTGAAGATGGACATTCAGTTGAGATCGCAGGTCCGGTCGTCGACTTGCCGTTGACCGTGACAGTAACAGCGCCGGACTTTCCGCTGAAGTCTACCTCATAGAACGAGGCCTTGCCGACCGAACTGGACGCGCTGACGCTCTGACTCGACCCTCCGATGGCAACAGTGATGTCGCCGGGGGTGTTGGATAGCACAATGATCGAAATTACGTCTTTCGTACCACCTGCTGCTGAAGCGGTTCCACCTTGGCCCCATACGGTACCTATGGTTAGGTGTTAGATAAGGACAATTGGTGATGGTTCAATGTGACTGCTACTCACCACCATCGCCGCACACCGTCGCTGGCGTGGTTCGGTACCATGCTACAGCTCCCTCCGAGGGCAAGTCTACGTTTGCGTTGCCAGCCTTGTAGGCACTGATGAAGTAGGGCAGCACGAAGCGGAAAGCCGAGTGTCCAAACCCATCGACATATCCCTCGGCACCGCTCACGATTTGTGCGGCAACCGGATCGGTGATGTAGCTAGACTCACCGAAGTCATTCCCTGCTCGTGTTAGTCGCCAATTCAAGAATTTAGCCGTCAGCATGCGCAGTAATGGACTTACAAGTGATAATCTCGACGTATTCAGGTAGAATATCCAAGACTTGCGTCCAGCGGTCATACCACAGAGAATCGCTAGACGAGTACCAATTCTTGCTATATTGGGGGAGGTCTGCATTTCGTGATTTAGCTCCTGGTCATTGTCCGTGTAGTCTGAGGATTAGGTGGACTATCTTATACCTGTGTAGAAATAAGGACTGACTCCCATCATGTACGGCTTGCCCTGGAGAGCTGACTTGTATGCCTGGTCGTTTCCGGTCGTCATCGTATACTGGTTTGCGTCTGGCCACGCGCCCCAGTTGACTATATCGCGTTAGTGAAACGACGATTGACGCTGCTAGATGATGGGAAACACCTACAAGCACCGTCGATCTGACTTAACTTGCCGCCGACTCCCTGGGCTCCCAATGAGGACCAGTCAGGTACCACTGCGACATTTCGGATTAGTGTGTGTCTTTATACGACCTCGGCATGACTCGAGAGTTGTAGGGATTTGACCAATGAATCCGACAACTCTGCAAAGCCATACCAAGTGACCCGGGGTATATACTCACAGAAAATATCACCAGTAGCAGAGCGCACCGAAGCCCAGTTGTCGGCCCAGGTTGGCCCTTCGAAGGTCGAGACGAACGGCTTGCCATTAACTTTGAGCTGGCTGCTGGCGCCCTTGTATTGGTTAACGAGCGAAACAACCTGGTCAACGGTCCAGGAGCTAGCGGCCATATCAAAGGATAGAAATAAGCTGAAGCTGTTAGAGGAAGCCGTGTCGTAGGCTAGCTGTAGCTGCTCGCTATTCCACGAATCCGCGGACCCGACATTCAAAGCGAAACCATCGATACCGGCTGACTTGGCTTCCGTGATATCTTGCTGCCATTGGTCCTGGGATTGTCCGTCAGTCAGGCCGACCATATAGTGTGCGAAGACCTGGCGACCGCTCGCCTGCCGAGGCATGGCAACCCCAGCCGCAGCGGAGCTGGCGAGCAGCGCAACCGCTGCTGCGACGTTGAGACGCATTCTTGAACGAGTGAAGCACTGCGGTCGTTATTTTGTGGATAAAGCTAGAAAATGTGACGAGGCTGTGGTTGAAACCGTTGTCGAAAGTGATCGACTGGGTCTAACATAGGGGATAGTCGTGATGTATATATACGTGTGCGTGTGTGTGCGCGTACAATGGCCCCCGATATTGCAGATCCTATATTTAAACTTAAGTCTAAATCCTACTCACGACTAGGTCATATCAGGGGGTGGGCTATGCCTAGGTGGCTGCAGAGCTACATGGGAGGTTGAGGGAATGGGCCGAGAGCGGCCATAGGCCGGCAATATCGACGAAACCTTCTTCTTCTTCATCATCATTACTCTCGTGTTCGCTTGATATATCCGAGCCGGACGAGATGAAGCTGTTGTCAGGCTACGAATACATACCACACAAGTTCAAGAGCGTCGGTGAAAGATGAGTAAGATGGAAGTATTGAAGCTCTCCCATAAGAGGTGCACTTAGTCACAGATACCAAGAGTGTCCTAGCCTTAACAATAATGATAGTCTTACTACGATATTCACATATTTATTGCTTATTTCCTCCAGGACGGTGAATCAGCCAGAGGATCATTAGGCCAACCGAAAACGGTAAACCTAGTGGTCGAGAACATGCCACGAACTCAAGGCAAGGCGGGACGACGCTGGTTCAGCTCCGCGCTCTGTATTTTGACGATGGAAATTGTGGAGATCATAATGTAATAAAACAATAGGGGCTTCAATAAATACCAAGTTTAGCATGATGTAAGACTTAACTACCTATGAAAGGTATGCATATAAAATATTGGATGATCTAATAGGATAGGCTATGGCCCTCTCACTAAAGGCCAACTTTTCTTGTTTAGATCTTGAGCGTGATAAATCCCTCCCCTGATCAGCTCAGTGCTCGCGTATATTTATCTTGCCAATTCTCGACTGCTTCGCCTCTTCTCTTAAGTGCAGCTCAACTTGGATGATACGTTGTAATTACAAGCACAGCTGCCCCGGAGATTCGGGAGGTCGATATAAATAACACCCAATCATTGTCACTCGCTCCTCAATCCGCGGCTGAAAAGGACTGCCCCCTTACGGATCTTGCATACATACCCTAGTCAACTCACTCGCTAAAACTGCTTAGGTTCTGGGTAGATTAACAGGAGAGTGTCGTAGGGCTTCGAGATCACGCCGGCCTGCCTGTTTAGGCAGTAAGCTTTCTTCCCCTTTACGGCTAGACCTTTTTATAAATCGGATCCCCCATTTTTTTGCCCCTTTTCATTTTCACGATCTCAAATACAATTGGATCTTGGCTCTCCGTAATAATTATCCTGTTTTTCTCCTCCTTTTCTTCGAAAGTGAGCATGAGAAAAAGGAGAAAAAGGAACAACAACGACAACACTAATATTAGTATTCAAAGTTGTTTCGTAGGGAGAACGATTATTTATATGACAACGGCCTTCCTAACACGACGCTCTTGAGAATATTCTCCTTGGCTTATTCGCTTTGCTCCTTTAATAATTCCGTCAATTATCATCCACTATGTATAGGATGCTCTGGCTAGTTTCCTAGCATTAATACTACGTTGATATGCGTATAATTAATTGCTGGATACTCGTAGTGTTGTTCTGTCTGTCTCGATTTGTCTATACAGCCGACACCGTGGCATACCAAGAACGCCTCGACTCTTCACCATGACTATATACCCTGTGTTTTGAACCCCACAATCTGCCACCCAGCTAAATCCCGCCAATCATCAAATTATTGCGGTTAAGACTGCGTATAGTTAAAGGACATCTTCTCGGTCTTGTGCTGGACCGAGATGGTCTAGAGGAGTTTACCCTCTCTGTATTTTTGAAAGAGGGGAGCGCACTTTGTGTATATATATAAGGTATGCCTGTGTAGGTAGGTATCTACGTCGATGATAATCCATAGATCTACTGCGTAGTTAAGGTTGACGATCTCCCGCGCCTGCATTAGAGCCTTTTTGTTACTAGGTTTTGGTGCACAGCCGTAGATAAACACCATGCTGTTACATCTCCTTTCCTTTTCTGTGTTGACTTTTGCTTCCTCAGTATTTGCCGCATTTGGCTTCACCCAGTCCGGCGGCAACTATGTCATCGACGCCGGCTCCAGCAATGCGTTAGTCTTCACCGTCAAAGGAAGTAGCTGTGATATCACCTCGATCAAATACCGTGGCACGGAGCTCCAGGATTCTTCTGGTAGCACCCAGTTGTCGTCTGGCCTTGGTTCGGCAACCGTCAAGGTCGAGTCAGTCACAGCCAGTATGTTGTTACTCACAAGAGACGGATGACGATTCGGTGTCGGAAGCCTTCTTACTTTCTACATAGGTTCCGTCAATCATGTCAAAGTGACCTGCACAACTTCGACTTTGACTCATTACATGGTGGTTAAGGAAGGGGAAAGCAACATCTATCTCGCTACCTACATCAAGGAGGAACCTTCGGTCGGAGAACTGCGCTTCATTGCACGACTGAAGTCATCCGTACTTCCCGAAGAGTATCCCTATGGCAAGGTGTCGACCACCTCCGGCAGCTCGGCTACCGTAGAGGGTTCTGATGTCTTCGTCGTTGACGGGGAGACTCGGTCTAAATTCTATTCGAGCACCCGGTTCATCGATAAAGATGCGCAGTGCGTATATGGAGGTTCCGATGTCATTCATGTATGTGTCTTGGCGCCGCACCCCGAATCTTCCTCTGGTGGACCATTCTTCCGCGATATCGAAAGCAACAATGCTGGCTCCGCCACTAATCTCTACTGGTACATGAACAGCGGCCATGTCCAGACTGAGGCTTGGCGAACCAACGTGCTTCACGGACCTTACATCTTGACCTTCTCACGATCAGGCGTGCCCAAGCTACGCGACGCCGACACGTCCTTCTTCTCGGGGTTGAGCATCACCGGTTACGTGGCCGAGTCTGGACGTGGCCACGTCTCCGGTACTGCCTCTGGGATTTCGAGCAGTTTCCAAATCGTCGTCCATTGGTATAACGCACAGGCTCAATACTGGACCACCGCATCGTCCAACGGTGCTTTTACGTCACCCGCGATGAAGCCTGGCACCTATACCATGGTTCTATATCAAGGCGAGTATAAGGTCGCTACTGCGACTGGAATTTCCGTCAGCGCCGGCAAGACAACATCCAAGGACATTGCTAGTACCGAAAGGTCGCGAAACTCGTTATGGAAAATTGGAGAATACGACGGCCAGCCCACCGGGTTTCTTAACGCGGACAAGTTCCTCCGAATGCACCCCTCCGACTCTCGCATGGCCGCCTGGAATCCTGTCACCTACACCGTCGGTTCTTCGTCCTTAGGCCAGTTCCCCATGGCTCTATTCCAGACGGTCAACAACCCAGTGACTATCAAGTTTACTCTGGCTTCCGCCCCCGGCGCTGCTACCCTCCGAATTGCAACCACCCTGTCGTTCAGCGGAGCCCGCCCACAAGCCAAGGTTAACTCCTGGACCGCAACAGCCCCTTCCGCTCCTACTAAAATCGATAGTCGTGGTGTGACTCGTGGGGCATACCGTGGCTATGGTGAAGTCTACGACGTGAGCATCCCTTCCGGGACTCTCGTGGCCGGTGCGAATACCATCACGATCACATCTATATCAGGAAGCGGCGGCACCACTTTCTTAAACCCAAATTTCGTAAGTACTATCGTCATGATCTCGTTCTGCGTAGACCGAATTAGAATTAATGGGAATAACTACAGATTTTCGATGCAGTTGAGCTCTTCACATGATACTAGGTATATGAGCATATACCAACGCCTATAGGAGCAATAATTGATCCGAATAACAGCTTTCCAGGGGTATATGTAACTAATTCCTTAAAGAACTTGTTTATTATAGTATTATTTGTCTGGAGACATTAAGAGCGTACCTAGACGTACGCTCCACGTTTCCGCCCCCCTTACGTACCTATGTAGTTCTTTACTGTATAGGTACTGCCAATGTTCATACTATCATGTGGGCCAGATTGATTGAAATAATCAGATACAGGTAGTCGTCCGTGTTGTATACCTACATAGGTATGGTTGTTACCCTCTTAGTTATCTAGGTGAGTACCTAATAGGCAGCTTCTTGAAGAATATACCTATAGGAAGGACTGAGTTAGGATGAATTGCATAAGAGGCAGGCCTATATAGACAGAATCCAGTTTATATTGGTGATTCAACTGGCCAGAGTATTGATGCTCTTCCGCGCTAACAAAATCACCTATAAAGAGCACCAAGCGTAGGAGCTTGCCGAGTCCAAATCTAGTATTCATCTCCCTCCATCAGATACGACCAACCCAGAGCACACAATGCAATAGCTACTAAATACAACCACCAAACAAGTCCAATGATACCCTCTTGGACTCCTAACGCAAACACGTAACCCCCAACGGCCGGTCCAACCGTGCGGGCTAGACTCGCAAGCATGTTTCCGGCTCCGTGGACGGTTCCTAAGACCGTCTTTGAGGGCGCCGCCTCGGTCAATAAAATGACGGTACTCGGTATGGCCATCGTACGCGCCATGATCTGAGAGCACACTACTAGCCCTAAGAATACCCAACGTAACGCCCCGTCGTCCTCGCCTGCTAAAAGCGACAGATAGGGTGCTGCCGCGTACGTGATTGGAAACAAAACCAAGGCAATCCGGAAGACGCCTCTTGTTCCAATACGTGTCTGTAGTCGTGGGTATATGAGGAGCTGCAATAAGATACCGCAGATGCCGAAGGTTGAGAGCCACATGCCGATAGTCGAAGAGCGCAAACCCAAACCGCCGGCGAAGGCAAAGAAGGATGCCTCGCCATTGTCAGCCGGTGGACTGCTCAGGTACACAGGAAATATATGCATGAAGGCCGAATTATGTAGTGGGAGCAATCCAAACGAGACCAAAGCGCATAGTACTTTGCGTGTCCAGATGTTTCGAAAAGGGAGCTCCTGACGACCAACACTTGTTGCTTCTGGTCTGGGTTTCTCGAAATCTGGCCGAACTTGCCCTAGGAACGTATCTTCGCCGCTATCTATTCTTATGTACTGTTGTCGTCTACGCAGTATGTGCTCGACCCATCGCGTAATCGCCGCTCCGGCTTTTAAGCCGACATCACTCTGACCCTCCTTTCCGGGAAGTGTTTCTTTTAGACCGGCTACAGCTAGAATAAGAGAAGCACCCAGCACGACAGCGTTGAGGAGCGCAGGAAGCGCATACGGAAACTCAAGAGCCCAAGCTACGCCGTCGGGATTCCGACTCGTATTAAGGACACCGCCCGGCCCGAAGAGCCACGGCATGTTGACGACAGGCTCAGCGAGGCAACCCCCTAAAGCCAGACTTGCCACCATACCGGCATTGAATACCAAGGGCAGTAGAAGGAACGCCTTGGTCTGGTATCTTCGCTCGCGCACCACCTCCGCCGTTACCGTGCGCATTATACCGACGTTTCCGTTTGCGAAGCCGGCCAAGATCCTCCAAAACAATAGAGCGCCGAAGGACCGCGAGAACCCGAATCCAACGTTCGCCAGCACCGACACCGCGAGCCCGGCAACGATAGAGAGGCGCCGCCCGTGTTTATCCGACAACTTTCCCCACGGCAGACTCACGAGGAACTGGGCTAGCGGGAATGAGGCAATCAGCAAGCCGGAGAACTCGGAGATGCGAGCGGCCGTCGCCTCGGCAGCTTCTGGGACTTCATCGCCGTCTGAGGGGGTCGAGGTCGGTGGTAGGACCGAGCGGACGAGATAGAATATATAAGGTAAGAGACAGACGTTTGAGAGAGGCTCCGACAGGCGACAGAGTGAAAGGATGAATAGCTGATCCTTGTTCGGAAGGTCACGCCATCGAACCTGTGTTGTCTTCGACGCCGCCGTCGATTGGAGGCGAATCTGCTCGCCTCCGAGATCCCCGCGAGCTATAGGTGTGGGATCTGGTAGGTCTTATGACCAATAACAGTCTATCAGTTTCAACATGTTATGATAACTTCTCCGTGGGATTTATTGTCGATGGTCGTGGAGGTAGAACCCTTACCGTTCGCCGAGCTCACAGAAACACTGCCCTCGTTACTTGCTTCTCGGCCCATGTTATATTTAAAGGGTTATGCCGATAAAGTCGAAGCTGTTCAGTTCCAGTGCCGTAACTGGTCATCTAGCCTTAAATAATTTCTGATCTCGTTATACTGATAGAGAAGACACAATTCTTATCCCTTGTAACGCAACGAGAAAAGGGGAGAAAGAATGAGATACATATTCCATTACACAATGTAGTCGTATCCGGTCTCTAATAAGTATACATAAACTAAGAGTGACACAACGTACTATGGTCATCCTTTTAGATCTGTTCCACGGAAGCTCACTCAGGTAGATATGTCTTCATAAGGGCTAAATGCTCGTTGTCTCGTCTTCACCAAATTCGTTCATCCCGGATGGCTCGTGGCAATAAGCTAATTATCCAGACCACATTCAGTAAAACACACCGGATCCAGAGCCCATGCTGTCCCGAACCGATGTGTCTTTAACGGCAATTCAGGTGGTATTCAGGGTGGTACCAAATTCAATTTATCCGCGCCCAATGATACTTGACGCCTCCAATATATCGTCCGCCGTCCGTGTCTCTACACAAGTATATAGAGTCGTACTAGATGAGCCTTGGCTTGCATTTTCAGACACCAAGATATCGGAGAAATAACAGGGGTTGGTCTCCCCCTTAGCCATGTCATACCATCATGGCACCCAACTAAGACGAATAGACGGGCTCACAACCTGGATGGACAGCTAATGCGGGGGTAACATGCGGGCTATTCTTCGCTGCGGCAGTCATTCATAAGAGGATGGGCAGATATATATAAATGTTCTTGTTACAGAATAGGAAGCTGAGTGAGGCTGCCTTGACAGCTCTACTAGAGGAACATCGCGACGCGGGGGCAACGTCAGACTATAAGCCGAATCGGAACTCACAGGAGGGTGTGAAGTGTCCCGCTTTACTCTGTTTTGTGGCAGTATGAATAAGTTATTAGTTTTCAGCATTTATAGGTCTTGAAATGGATATCTTTTCTTTTGCTTCCCTCCCGCCTTCGTCCCAGGCCTGACTTTGGTCCGTAGGTAACGCCAGAAGACTTTGTAGATTTTGTTGCCTTGTTTTTTTTCTGTATCTTAATACTTGCGAATATATTTGCGATGACGTTAGTAACGAAAGCAGATATCCGGCTTCATCTATTGTGCATCTTCTTTGCGGTTGGCTCATTCGTTTGGGGGTGAGAAACTACCTACTCTACTTCAGTATTTCCATCAACCCTATTCATCGATAATCGGCAATCCGAACCCCACGCCCCATAAAGCTCTTGAGGCATAAACCCAAGCATTAGGAGTCGTTGCTAATACTTTCTACGTAGGTATAATGTCGGTATCCTTTCGTCTGTTCTTGTTCATCCCGGGTTCATTAAGATCATGGGTCACCTTACTCCGTCACGAAAAGGGGTGATTACCGCTATTTATTACCTTGGAACTTGGTGTGTTTCTATTAAAACAGTCTGATTTTGATTGACTGCTGCATAAACTAATCTGGACGTAGTGAGTGATTTTCATCGTGTACGGCTCCTAGTATCCCCCTATCTTAGTTCATGGTTGGTCGCTGCGGAAGAGCCTCTTGAAACTTCCTATACATGGTTATCCATATGCCTTTGAGAGGCAGCGTCTTTGCCTATGCCGAAAACTGAAAAATGTCAGGGTTGAGCTATGTTTTCATCTCCCATCCGGCGAGTGATCTCTTTGGGCGGCGCTACGCGGCTCTGACCGGCATTCTCATCGTCGCCGTCGGCAATGCTTTTGAGTGTGGTGCAACAGGGTCCGGAGCATATGCCATGATGATTATAGGCCGCATAATATCGGGTATTGGCGTAGGAATGCTATCGACTTCTGTTCCATTGTATCAAAGGTTGTCCCTCCCTCACTCCCCCCTCGTCCACCTTTTTCTCCTAGTAATGGTTGTGTGAGTCTGTTAACACTGCCTTTTAGTGAGGTGGCCCCGGCCGGCAAACGCGGAAAATACGTCGTTTTGAACCACGTCGGTTTCGTTGGCGGTTTAGCAGCTGGGTTCTGGTAGGTCCTCATTTTATTAGACCTCCGGTGACGAGGATATGTTAACGGGAGAATCGATAGGGTCGGATATGCTGTGACTTTCTGGAACACCACGGAACACGACTTATTTGTCTCCTGGCGCGTTTCTCTCGCCGTTGTACTAATCCCATGCTTCATCTTTGGAGTCGGACTTCCGTTTCTCCCTGAGACGTAAGTCCCGCCGTTTATAACTGGAGTAAAAAAAAAAAAAAACAGCGGCGGCTGTCGAACTACCTGGTTGAACATGGCTAACAAGTCATACAGTCCGCGCTGGCTCATTGAGCACGGTCACTACGACGCGGCGCATAAGTCATTGTATTGGCTGCGTGAAGGTAGTTTCACGGAGCTAGAGATCGATGCCGAGTTGATGCGCATCAAGGAGGACGTAGAGGTGCACCATACATCAAGAGAAGCAAACTGGCTGTCCTTGTTCAGAGATCGAGGCTTGTTCGAGCGCCTATGGCGCGCATCCCTGCTCCAATTCATGGCACAGATGTGCGGCGCTACAGCTATGAAATACTACTTGCCGACGCTTTTTGCAAAACTTGGCTTACCCACGAGAGTGACATTACTAGCTGGAGGTATCGAGTCGACACTAAAGATCGGCATGACGGTTATCGAGATGTTCCTCATCGACCACCTCGGCCGTAGGGTGACGCTGACTGCAGGTTGCGTTGCGATGGGGTTTAGCATGTTGGTGAGTCGATTATGAATTTGCTTGCGTTCCCTCGGCTCTCCTTTGATGATATACAGTTTACGGTATATGATTCATTAATGCTTTAACCCTAAGATCAATGGGGTGCTGGGACAGGTTTATCCGGACAACACGAATAAAGCCGCCGACGTGGTTTGTATTGTGTTCATCTTTGTTTACGCTCTTGGATATAGTATGGGTTTTGGCCCAGCAGCTTGGGTATACGGCTCCGAGGTACGATACCTATATTCAAGTGCCGTCCTGAATGAGCCATGGGAATTTTAACGTCAGATTCAGATATTCCCAACTTCTGTCCGAGCGCGTGGGCTTAACTTTTCCGCATCAGGCGGAGCTATTGGCTCCATTGTCGTAGCCCAAGTTTGGCCTGTTGGCATTGATACAATTGGCTCCAATATCTATTTCTTCTTTATGGCAGTCAACTTTGTCTGCATCCCTGTAAGTTCCTACGTCGCCAGTTCGTATATGAATTCATAAATCCTAACCTCCCGAATCAGATCATCATCCTCTTCTACCCCGAGACAAAGGGACGACCGTTGGAGGACATGGACCTGCTATTCAACAAGGCTATCAGGGGGGTCGGGGAAGACGTTGACGAACATTCCGAACCGGTGCTACCTAAGAATGTTGGCCGTCCATCGCAGAGCTGACGGTGTCATTGGAGGAACGCGCTCTGAATTAAGAGATCAGGGTAGGCTCTATCGTGACAGCGTTTATTCTCATTAGTTGACCTTATGGACAAAGAAATATGATACGAATAGGATCAACATCTGGATCTTTTGGAGGTTGTGGTAATAATCAGAGGCATCGTCGGATATAGGCAGACCCAGGTAGCTTACCATACATAACGAATTTTCCATTTATTTAACGAACAGATTGATGCTATGTGCTGTTCGATTATCGTTCTTTAGTCAGACCGTTACAAGCGATATGCAGAAAGGAGAAATAAATATCACATTTCGTTGGTATCTACCAGAACGCCTACCCAATGCTATTGCTATTATCCGTCGTGATCGTGATAGAGTGATCGGTTTAGATGGTCATTTGAATGATATCTCTCATTCGAGGCCCATCTGAGCCTCGTCTCCGATACCCCATTGCCCCTGGTCTTTGCCATGCCCCTGGATTTCCAACTCGAGCGCCGGTGTCAGGCGACCTTCGTCATCGTTAGAACGTAGGCTAGCGGCTTCGCTCGTTCTCCTAGATCGATGTGTGCCGCCTGTGGTCCGCCGACGTAACGGGGGGCCAGACATCCTGAGCCTAGCCGACTTGGACGAGGTGCTGAGGACCGAGACCGCGTCGTCTTCCTCCTTTGACGACCCATTCTTGTCCGGCTCCAGGCTCGTAGAGATTTCTGGATTGGAAGTAGAGAAAGTAGAGACATCGACCTTTTCCGAGCTGAGCGTCGGAGCGGGTCGTGGTCGAGCAGGCAACTCGGGAGGCGGGGGAGAAGAGGCGTTATCTGTGACCTCAACGAGTTCGGCGTCACGATACCATTTGCGGCGTCGTGTCCATCGACCCCACCCATCATTGCCTCGACGACCGTTCTGCCACTACTTGGTTGTCAGCAATACTAAAAACTTCACCAACCTAGGGGTTGCACAGAACACATGCCTTGTTGTCGTAGAAAACCCATCCATTCTTGCCCGCGTCGGTGTCATAATCGGCCTCATCAAGATCGGGCGCGCCGTCGACTCGCCATTTACTCTCTTCGACCCACCTCCACCTCGCATGTCCGTCCTCCACTTCCGGCAGCTCGAATTCGTCTTTCGGAGGAACAGGGTTGTTGTGCTCATCCGTCCAGGCGGCACGTTCGTACGCGAACAGGCTATTCGTCCACCCCAGACCTAGCCAGCGTCTTTGATTTTCGTATATGATGAAAGTAAAGCGCACGCCCGAATCCTTGGTCCCGGAGCGACCGCTACGCTTGAGGGCAGCTGTTAGGGCAGACGATGATACTTTCGCAGTCTCGTTGTGTTGCTTCGTCTTAGAACCTATGGCGATATTGGTCTGAATACCGTTGGCGCCGTCAAGCTTCGACTTGGCAGGTTCGTCGAACTGTAATCCCGTCACTAATCTCGCCAGCCTGCGCATCGTAGCACTCCGCCATAGGAGTGTCCGGGATACTCGGCAGACTCTCGAGTGCCACGTAAGGAGTAGGGTGCCAAATACCAAGACGACCCTCTTCGTAGTTATAATCCTCAGGGGCGGAAGCGTCAAGGCAACCCAAACGGGAGTAATTGCTAGTATTCGAACAAACAACGTGGTGAGCGCCGGCCTGGTGGTCGCGCTGGTCGCAGTCCGCTGAGTAGATAGGAAATCCGTCATCTCAAGCAACGGTTCGAGCAAGATATTGCACCTCGTCGTGAAGACCTTGACGGTATCTACGATCTCGTCCAACGTCTTCTGGTGCCTCGTGCTTGTTATCTCACTCGCATTACGCTGATGCTGACCGTTTGCGCCCCCTATAGCAGATGCGCCGGACGGTTTCTTGTCTTTGCCGCCAGCCATGCTCGGATGTTCGGCCCAGCCGCTACTAGACAGCGGACTGTACCGCCGTCCATACATGCCGCCTATAATGCCCATGACGACCGCGATGGGGCCGGCAAACTGTACGACGACGTCTCCATACTGCACGGTAGCCCAAAAGACCACTAGCAGCAAGAAGCTCTCCCACGGATCACCGGTAGTCCAGGTCAACAATCCCACGAGCTTGTTCAGGGGTAAGAGAAAAGGGTGGCTGTAAGCGAGGGCGCGGGTGATCTGGGGAGGTGTAGCGAGCAGCAGCGGGGACTTTTGGTGGACGAGGATAGTTGATCTTCGCTTGGCAGCCGAGGCGGCGGTGGAAAGGTTTGCGGGAGAGAAGGAGGCGTAGGTAGGAGGAGCGTAGGTTGGCGGAAGATCGGAAGGGGTAGCAAAACCGTAGCCATCGACGTCGCCGCGGGGAGCAGATTTCGGAGTCGACATGTGTGTCATCCAAGGTGTATCCTAAAGCGCGTAAAGGAGAAGAGCATGAGCATTAAGCAGGCATGAGGAGGGACCGAAACAGGAACAGAAACGGAACCGGAAATAGAAGTAGGAGTAGAAGTAGAAGTAGCAATAGAAACGACAGCAAGGGAGAAGGTAGAAGATAGGATTAGTCGGTCAATCTTTTAATCGTGATGCGTAAACATGTTTTGTTTCGTCTGCCTAGAGATTGCCTAGATGCGAAGCCGAAGGTGGAGTTGGAAAGAGGCTGAAGGGGTTTAAGGCTAAGAGCGTCGAGGATTACGCAGTTCGTAGAACTGGTATATTTGGTTTATTCATCCACCGGTCTGATGACGCCTTCATTAAACTTAAGACAACGGTGGAGGAATACGTATGCAAGCTGTACTTTATGTATGGGTGTGTATATGTTGCATATGAATGAGAATATGGATGAATGTATGAATGTTCGAATGTATGAATAATAAAAATATTAATGGATAACTTACCAGAGCAGCCATCAAGGGCCGTTAATTTAAGAAAAAAAAGTTGTCACTGCGCACGATGCGAACCGACCTTTTTTTACTTTTTCTTTTTCGTTTTCGTTTTCTTTTCTTTTTCTTTTCTTTTTCTCTGGCGGCGTTTGGTTATTGAATAATTCAATAATCCGAACACCGGTACTACTTACCTAGGTAGCTCTTGCTATTGCTTTTCGTCTTCTGAGCACGACGTCATTCGACAATGATGTATATATCTCAGTACGCGTACCGATCTACCTTATTTGGTATCGTACATGGAAACAGCTGCCTGCCATCGAATGTGATGTAGGTATCTATTGCAACGTGTCTACCCAGGTATGTTCCTTGGATAAAATAAATGATAAATAACAATGAAAATAATGAAAATGATAAAAACAACAAAAATAAAATGAAAGAAAAAATAATACACTTGGAGTTAGGTTATTTGGAATGCATCTTAAAGTCCAAATGTTCGAGCCTTCCACGGTTTCCGCGATTCAAACGTTTCCTTGTGATATTCATATGGGCTCCAGGGCTCTTACTAAGTTACCTGGCAGCCCTGGGTAGGTAGGCACTAGTTAGGTACCTATCATGTTTAGCTCCATTACCACCTCCGGATTAGCTCCATCTATCTAACCGCCCCGACTCGTCCATCGAAGCTGCGCTGGCTGCGTTACAATATGGACCTCAATGCGGGGGAGCAACGCTAAATTCTCCCCTCGGTACTGACATGGATCCAAGCTTCTGTTTTCACATGCATTGATTAATAATGTACCTAGGTATTTTATGTACGCTTTCACTTCCGTTGCCCCAAGATCTTACCCCCTATTGTCCAAACAGGCACCAGCAGATAGACACGAAGGTTTTCGCCCAGATAGTATTATACTAGTAGGTATCACTATTAGGCAGATCCAGAATAAATGCAAAAGCAAACGTTTATTGATTCTCAGTTAGACCTTAACTATTAAAATTCAACGCAAACTCATCGCGGAGCATTACTGAGAAAAGAACCCGGTAGTCCTGGTCCTATGCCTTTTTTTTTCCCCTCTGTCGGGGTTCAGTTGCCAATCACATGCAGACCCCTGGGATCTGCCAGCCCTTCACCGTTGGCCTCCCACCTATCCACATTCCTAGCCCTCAATATACCAGGCGTGGTTATGCTACACCTGGGACTAAAAGCATGCAATATCAGGCTTCACTGTCCGTAGCCATTTGACAAAACCACGAGCCTGGATCTTTCCGTTGCCCAACTTACTTCCTCTGCTCCGATCAAAGATAAGCCGAGATGATGAGCCGTTCTCGTGCCTCAACACAAAAACCGTATTTCCCTTAGAATCAGGGATGGTGTCCTTTTCTCTAGAGAACCCTACCATCTCCATGGGATTGATCGTGATGGCTACGGGACCCTGCCTAGTCGACACTGTCTTTCGGTCTGCGCTGTGGAAGAGTTGGACGCAATCTTCTTGTTCCTTCGTCCTCTCCCACGATACATCGCCGTTTTTATAGAAGGAGAGTTCGAAGTCTGCATCGGTAGGGCACGGTTCGGGCTTTGCGGCGCCGCTGACATGGCCGATGGCAGACGCAGCATTCTCCACGTCGACCAGTGGCTGAATAGATGAAGAAATCACGCCACCTTTAGGTAACGCATCTGTGGACTTTGCGTCACTCGCCCCCTCCTGACTGCGCCGTGCCGTCTCGTTCATTTCACTTGTCGCAGAAATAGTTGGCTTCGTGCTGTGATGGGTTTCATGCTCTGCAAACAAAGCATCGTTAACACCAACTCTGCTAAGGTCGTCATCGCGTGTTAGTCTGTTTCCGGTCGAGTCTTTGGTAGGTGACGCTTCAGAAACTTCTGCATTAACGATCTTAGAAGTTGTTGTCGGCGATATCTTTTCGCTCAATCGGCCTTGAGAGGCGGCGACAGCGTTCGCCGATGACAACTGAACCGGGACGTCTTCAATTGGTCCCGGCGTTGCCTTATGAGGATCATGTCTTATGCTCGGGCTTATGAATGTTCGGTTTTCCGATGTTCTGCTAGTAGGATTGTAGACTTCGTTCCTAAAATTAAGAGTCTCGGCGATAATTTGAGCCAGGTTGTTATCATTGATTGATGCTTGGTCAAGAGGTTGCTGGCTGTATGATCTCGACTTATCCGATTGATCAGGATCTTCTGGCACTTGGGGATTACACTCGGGCGACTGGGCAATGGCAGATACGGGAGTTATATGGAGATGAAAGTCTGTGGCAGATGAACATGCCTCTCTCGCAAGCTTGCGTGCTGAATCCATACCTTTGGTCGACGACACTGCATGGTCCTTCTCTTGTACTTCACGCGTCAGGTCAACTGAAGCCTTCGGTTCGTTAGTATTCTCCGTATTTCTCAGGCCGTAGAACGCCCAAGGACGGTTTGTGGTGTTATCGAGCTTTGCGACAGGCGGCGAGGACCGGTTCCAATCCTCTATCTCACAGTCAAGGGAAGCATCAATGTCGGAATCGGAGTGCGATGATGCTACGTAATCTTCATCGCCGGCTATTTCGCCCCCCTTTTCTCGCAACTCTTGCATCATCTTTTCCGTGACCGCCGAGTTTACTGACGGCGCATCCGACTCAGAAATCCAGTCGTCTGAATCGTTATCCTCTGCGTGATCGGTATGAGAGGCGGCGTTAGCGGACTCGGCCGGCGTAAGCGGCGAAACAGACGGGCGATGGGCTGTGAGAAATATTGTTAAAACGTGTGAGCAAGAAATTGAGAAGAGACAAGGCGAGTGAATTTCTTGACTAGCATCAAATTGAATGACTTACCACCAGTTCGCGCCATTTCCCGATCCTCCCACGTCTCGAAACCTTCTCTCTCGGCGATCCACCGACGCGCAGCGTTAAAAGGATGGTCAGGTTGGGCCGGTGCCTTGCGTTTATCTAGCGGAAACTTCATCAAGTCTCGAGCTGGGAACCATCCAACAGTCTGCGACTCATCAAAGAACATGACGGGGAATTTCCTGAACCTGACTTTGGGGCCACCGTCCTCGTATCCAGGCGCCCAACCGGTAATCTTACGGGAATCGTAAGTATAGCAATTCGGCGGCTTGGCTTTTTTCTTGAGGAGGCCGGTGGCGTTGAGGTCGCTATCCTTCAGACCACTTCCGTTCTGGCTATCCCACCCTAGAACCATGACCGGATAGATCCGATCCCGCTCTTTACCAAGGCCGTCGTCTTTCCAGCGTCCGTAATATATGTGGAAATCCTTCGGGTGCGTGATCCCATCCCCCGAGTCGGAGGACTTTTGACGAGCCGACGGCGTGCCTGACTCTCGACGTTCCTTAGCCGCGACTTTTTGGGCACTCGACGACATTTCCTGGGCCGGACCCGGTACCTGATTAGCCGCATGCGGTACCGAAGGCCTACTAGCTAATCCCCGACCTCCCAATTGCTTCTTCTTAGAGCCCGTTAAAGGATCACGCTGTTTCTTTAGTCGAGGTAAAGGTGGTTTATAACCATTCGCATAAGCTTCCTCCGCAACCTGGTTATTCAATTTTGCCAAATTCTCATCGCAGCCCGTTACCAGGTAACCGAGAGTCTTGACCGCATAATCTCGATTCCGATCCGTGCGGCCGTGGCCATTACCGTTCAGGTGTTTAGCAGCACCTTGGACCGAATTTCTCGTAAAGCGAAGACCGTGCTGCTCACACTTCAGGATATACCATTGCCGGCTGCCGGTCGGCCATTCGACAATAATGTCCTTGTGCTTCGCACGGCCGTCTTGATAGACTTCGTCGAAGGTGATTGTCCGTCTTGGCGAATGGGCGGGTTCGTTCGCGGGCGTAGGCGCAGGAGTGCGGACTTGGTTGACGGAAGTGTCAACGCGTAATCGCTTAGGGTGGGTTTCTTCGGGTGTGGACGCCTTGCGTTTTTTTGACTGGATACGCATTATTAGACGTCGTTCTCCACACATTGTTTCGCACTTGACAGTCCAGCTCAAGGGTCGGCGCAACCCAAATGGCAGCTTGAGATTTCGAGACGCAAAGGCATTTTCTGGCGTCGGTCGACGATGCCCCTCCAACCCGTCCAGACCAGTACTTACATTTTCAGACACCGAGACGTGATCACTCCGATCATCAGTCGACTCACTAAGGATTGGTAGAGAACCAGGCTTCGGAGCTGGCTGGTTCTTATTCACAAGGGCGGCCTTGAGCTTTTCTCGATAGAGCACTTCATGCTGAGCAAGCGCTTTCGTATGCTTGTCCTCGATAAGCCCGATTCGTTTCTTGTGACTGGCTTCAATCTCGCGCTTGTCATAGTTAAAACTCTTTTCGGCCATGGGCGAGATGATGTCCCTGTACAACTTTGACGGCACAACGGCCTTCAATTCTCGAAGGTTGCTCTCGTTGACCGAACGAAGTTCCTGCACCAACTTGTCGAACAACTCCTCTTGGAGGGCAAGATCCGACTCGTATTTGGCTACCATATCATCCTTCTCCGTAACCCAAACATGATGAAGATCGGGAGCGGCCGAAGGCTCCATCTTGTATTACACAAGATATTCCTTGGTCGTAGACATGCGAGCTTCGGTTAGGAGGAACGGATGTGGCAGATGTACAACCCAGCGAGCAAAGAAACCTTGAGTTGACCCTTAGTTAAGGAAGTATCAAGGAAGCTTTAAAGTCGATGGATCTACAAGGTGTCAGTAAGTACGGAAGTGAGTGCGGAAGGAGGGTCGAGTTAGTATGAGTCCCGTCAATAAGACTCTCGAGTAAGTATAAAAAAGTAATTCACGGTGAAGAAGAAAAAAATAATGTAGATAGGTAGTTTTTTGAAAGTACAAATAAGCAACTTACTACGAGATATGGATATGCTGAGGTTAGAGGAATATCTCAAGTCACGAGATGAGACGAGATCAGACGATGTACGCTTAGATGGCACAGAAAACGATTAAAGAAGCGAAATTCTTTACGACGAGCGTATTGATATGTGCCTAGATGTCGTTCAAAGAATCGAGAGTCGGCACGAACGTCAACGTTGTTCCACGTAGGAACTTGGTCGGTATTGGTTCATTGGTTGAGGTGAGGTTTGCATGTATTGCGCATGTGTTGAGATGGAGTGGTTGGATTAGGTGTCGATGGGATGTAGGTGTGAGAAAAGCATTTGAAGTTGTGATAAACGGAGAAGGATATTGAAGATACTAAAAGTAGATAGATATAAAGCAATACCTACCTACGTAAGTGCCGTATGGGATATTTATATGCATTTATGGCAACTCATGAAACGCTTCGTTTGTAGGGAAAGAGGAACAGGTATAGTTGAAGATGAGCAGGCGCCAGCGGGTAACTAGGTACATAAGGAAGGTAAGGTAAGGTAAATAAACGGTAAGTGCAATATTCCAAATGAAAATGATTGGATGCTAAGCTTTTAAAATGGGTAGATGGTTAAGAAGTAAGAGCGAATCAAATAATTATGGTATTGGAATATCAAATGATTTATGATAAAATGAGATAAATACTATAACATTAATCATTTTATGGTAATTATTTTAAGCATTGTTTCAGCCGTTGTCTTCAATACCTACTTAAAATGAACTTCGTCTTAAGGGAAGGGAAAAAAAAACACTAAATTTTCTCGAGCAACCTTATAAATGCATATTCTAAACGACTCTTATGTTTAAATGCATAGGACATAATATTGTCAGATTGACCAAAATAATCCTAGTTCTGCATAAGTCATAATTATTTCGAGTAGTCTAAGCTCAAGTTGCTTGCTTTGGCCGACTACTTTATTTTCCACGGGTCAACCATGATGCCATTAGCTTGACAATAAAAAGACCATCTTGTTGCATATATTCGAACTTATCCAAAACGAAGACACGATTTCGCTAACATCTTCGCAGATGTTTGCAATGTCCCAGTTAAGAATATGCTGCAATCTCAACTCAACTGAACTCCGGGAACTAGATAAGCTTTCCGGGCTTTATTACCGTGTTAGAACTCCGGAATTGGTGCGGCAAGAACTCGACAACACAAGCAAGCGAGGGCAGGATGAATAATGACATTCGTCGTGATTGTAACATTTTCCCAGCGTAGCGAAAATGAGAAGCCAATGAGAAATTTACATACACGGTTTAATTTAACAACTCATCAAAACCGCCTCATGTCTACCACAACAATCGAGGCCTCCGCCTTCAGCGCGGTATGATCGCTCCAAAACCATGTCACCAACAAAGGAAAAGCTGGAAAGGGTTTGTAAGCCCCGGATGTACTACATGCATCCGCGTTTCGTTAGACGGGTCGGTTAGGTGGCATGGTCGTCGCAACGGTCATCTTCATACACTCACAATGTTACCCCTTTTCGTCTTCGCCCCCAAGCCAAGGGTAGGGTTCGATACAGTCCCACGTTCGAGAGCATATGAATCTTCGTCGGACCGACAAATGCCAAACCTTTGATCGGACCGACAAAAGTGATACGAGAATGAAGTGTTAGGTAGGTCAAGCTTGTTGAATGTGTAGGATGCTTGAGTAGATAAAGTCAAAAACAACGTTGTAGTGTAAACAAACTGCCCGGTTTATTTCCGTGTAATATTTGGAACGTATCGATGACACGCGCTTCTATTACGCACCTGACGTTTGATGCACCACACTTGTTTTATCTCTCGTCATTCCTTTCGTTTTCTCGAATCTCTATACTAACGTCGTTCCTCGTGTTTCTATCCGTGGATATATAAATACGATTAACTATCAGTCTATTACATATCACGATCCACTAGAGAGCTTGCTAGTAGAAAACAATAAGTAATGTTTGCGAAATGTCTCGTCGGATCAGGACTCGACCAGTTTGAAAGAAGTGAATGTGTCGAATACTAATATTTAGCAAATTGTGTACTTATGCAGATAAAAAGAAAAGATTTTCGAATACGAGAACCCTAAGCAAATGCTATCGTTGCCCCTTTCACGTTGGGTGCATACTGCCAGAAGTTTCCTCCGTAAGAACTAATAGTTGAAGATCTCGCCGGGGTTAGCTAGTAGCCTAGAATGATCGGGAGTTGGTTTGTATAAAACCGTTTTGTTGGTAGCTAGCCTTTAGTTGTAGATAAAGGAAGGTTTATGTATATATACCGTATCCCCTGGAAAGGATTAGTTAAAGCCCTTCGCGTAATAACGTCGTTTTCCCCTAGCTTCTTGGTTCCGTCTTATAACATATACCACGACACGACGGACCTACCTAAGTATGCAACAGTTTTAACGTTGGCAACATTTATAGCGATGATATTAAGGGGTACATACCTAAGGTAATTTAGCAGTCTTTTTTAACCACGTCTTACAAAATTACAGCATTTCTTTTCTATTAACTACATACCGTCATACGTCGCTATACGCAACCCTCGGACGCCATCACATTGCGAAACTAGGGAGCGAGGAGCTCCAGGCTAGGTAGGTACTCTAGCCTGGGGAATATAGTATGCATAATAAATAAGTTTTTCGTTCACTATGTTTTAGCGTAGTCATTAACAGGTTTCCCAAAGCTGAAGTCCGATCCAGCTTAACTTTTACTCACCGCTCTCCAACAGACTAAACCTCTGGAATAAATAACGAGGTCGTTTTTGTGAACACGGTTAGTGTTGCAACACATCATAGGTAACTTAAACCGAGAAGTTCAGTTTTCATGATATCCAAGCAAGGAAAAGTCATAAATGGCACATATTTAAATACCTTCAAAAATACTTAGGTAGGTATACTATACATTTAGACTTATATTGGATGTATGGACCGTTATAAATGACTTGCTAGACGAAAACGAGTACCATTTAACATAAATATAAAGATATTAAGCATTTACATCTGCCCAAGTAATTTTATACGGGCCCATTTTATACATTTCCATCAATCTTCAAGGATTACCCGTTCTTACGCGGCGATATGCCTCATGTGCGTACTTGCTCATCTATTCTGATACTGGCCAAGAACTTGTCGGAGACAATGTGGTTTAAAGTGGAAGCTGGACATAACAGACTTCAATTACTTGCCGACACTGTAGGTAGGTAGGCACATAATTGACAACAGGTACGAGCCACCGAGCACAGGGCGATCGCATAAATCATTCACATCATTATCCTAATCTAAACAACTTCCAGCCTTGAATCTATTCTGTCATGATTACTAAGTTAGCTAGAGCAAATTTAGTTTATCTGTCTATTACGACGAGGTAGGTAACTGGTCGGTTGTTAGCCTAGTATCATTCACCAACAATCCATTAAAAGGGGCTGCCCTTCGATCCCCCCTTCGAAATGGATCGATCCTTTTCGTCTTGTCATGTCTTGGAGGATAACGCCGTCTGCAAGAAGCACAGGAGCTTCCTAATCCCTAATTTTAATCGGATCATGTCTTCTGAACTCGGGTGGGAATACTGTAGGTCTGTAGAAGCTCGACTCAGCATGGCGTGTAATATGCCCCTTATTCCTAGCGAACGGTAATGTACTCTTAACATTACGACGCAATTCAACTTGATATAATCACGAACGCAAATCCAGTATGTACGTATTAAGGCGCCTTATCTTTCCTTAGCCAGCCACCCAGTCTAAATCCACATAAACGCCGAACCGGATCTTCATCCTCGAATTCATTCATAGAACCGTCCACCGGCTATACCTAGCCTGAACCGACGCAACGATTTCACCAGAACGAGCACCAACCGATATAATGCTGACACAAGTTCTCCAACTTCGTCGCTTCCATGATTAGCTTATTCACTTGAGTCACCACGTCAAGCTCGTCGGTCGGCTTGAAGTCGCGGCCGGTCAGCTTCTGGTTTACGCGGTCTAGCACCTCAACGGCGCGCGCGTTCTGTATCTCGGCCATCTCGCCGTCTAGCACCTGACCCGCACCGTTGACTAGACTCGAGTTGGTGCGCGCCCTGGCTCGAGAACCGGGCGGGCCGCCGGGATGCGCAGAGTCGACGCCTGCAACGGCCTGCTGTGCCGCGAGGAACTCGGAAGGCGGGTGCTCCGCGTCCAGAATGCTCGGCCTGCGAGCCCGTTGCGCGCCGGCGCCGAGAGAAGACTCCCTATCGGACCGGAAATTGGGGCCAACGGGAGACGCAGCGTTCGTCAGGCGCCAGGTTAGCAGAGGATCGTGAATGAACTGTAATAACATCGCGTTAGTAATTATAAAGTCTTTAAATGCGTCAAGGAGGTCAACTTACGGCCTCAAGAACCGCCATCACACTTTCTTTATTTTCACGTAGCACGCGCATGACATGCTCACACGTGATTCGGAAGCTACCTTCGATGTTGCTGACTTCCATAGCATACGTCAGCATCCTAGTGAGACGGAAAGGAACCCTCTCCGGATATTTGTCTCGCTTCATGGCCACCTCGAAGCAGTCGCCAAAGTCGATGTGGATAATCTTGCCGGTGATACGGTCGAGCATCAAGTTGCTAGGATGCCTGTCCCCTAGGCCGAGGATATAACCCACCATGCTCATAACTCCCAAGCTGCGCGTGTAGTTCGTACGCCTCTCGAGCCAGGCCTCGGAGCTCTTGCTCTTCAGCCACAAGACGCGGTACAGGTCTTGACCGGTCGTGTTGTCCAGCGCATAACCGAACACCTCAACCTTCTGCATGAGCGTGAGGTTGTCGTAATCCGGCGCCATCTGCAGCATGATGCGATGCTCTATATTGAGGAGGATCTTGCGGCTCTCGCGGTATTCGCGGATCAGCACGTGCAGGGTATCGCTATTGGGCACCCAGCCGAGGAGACCGGAGTTTTGACTGAGCGGTATCGCCGGATATCGCTGGATACCGAGGTGGCGTTTGTAGCACTCGGAGTCGTTGGCGAGGAGGGTATTGCAGAGGCCAAACAGCTGCATGACGCGTTCGTCTTGTCGGATGTCCTCGTGTCCCTTTAGCAGGAAGGCGTACGAATTGCCGTCGCTCCCGTTCGTGTTCAACTTCCTAGGCCTCTGCTTGGAGTTGATCACGCTGAAGGTCGAGTCGAACGAGATGATGCGGACGATGGGGGCACCGCTCCGGTACGTTCCGGGCACGGCTAGGTCGAGGTCCTTGGCGGCCAACAACTTCGGGGAACAATACGCGAGTTCCAGCGACGACATCTGCGGAAGCTGTCTTCCTATTCGTCGGAATACCTGGTAGTAGAGGTCCCAGGCTTGGTTAAGATCGTTGACGTCGTGGCTGGTCTCGTATTGCCGGCACCATTCTCGCGCTTCCGTGAGGTCCCTGCCGAACGTCTGCGCGAAGCTGATCTCGCGCAGCGTCTCCGGGCCCCGCTCGAGCAGCTCATGCAAGGGTCCGAGAGTGGCGAACATACCTTCGATGTTATGGTCGCCGAAGTATAATCGAGAAGCTTCCTCGAGTCCCTCGTGCCAAAGCTCGTGCCACAGCACGGCGACCCGGATGAGCTCGTTGCTCACGGTGTCGGCCTGCTCGACGAGCTTAGCGCTGTGCGCGCGCATGCTATCCATGATCAGCGCGGCCGACTTCGACCTCCTGGAGCTCTGAGCAGACTTCATCGCCACGGTCAGCGGGTAAACCAAGGCCTGCGGATGATTTCGCCCGACGTCGGCGAGCAGGTTGTGGATAGACTGCCGCACTCGCGTGTTAGGCTGATTGATGCGCGCGATGAGCTGAGGGATCACCTCCAGCCACGTGTCGACGCTGACGGTTCCGAAGCCCTGAGTGACCGCCGCGTTGACTTCGCTGCTGCCGCCGTGGGCGAACCACAAAGTGAGGAGGCGTAGCGTATCTTGGAGGGAGCTTCCCGACGACAACGCGATGGACTTGAAAAAGCCCTGGACGGCGGGGACGACGTGATTGACGATGACGGACGGATCCGGTCTCGGGGCGTTCCTGTCGGCGGCGGGAATGAGGGCTTGGACGATCTCGAAGTTGGCCAAAGCCCACGCGTGCCAGGCCTTGTACCATCTGGGGTTGTAGTGGGTGGCCTTCGAGTAAGAAGTCAAGATGTCCTGGACGTTGCGGTGCTGCCAATCATGCTTGTTCAAAGATACCTGCCACTCCCCCTGCTTGAGGAAGCATTTCGCGAGGAGCACGGTCTGATCCTGGATCAGCTTCTGAGTTCTGGAACTGGGCACACCCGCGTCCATCCCGCTGTGGAAGCCGTAGTCGCCCGTCGGGTCCGGGCCGCTGGGCGCGGTCTGGATCGAGGCTCGGGCCATCTCGAGGGCCTGCGCGGAGTCGGCGGTGAATTTTCGGAGGCAGAAGAGCGTCTTCTCGGGGTGGCCGGTCTGACGCAAGTTAGGCTGCTGCCCGTATTCCCAGTAAAATTTAAGCACCGCGTATACTACTTGAGGCGGGATCCTCGTCGCCGGGCCTTGCTGGGGCGGGCCGCTCTCGCTCCAATACGGGATTATCGTATCGAGGGGATGATCGGTGCCGATGAGCTGCTTGAGGGACTTCTCGGCCAGGCCCATCCTCCCCGACTTCCGACACAAGTTCGCGAACTTGATCCACATGTGCATGTTCTCGGCCGGGGTGATGACGAGGCCGCGCAGCCTCAGCATACGCTGCCATACCTCGACGTTCCTCTGGCACCCTTTCAGACGACTCTCCCACGTGCGGCGCATCGTTGCCCTCTTCGGGTCCTTGGCCTGCTTGTAAACGATGATCTCCTCGAGCTCCGCAAGCATCTGCACCCGGACGATGACCTGGTACGCGCGATTGTAGGACTCGCTCACGAGGGCGCTAAGTTCGGTATCGAGACCTTCCCGCGTGGCTTGGATGCACTGGGCAGCTTCCTGGAAGTGGTTGCGATGGAGCGCCAGTATCGCGCCGAAGAACGAACGGTCCGGAGAGTTCCGCTTCATGGATTGCAGATAGTTGTCCATGGAATCCCACTTGCCCAGACCCCACGCGGCCGCGGTCGCGAGCGGCGCGATACGCCGCTGGATCTCCGGCGCCGAATTGGCCCAAGTATTGCTCGTCAAGCTCGCCAGGGCATCCCACTCGCCGAGGGCGTGCAGGCAGCGCATCTTGCCCATGACGATATCCAGAGGGATCGCCTGGTCTCGCGGCATCTCCGACTCCCTCTTGTTGTAGAACGCCAACGCTTCCTCCCACCGCTCCAACTTCTCGAACCACGTCTCTCGTAGCTGGATGCCGTCTTTGTAGAGCTGCGCCTTGCGGAGGATGCCGATGGCGGCGTCGTACTGCTGGAGCTGGTTGTTTATGACGATCAAGGCTTCGACGGCCGGCCCGCTCTGGTCCTGCAGGAACTCCAACTCCTTATAGTGGAGAGCTTTCGCGTACGCGTGGCAACGGCCGGCCTCCCTGCCGAGGACCCTAATATCGATAGGCAAGGCCTTGTCGTCGTGCTCCATAAACTCGGCGAGGTTCAACAGGAGTCCGAGCAGGTCCGGCGGCACGTTCTCGGAGCGGATGGCGTTTTCGATGTTCTGGATGAGCTCGTCCTGGAACTGCTCGTAGAGCTCGCTCCAGCACGAGACGAAAGCGGAGTTGAACAGCTCGCGGGCCAGCGGCAGATGCACGCTGCCGAGGATGGCGCACGCGCGGAGGGCGTGGTTGGGCGACTCGGTCAGGAGGGTGGTGCTGAACCGCCGAAGCCACTCCTGCCAGTCCTCCTTGGTGGACTTCCCCTTGGTATCCCAGGCCGCCTTCAGGTGGATCGCGTTCATCTCCAGCTTCTTGTTGCCGAGGTCGGCGAACGACGGCTCGTCCAGCTGGTCGACGAAGCGCGTCTCCGAGCTCAGGTCCTGCGGCAGGGCCTCGCCCTTCTGCAGCTTGCTAACCAGGAGCTCGTAGTTCTGATGCTGGATCTGGCCGGCCTGGAGAACCTTGGTGACGGTGCCCATGAAGTGCAGGTAGTCCCTGCCGAGCTGCTGAATCAGGGCGCAGAGGGTGTCCAGCGCCGCCATCCGCAAGGACGACTCTCCGCTGGCGAGGATCCTGGTCAAGGGGTGGATGATCTTGGCGGCGTAGTCGTTGAGGTTGACCTGGCGGGAAATCTTGCCGACGGTCTCGATAGCCGACTTCCGCAGGAACGTGGGCTGGCCCTGCTTCTCAAACGTCCGCACGATCACGGGGATGATGAGGTGCATGTACTCCTCGCTGCTAGAGCCGAAGACCAGGAAGGCGTGGAGGACCTTCTCGGAGGGAATCCGCTTGGTAGTCGCGTCCTTCTCCAAGACCCCGAGCATGGCGGGCAGCAGGCTCGCCAAGTAGATCTTGAACTCCCCTTCCAGCGACCTCGAGATGGCCTCGATCAGGGACAAGATCGTGGCTTGGAGAGACGGGGCCATCTCCCAGTACGGGGGGAGCGACTCGATGATCTGCGGCAGGTAGTTCCTGATATGCTGGCGAACGATGCTCACCAGCGTGGCCAGCTGGTTGAAGTACGACTCGAGGCGGCTCGTGGGGCAATCCTTAATCACGTCCAAGAAGGCCGGTATGATGCGGTCCAGGAACGAGACGCACTCCAGACCCAGCGTGCGGAAGATGTTCATGATGGCCTCGATCACCGCGGCGTGGTGCGGCGCGAGGGAATGGTCCTTCAGTATGTTCAGGAGGGCGTTGATCACTACGGTAGGGTAGTACTCCTTGTTCGAGGGAGTGAGTCCTGTCATCATCAGCGATATATCGGTCATCCGGTTCGTCTCGACGCGCCGCTTGGCGTCAGGGGCGCGCTCTTCGACTTGCTGCGGGTCATCCTTGTTAGCGTTCTCTTCTGACGATCGGTGTTTCTTTTGCTTCTTTTTCTCGGATTTCTTCGGAGGCTTGTAGGAAGGTCTCGCGAGCGGCTTCATGAGAACCCTCTTGTCTATCACGCGCTCCGGGTCGAAATCTTCATCCGAGCTGAGGGGACTTCCATCCTCATCCGCGGGGCTCCCCCACCCGTAGGCACGCTGCCACGCGTCTTCGTGATGGGGATCCTGTAGGGGATTCTGTACCTGATGCCTGTAGGGATCTAGCGCTCCTAATATTCCCATCAGCTTGATCGTCTCCTGCCGCAGGGCACCGCGCTGGGGCTCGGCGCGGATGATGTGCTGGAGGAGGTCGAGGAGTTCGGGGTATTCGAGGTAAGGGTCTATGACGTATCCGGAGTTGCTGGCGAGCTGGCCCAGCGTGTGCAAGGCGGCCTCGCGCTTGAGGCTGGACGCGTGGTCCTTCAACGCCCTGATGATGATCGGCATGAGCTTGTCCTTGTACGGGAGCATATCCTCGCCGCCGACCGTCGCGAGCTCGCCGATCGCCTTGAGGACGGTGGCCGCGACGGCGTGATTGGAATCGTCGGCCTTCGGCAGGAGCACCGAGATCATCGGCTCGACGTACGGCTTGACCAAGAGCCCGGCGTTCTGAACGAGGTGGCTGAGGAGCCTGGCGCTCTCCTCCTTGTTGCGCGGGGCGTCGGAGAACTCAAGCTCAGTAAGCATCTGTATCAAAGTCTTCCGGAGCGAGGGGATGACGTAGGCCGGGTTGTACCGCGCTAGACGACCTATGATAGAAATCGATACTTCCCTTATGTCAAACACCTCGTCGTTGAGCGCGAAGAAGAGGGTCCGGATGTTCTCCGCCTTGGCGAGGTGAGGGTCGAAGCGCTCGTCGAGAGCCGCGAGGACCGTCTGTCGTATGGTCGGTTCCGGGTCGGACACGCCTACGGTTAGCAATTTCTCGATGACGTCGCCGACGACCTGCAACGCGTGGTAGCTCGTCTGGTTCACGATGGGATCTCGCACGTAGAGCTGGCAGCACGTGAGGGCCGCCGCCTCGCGGATCTCGGGGTCGTCGTCTTCCACGTACTTGATGGCGACGTCGCGGACGAACTCGTTCAGTATGTGGCCTTCACGCAACGTTAGCACCTAGCACCCGCGATTCGCAGCGCCGCGCCGCGCCGGCCTCGGCAAGAGACGGAGTCAAGATACAGGGACGAAGGAAAAGGAAAAGGAAAAGGAAAAGGGGGAGGGGGACCCGAAGCACAGGGGGTACCCGAGAACTTACCTGAGAAGTCGAAGCTCCCCAACGTGTTCAGCGCCAGCTTCACCTCGGCTTTCCGGTGCTCGTACGCCTGCGGGTCCTTGGCGTCCCTCGGTATGATGGGGACGGCCGAGAGCGTGTTCGGGGTGGGAGCTCCGAGGGGCTTGAAGGGCTCTCCGCAGAGGACCTTGCTGAGCATGTCGAGGAGCCTCTCCTGGATGGTGGCCTTCACCGGCGGTATGTAGAAAGCCATGTCGACCAAGGCCTGAGTCAGCTTGGGAGTGAGCTCGCACGCGAAGATGGGATCCAGCAGGGCTTCCATGTATTTGCTGAGCGTCTGGCCGACCGCGACCGCAAGCCTGCTGATGCAGTCGAAGACCGGGTCGACGGAGCCCCGCTTCCGAGACTGGAGGCTGAGGCCTTCCCGGACGTAGATGAGAACGCTGTCGAGGTACGGCGCGATAGCGCTCTTGACGGCGTTGGCGACGTTTCCGATGGCGAAGAAAGCGTCGTTGCGCTCCTTGTCCTTCTTGAGCATGCCGGAGAGGTAGACCATGAAGCGGTGGAGGTAGGTGTGCGCGAACTCGGTCGGGTTGTAGTTCGCCAGGTCGGGGATCAGCAGGACGACGGTCTTGCGAATCGTCACGTCGCGATGATCCTTGTGGGTGAAGACTATCTCGCAGGCGTTCTGGTAATGATCCTGCATGTACATGCCGCCTTGTTCGAGGAGCTCCTTGAGCACCAGCAACGACGCGTGGACGTACTCGACGGTGCCCGTCCTGAGACCGGCCTGGGCCTCGTTATACATCTTGGTCATCCACGCCTGCTTCATCTCCTGATCTCGCTCGCGGATGATCATGAAACAGGCGCTGACGGTCTCGGCGGAGGTCGCGCGGATAAGCTGGCGCGGATCGCGGAGACCGACCCACACGAGGTCGAAGACGAGGCCGACGTAAGCGTACATCAGCGTAGGCGCGTTCCGGGCGAGCTCGCGGAGGACCAGGACGGCGCTATATCTCTTCTCCTCCACCCTGTCCGACTGAAGCCACTCGAGAGCGGTCTTGACCTCGGATTCGACCAGCTCCGATATCAGCGACCCTCCGGGCTGGCACAGCTTGCCGAGAGCGACGGCAGCGGGTTGCATAGGAACGATATCCTTCCCTCTCAGGATCGCCTTCAGATTCGCGGTGAATCGGGTATATTTGGCGGTAACATCGACACCCTCGACATCGACGAGGGCGTCGAGGGCATAGACACCGCCCAGCCGCTCGGAAGAATCGTTGCCATGGAGCATCAACGTAGTGATCTTATTATTTACGGAATTGTAGAATATGTGAAACTGCTCGGGTGGGAAATCTGCACGAAGACGTCGTTAGCCGCGTGCTTGGGGGATAGCGGGAAGGAGAATTCCCGGTGTCGTATCGCAGGGATATCAGACACAGCAAAGAACATCGTACGTACCTCTCTGACAAACATCTACTAGCTCCCTCAGCTGGAGAGCAGCTCGTTTCCGGACTTCGTCTCCCGCCCTACTCAGATAGTAATGGTTAGTCGGAGGACAGCGCTCGGCCGAAGGGGTGGGGGGAGAGGTCGCACCTCGATTTCAGATCCCTCGTGATGGCATCGAGGGTCTCGAGAGCCAGCTGCTGCTGCTGCGCCATGACGGGCAGCAAGGGGATACGGCGTCGGCCTTACTATCCCTCATCCGCGTCGTGGACAGCTTCAGGATCCGACCGCAAACAGATTCATCAAGAGCAGACTTGACGACACCGCGACATCAGATCGCGAGAAATAGAGGGGTCGACGAGTCCCGCGGAAAGAAGATCGAAAGCGATAAAGTAAAATAAAAAAACGGTAGAAGTAAGGTAGAACGGGAGAAAGCTTCGCGATAGTTTGAAGCAGAAGCGGTAAGAAGGTTGTTTGTCGAGGCGCGCAATACAGAAGTTCTGTATTTTTTTTTGGTTCGATAATAATCTGAGCTCGTGACGGGAGAAGAGAAGGGTAGCTCGAAATGGTAAGTAACTTGTCAACTAGGGTAACCGTAAGTTGATTAGTATATTACCATAGACAGCGTAGTCTGGTGTGTTATAGGAAATCCCTTGTCACCGTGAATGGAATAGACGGTCGCGGGTTATGGACGTAAAGTCTATGCACTGTCTGAATGTTGAGTGGTGTTAAAATCCAATCGTCTATGACGGAGGGTCTTAGGAAACAGCTGAGAGGTTAAATTCACAGCAAGTCTAGCGGGTATCACAGTTTATCCTTCCAGCACTCTCCAACATAAACTGTGCTTTAGCTCGGTGTAACTTGCGTAGTACATAGGTATCTGCAGCCTCCTTATAGGTGCACAGTACAAGGTAGGCCTGCACGCGGCACCTACATAGTATCTAGGCACTTTCCACCGAAACTTCAGCTTTCAAGAAGCTTTATCTTATCGATAGCGCTAAATCGCGGGTTGTGGATTCCCTCCTTTCAAGGTTCAAACGGTCAACTAGCTGGATGCAACGCCACTAGCAGATTAGACTTCAAGTCAGATCTTAGCATCGCAATTGTCACTTCCACAACCAACGACCAGCGACCAACTTCCAGTTCTTATTTCTCCACCATTCGAATCAGCTAATCAACTTCTCCTTCTCAACAACGTCGTATCTCAATCTATTTGTGACGAGCTTCTGCCAAGTCAATTGATCTTAGTACTACGAGGTAGTCGACACCATACGATCTTTCTAAAACCGTACCAACCACAACCTAACCGGCTCTTACATCAACTACTAGGTGCGCATCTTCGCCATGGGAAACGACGGCGGCTCGATCCCCAAGCGTCGCGAGCTCGTGCGAGAAGCCGCGCGGCTACCTACCGCTTCCGAACTGAAGGCGACGGCTCTCGAGTCTCTGACGCACGCCTGGACGACGTGTCCGTTGTCCGACGCGCCACTCGACCTCTCTAACACCGTGTCCGACTGGCGGGGGCGACTCTACAACTACGAGTCGGTTCTGCAATGTCTGATGCCCTCGTCTTCCGAGACCGCCATACCCGAAGCCCAAGAGGCCGAGTTCGCGCGCACGGGGATCAAGAGTTTGAAGGACGTCGTGAAACTCAACATCACCACGAGAAAAGACGAGAAGGGGCGCCAGTTCGCCGCCTGCCCGGTCAGCATGAAGGAATTAGGCGCCGCGACTAAAGGCGTATACGTCGTGCCGTGCGGCCACGTCTTCGCCGAGGTCGCCATGAAGGAGATCTCCGGCACCGAAAAGCAGTGCCCGGAATGCAGCGCAACATTCGAAGAGCGGGACGTCATACCCATCTTATCAACGGACGAGGCCGAGTTAGAAAAGCTAGCCAAGAGAGTCGACGAATTAAAAACGTTAGGCTTGGCGCATAATCTCAAGAAAGAGAAGGCCGCGGGCAAGAAGAAGCGGAAGGCCGGCGAGGAAAAAGAGAAAGGACCCAACGGCGAGCCGGAAAAGGGGAAGGAGAGCAACAAGACGAGCAAGGGCAAGGAGGACAAGAAAGATATCTCTAGCCGGATAAACAACCCTATGACGGCGTCTCTCACGGCCAAGGTGTTGGCAGAGCAAGAGGAGAGGTCTAAACGGAGAAAGGTAATAGACGGGTATAAGAAAAGCGAGGCCGTGAGATGATTAGGTTAGAAAGATACGAACCAAGCGCAACTTGTCTCATCACGTAGCACGTAACGAATGATACCACTATCTCGAATATTGCTATTGCTCTTCAGGATCAGGCCAACGTACTCTCGTACCCCCTAACACAGTTCCCTCATGTTCCGAAGCACCCCTTTCGACAATTAGGAAGGTCAATGACCAGGCAGGGAAGGATAAGATAGAATTTCCGGGAAAGTTGTCATACCATATGTCATAAACAGCGTGATTCTACGTCTAGATTGCTAGCCCCTCTACCAACGCCATCGTTACAACTCATCCTTGACGTGTCCGGGCTCGACGACTTCCTCGCAGACCGCGGGCGTGCCGACCTCCATCTTGTAGACGCACTTCTCCAGTTCGCTAACACGCCACAGCTCCTCCGTCTCGGCGCAGGCAAGCCAGACATCCGTCTTCCGGTTCGGGCCGTTCCAGCAGCCCTGCCCATTCTCGTACCTCAGCACCATACGCTTCCCTCGCCCGAGCCCCTTGCCGTCGTGGCGCTCCTCCTCGTCCGCCTCGTCGAAGTCGAAGCGGTCGAAGTTGCCCATATTGGTCTTGCCTCCGCCTTTTTTGCTCTTCTGGCTCGTCTTATCCAACCAGCACAGCTCGTACTCGTACTCGCCGGCTTCGGTCGTGACACACTTTCCTTTGAGATATCGGAAGATGTCGTCCTTGCCGTACTCCTTCTCCAAATCGCGCTGCTGCTCCTCGAGGGTCCGCCTCTTGGAATTAACCTCGTCGGCGACGGAGTCGTGAGCTTCCCGCGCGGCCCTGACGAGACGCGACTCGCTCTTCTCAGAGCCGGAGTCGGCCAAGACGCCATTCTCGATCAGCCAGATTCGGAGAAGGTTGATCTTGGAGTGCAGGAACTCGCGGAGGGGCCCGGGGAGATACGCCTCGAAACTGTACACTGCGATCAAGTTAGTCCTACGCGCACCCACGGCGACCCGGGCATCTTCGGAGACCTACGAATATCCGTGTCGGAAGGCTCATCTTCTTCGAACTCCTTCCAATTGATGCCGGACTCCTCGCTGTCCTCCTTCGCGACGTCAAGAATATCCGCCTCGCTGAGCTGTTCCTCGGCTTCCCCCGCCTTCTTAGCAGCGTAGTCTTCCCAACCTCTAACAGCCTTCTTGACACCCTCGTCGTTGAAGTTGGGATTATATTCTTCCTTGAACGCCGCCAAAATGCCTTCCAGCTCTTCGACCCTGCTTCTCAGCCGACGACGCTCGTCCACGACCTTGCTCAGGGCATTACGCAGCTCGTCGACCCTCGCCTTGGCCAGCCCGGCGAGCACGCCAAGCTTGCCGGGCCCCTCGCTCTTGACTACCTTGAACCGTTCTTGGCGTTCGACTTCGTCGAGCTTCGCCTTCAACTCGTCTCTCTTGACTTCGAGCTCCTTGATCTCGTCAGCGAGGCTGGTAATCTTAGCCTCGACACGGCGACGAAGTTCCTTAGACTCCTTCGCCATGGTCCTCCGGCGCTTGTTCGCCCGCTCGAGGTTGTCTTTCCGCTCCTGCTCCACCCGCCTCCATTCCTTGCCGATCTCGGCACACCTATTCTCGCACTTGACGCCCCCCACGCCCCCGTACTCCTCGCTGCCGTCGCAGCAAAGGTCGTAGTCGCAGACGCCGTCGTTCACGTACATGAAAGGCACGTAGGAGCCGACGTGACCCTCGTTGGCGCACCAAAAGCCCGGAAGAGCATTTGCGGTGTTCGTAGTGCCGGAAAGGGAACCCGGCAGGGGCTGCTCCGGAGATAGGCGGTCTAGAAGAGCACAAGCGGCAGTGCCAGGCTCGTCGGTGCCGTCAGGGCAGTCGCACGTGTTGTCGTTGACCCGGGACGCGGGGATAGTTATAGAAGGGTGACCTATACAGGTGAAAGTGTCCTTGATCTCGTAGAATTTGACGACTAGATCGAGCCAATTGGTTAGTGCTGGAGATCGTCACAAGGTATTTTTGTAGACGGAGTAGCCACGATTAGGAATTGTTTGCGGAGGAGCATTTCTTGGAGGATTAGCCATAGGAGAAGACTAACATTCAGGACCGACGCCTCGAGGTAGAGAACCAGCTGCGGATATCCCATGACGACTTAGGATGCCCAAAAGCACCAAAGCCTGAGGTTGGCGCATCTTTATACAGGTAGAGAAGGAGAAGGGATATTCATGGATATGGCATGGAATCGAATCGGGAATTACGATGTGAAAAACAACATGGAATTAATGGAGAAGTCCAAAAAGTTAACACGAAAGCATCTCCAGATCCCAGACCCCACTAACAGCAAGCTAGCAAGCTTGGCAACACCGATCAACGTAGCTCCCTTACCGCATGTTAGCGCTAAACGTACCAGGCAAGGCCTGTCGAGTTATCCAGACACCAGCCACATACCCACATATGCATTAGCAAAACAACTGCGAGGTACATGCAAAGCTTACTCGAACATTGAATTGCTTAAGTGCTCTAACCGCTAACATCGAAACTTTAAGCTCTGTATATAAATATTGAATAAATATTTTTTCCTAACTTCACCTTTCTAGTTTATCAACGCATAAGTTAACTATAGAATACATAATAAATAACAAGATGTTCGATCTCAGATGATTAGGATTATGAACGACACAAAGCAAGATTACACAATTACCTGTGAATATTCAAGTAGGTGATCAAAAATGATTTTAGAACAAGCAGCAACTTGGGGTTTTATCCTTGGGCCAATAACGGTTTGAAAGTGGTCGATTACGTGTATGCCTAGCATCTTTCAGCTCTGCTTAGAAAGAAGCAAACGTTGAGTGGAAGGCAACAGACATTCACTGAAGATCAAGTGGTTGAGGAATACAACATCCAGAAAGGGAAAATGACAGAAAAAATGACAGCTCTAAAACGGACACCTGCGCCCGTCAACCCAAATATCATATGCTCGATTCCAGAGTTTACGTATTAGACATTACGACGTCTCTTATTCACTTCTCACATCACTCAGTTAGGCATGCACACATCTGACAAAGGCTAAAGACTGTAACTTTAGGGAACGTCAATAGCAAACGCCGTTCCGTCACTAGATTTCCAATGTTTCAGCGAGAAAATTTAAGGTAACTTGGGGCAAATACATCAACGACAAGTATCAGCAACGAACACTCGTGGCTCAGTATGCTGTTCAACCTCGTTTGCTTCGAATGTTCTGGCTCCAATAAAGTCGGGCGAACCACACAAGAATAGCTGGATTCGGCCTATGCATTTCTAGACAGAAATTAGGCACCTCTGTTTGCATCCTCGGTATGGGATGGAGGCTACATGCTTCTACTAAAGGCTGCCTTGTTGACTTAGTCACAGCACGATGAAATACGATCGTCTAGCCCGATCTCAATACCATATAAGAACCTATACCCTTTATATTATATCAGGACAGTGTAGGAATTCTAAGCCTCTTCGTTTCATAACTGACACTGGTACTTTGGTCAAATTATCGCGAATCTTCTCCCATACGTGGTACCTTTCTCGGTATTATTATGGATTTTTTTGACTCAAGAAGTATGTTACAGACTATGGCTGACCACAGTGCTAAACTCGAGACAGCCCTTTATCCCCCATCTATTTCATCCCCTTCTATTAGAGGAGGATCAATACAGTAAGTATACTTCACGGCAAGGTATATTCACGTTTAAACGGCTGATAAGATGTGGTGTTAGGAATATGGATGGCAGCTCTGAAAAATCCGGGAGCAAAGGCGGACAGAACGGAGGTGGAAGCTCCAAATTAGCACACAAAATGCATGCGAGCCTACATAATCAGATCTCACTTCTCAGGAGACTTCCGGAGAATGACGACCTTGATGAGATAATGACAGCTCCCCTGTTTACCTATCCGGTACTCAGAAATGCTGCGAGTCTAGCTACCGACGCCTCCAAGACTCCATTCGCCCAATACGCACTCCTCGCCGGGGACGCGGACATAATGCGAGACGTTCCTAAAGCGGACCCGCACATATTTTACAACGTGACCACGCCGTCGAGCATGTTCATCTGCGGTAGCCAGGGGTCGGGCAAGAGTCACAGCCTATCCTGCATGCTCGAGAATTGTCTGCTCCCCGCTCCATTACTTGGGAATCTCCCGAAACCCCTGACCGGCATCGTATTCCACTACGACACATTCATTTCTGATTCCGGGGGCATACCTTGCGAAGCGGCATATCTCTCCACGGACCCTCGCGTCAAGGTCCGCGTCTTGTGCCCACCAACAAACGTTACCACCATAAAGGTATGTTGAAGTACTCTTCACGGTCGAAAACTACACTTAACAACGTTATAGGATACATACAGCTGCCTTAAGAATGTGAGGGTTGAGGAGTTACGGCTTAAGGAGTCATATCTCAACACCAAACGTATGTTAGAACTCATGGCATTTGGCGACGGACACCAGCCTCTCTATATGCACGTCATCCAGAGAATCCTAAGAGACATGCGAATCGCACAACAGCAAACCAGGTCCGGCTTCAAGTACAACGACTTCGTAAGAGCGCTACAAGACGAGAAATTAATGCCCGATCAGATGCGACCTCTACAGCAACGCCTGGACACTCTAGAAAGCTTCATGGTTCCGGAACAAATTGGTCCTGGAGCGCAAATGTTCCCTGCTAATTCTAAAGCTCAGAAGCGTGCGAATAAGAAAGCAACGTCTGGTGGCACGAATTGGACTCCTCAGGTAAGTGTATGGTTGCAATTCCAGGTCTCTTCGCCTACCTGGGTACACCTGTTGGCGTTTGTTAATATGCCTAAACTAACTCTTCTCAGTCGGGGGAACTTATCATCGTCGATCTCTCATGTCCATGCATCACGCCGAGCATGGCGTGTTCACTATTCAACATATGCCTCGCAATATTCCTGGAGCAGAAAACCCCGCTGGGGCGAGTCATCGCCCTAGATGAAGCGCACAAATACATGGGCGAGACGGTCGAATGCGAGACCCTCACGAACAACCTGCTGTCGGTAATTCGCCTTCAGCGTCACCTCGGCGCTCGCGTTATCATTTCGACCCAGGAGCCGACCATATCACCAAAGCTGCTCGATCTCTGCAGCATCACCGTCGTGCACCGATTCACCTCACCGGATTGGCTGAAGATGCTCACGAAACATCTCGCGGGGATTTCTATGGCGTCGAAAATGGAAAGAAGGGGCGAGGACGGCAACCAAGACGCAGGGTGGGGGATCGGAACCGACAGCGCCAGCGGCCTACATGATTTAGTGGCCTCGTCGAGCGATCCTATCATCGAGCTCTTTTCTCACATTGTCAGGCTCAAGACCGGCGAGGCGCTGGTGTTTGCTCCCGGCGCGATGATCGACTTTGAGAAACAGAATTCTCAGACGGAGAAGATTAAGAGCACACGACTGGCTCATCGCATCATGCGCGTCGTGATCAGAGCTCGCATTACCATGGACGGAGGTAGGAGTATTATGGCTACTTAGGTATTTAGATGATTCGGGGATCATGTCAGTCGTCTGGTGTAAGATAGGGGTTACCGTTTTACGACATTTGTTTTCTCCGACTATTAAAAGCTACTGGGTACCTACTGTCGGCGCTCTTGTGATGATGGTTGATAACTTGATTACTTGTTAATTGGATTCAAGATCGGGTTATAAAATTCGAGGCCTCGAATATTGTAAAACTCGCTTGTCAAGGTGTATTGAAATTTTAAGGGTAATAAAGTATTCCCGTACATGGTCAAGAGGGTCGATCTGATAGCCACAACATGGAAACTAAAATTCCTCTGATGGACTGCTCGTTAAATGTATTATGGAGGTTTTCCTTTCTTTCTCTTTCCGTTTCTCCACGAAAACCTCTAGGTAATTAACTTGCATGCCGTGATAATAATAAGCTTCTATGAGGGGCTATCGAAACCATGCAAATAAAATATAGTCAACTACCTAGGTACCGAGGAGTTGGGGAGGATAAAAGTGTCATGCATCGTGTAATAGGACTCGATTTGTAAGGAGAGCAAGCGAGGAAGAAACCTGCAGAGGATAAGGTGCAGATCAGCACTTAGGCAAAGATTTAGGATGTACTCTTTTCTAATATCAATCGCTCATCCCTACCTATATAAGACTAGATTATATCAAGGACATAAGCCCAAGAGGGTTCAGATAGAGGACCAAGAAAGCTAAATCACTGCCATACACCCCCCTGCCTCCTCTCACAGAACGTTGGGACGGGCAGTTACACCCCCTTTGGCAATGGACGAAGATTCTGCCTAAACCATGGAGGCGTATAGGAGACCGATAAAGAAGGATGAGTTTATTAGAACTGGACGAGTGGAATATTATAATATGTACTTAGTCTAAATTACAAAAAGTCGAGTTTGGTCTATCCATCTAGGTATAGATGATTGTATGTCCCCTTCTAGAGTCCCTCGAAGATTAGCTTCATTATAGCTCCTTAAACATTAGAAAATTGCAACACGGACAAGACATCAAATGAAGTCAAACAGATTCTCGAGTTTCTGGGACTTCATCGGATTTCCGGGTCTGACCTGCTTGCTCTCTGGCACGAGCCTTCAAACTGCGCCATTCCACAAAAACGCTTCCGAAGATAGTCAGCCCAGCTGTAGCTACCATCATGTAGAACACGTCGACGAGGGCAGAATTATAGTCAAGCAGAAGCGTCGCGAGATCGTTCCCAGATGCAAGGTTCCTCAACTCGGTGGCACCGCCATCCGTCACAGAAGCCGGACTGATACCGGGGAGATTGGTCAGTTTCGAAACGAGGCTGTTGAGAAAGATGTTTTGCCCAACGGGTAGAAATATCGCAGATCCAAGAAAGCGCGTAAACATAACCACCGCGGACCCGGTAGCGATATCCGGCCTCTCTAGGACGGTCTGAACAACATTTAACGGCTGCTGGGCACCAAAGCCGAGACCGAACCCGAACACAACCTGATAACCGATCCACTTGGGATGACCTGTAGTCGGCGTGAAGGTCGTCAAAAGGCCCGCCCCGATAGGCATGAGAATCGAGCTGAGGTAAAAGAACGGCGTGTAGTAGCCGAGCTTAGAAATGACCACGCCGGAAGACAGAGAACCGACAACCACAGAGAGTATCAGGGGAAGAAGCATAATTCCGGACTGGACGGCGTTGACGTCTTTTATGGCCTGGAACCAGATCGGAAGATAGTACGTCAAGACCATCATGCCGGCGCCGTGGAAGAACCCGAACCAGATAGAAGCCGCGACGCTGCGCTGCTTCACGATGCGAGGAGGAACGGTCGCCTCTTCTTTCTTCCAAACTTGAATGCCCACGAAGACGAGGCAGAGAACGCCGCAGAGGACCAGAAGCGCGATAATTCGGGCGCTCCTCCACGGGTACACGGTTCCTCCCCATTGAAGAGCAAGGACTAGGCATATAATACCCGGGAAAAACGCAAGGTTGCCGATAGGGTCGAGCTGTTTCAGCTTCGCGAACCATCCTTCGGCCGGCGCGTCAAGCTTCTGGTTAGGTATGTGCAATATCAGCGCCGTGACCAGGATCGATACGGCGCCGACGGGAAGATTGATGTAGAAACACCATCTCCAGGTCACCTTTTCGGTAAAACTGCCTCCGATAAGAGGTCCGACTACAGACCCGATGGCGAAGACCGCGCCGAAGATGCCTTGGTAGATCGGCCGCTGCTGCAACGGAATGGTATGAAACATGATGACCATCAACCCAGAGAATAAGCCGGACGCGCCCAAGCCTTGGATGGCGCGGCCGACGATGAAAGCCGTCGAGTTAGGAGCCGAGCCGCAGACCGCGGAGCCGACCTCGAAGATAAAACAGCAAGCTAAGAAGAGAGGCTTGGCAGGATAGAATTTAAAGACCTTGCCCATGACAAGCTGAAAGCTACACATGGTTAACAGATAGGCCGTGCCATACCAGCCGACGTCGCCCAACGAGTGAAATTCGTCAGTGATGCGCGGGATCGCCGTCGAGATGATATTCTGGTCCTGCAGGTTGCACCGAGCTTAGCTATCGTACAGCGATTCTGGAAGAGAATATGGAAGAGTTAGTTCCCTTCAAATAGGAGGCTGACATACCAGAGTCACCAAGAAAGAAGCCAGATAGAGCGCCGCCATAATCACGACTCTCTTTTTGTTGCTAGGATATGTGGCGTGATCCGCCTTGACGTCCGTCCCCTGAGCACCCTCGGCAGGCCGACCCTCCGCGAGCTTCTCATCACCATCTGACGGAGAGTTAGATACTGTCATATTGAAGGAAAAGAGATAGGTATGATAGGTAGATAGAGAAAGTTTGCACGAAATTTCTACAGCTCATAGCCAAGTTTATATAGAATACCTATATATATTTATATAAAAATATACGAAGGATGCCTAATTTTCTCACATCATTTCCGGGATCGACACGCAACGCCGAGATCAGGGGTTAGGGTGGGCGAGACTCATGGCGCTTCTCGGAGCTCAAAAGTTGGGTTTTATCCGAACCCCGAAAGGAAGATCCACTTGCTACGCCACCGAGGCCTCGGGCGTCCTCCGATCTTATTTCCATCGCGACTTTTATGAGTTCGATGTGATTTCAGAGATCGACCTTAGGGATGAAATAAATCCGGATATGTCTCATTCGCCGGCAAGTCAGAATCAGCCCAGTCTAGAAGACGGGTTGAAAAGCTACTCCTGCTTGATCTGCAGGCAGCGGAAGGTCAAATGCGACCGGCGCGCCCCGTGCTCCAACTGCGTCAAGGCAGAGAAGCAATGCAGCTTCGTGCCTCCCGTACGCGGGAAACGCAAACGCACAAAGCCTCGCAGGGAGGGAATTCACGCTAAGCTGAAGCGGTACGAAGAGTTGTTGAAGTCGTACGGCGCGAACATCGAGCCGTCCGAAGAGTTCGACGATTCCGATACCGACACGGTCTCGCAGCCCGATCTCGAAACAGGTAAGGGCGCCGAGACCCGAAGCCAAGCCCGGAGCGATCCGTTCGGGCTCCAAGAGACCAAACCTCGACTCATCACGGAGGAGGGGACGTCAACTTACTTCGAAAGGTACGTCCGTCGTCGGCGTCTCATCTTACGTCGTGTCTAAATGTCGTATCGAATTTTCTCAGCGCTCCCTGGTCCAACTTAGGCGACGAAGTACGTATCCTACCTCTACTCACGAATCTTCCTCGCGCAATCTGCTTTCTGACCCCCCGACGTAGTACCATCACCCCGAAGTTGGACAAGTCGGCGCCTTAGGCGATACGATGGATGAGTTAACTACCAACGAAAGCGGGATGTTTCTCGATCCCGAATACGGAAACAAGTTCGCAAACTTGGCGGAGCTCCATCCCCCGTCTCAGATATTGCTGAAATTGAAAGAAATCTACCTCGAACGAGCCGACCCATTAATGAAGGTCTTGCATTTCCCTACATTCTGGTCCGCGTTGACGGACGGGCTGCGAAATCCGCGAGACATGCCCAAAAGCCTAGAGGCGCTGGCGTTCGCCTTCTACTTCGCAGCCGTCACCGCCCTCAAGGGCGAAGAGTGCCAGAACTTGTTCGGGGCGTCCCAGCCCGCCACGCATTCTCGTTATAGGTCGGCAACTCGCCAGGCCTTGGTGAAGGCGGGGTTCTTGTCGACTTCTAGTCCCACTACCCTCCAAGCATACGCAATCTTCCTGGTAAGCCGCAACCGCAGAGGCGTCTCTCGCATCCGACCCCGATCTGACAGAAAAGATGTGCGTGAGAAATAGCTATCGCTGCGATACCCTTTTCGTGCTGACAGGAGTGGCGGTACGCCTCGGGCGTAAGATGGGACTCCACCGAGACGGCACGTCTCTCGGGCTGTCGCCGTTCGAGACGGAGATGAGGAGAAGAATCTGGTGTCAGCTCGTCCACATGGACTTTCGCACGGCCGACGTAATGGGCGCGCGACCGTCGCTGGACCTCTTGTGCGGCGATACCAAACCGCCCCTGAACGTCGACGACGACGACCTCTACCCGGATATGGCGGATCCCCCACCCGAGCGCGACGGCATCACCCCGACCACGCTCGGCGTGATGAGATGCGACATCCTGGATACCCTACGCAAGTTTCCGGCGTCGTGTCCCGGCGACGTGCGGTGGGAGGTGCTCTCCAACCCGAGCGTCCCGTTCGCCAAGAAGGAGAGCATCATAAACGAGATCGAGGATAGGTGGGAGAGGAGATTCATGCGCTACTGCGACCCTGCCAAGCCGTTCCACACCTACGTATCCGTCTCGATCAGGTCCTCGATATGCAGGCTGAGGATATTCGCCCACAACCCGCGACAGTTCGCCAACAGCCCCGCCAAAGCTTCCGAAAGGGAGCGCCGGGTCGTATACGCAAACGCGAACAAGCTGCTAGAGTACACGATACTGGTACAGAAAGGGTCCCACGGCCTAGACACGTACAGGTGGCTATTCGGCTCGGGCTTTCTCTGGAACACCATGCTTTACGTGCTCGTCGAAATGCGACACCGCAAGACGGGGCCCGAAGTCGACAGATCGTGGCAGCTGATCGGCTCCCTATTCTCTCACTACCCCATCGTGTTCGAAAAGTTCACGGGAGCCGTGTCGGCCGCGCTAGGGAGGTGGACGCTGTACGTCTGGGACGGATACGTCGCCGCATCCAAAGAAGAAGGCCTCCCCGAGCCGGCGACGCCACGATACATCGAAGCCATCCGCCGCTGCCGAAGGCCCTCGGAGCCCCCGGCCAGAGCCGGAGACCCGGTCGCAGATACCGGATCCGCCGCTCAAGATCCACTCGGCTGGGGCGAAAACCCACTCCGCAGATACGACGCGAATATGTCCGGTTTCGAATCTTTGGAGCCGTACCAGGCTTCCGAACTCTTTTCCTTCGACATGGACCCGAACGAATGGGTGCAGTGGGAACAATTGCTCGCAGAATAGAACGGCTTCAGATAGGTCGATCATGTGACATTTTCCGCTTAATACTTTGCATGCCGAAATTTCGAAGGTTATTATAGGATTCAACTTGTTAGATAAGATTATTATTAATTTCAAAGGAAGAAATATACCCTTAAATCTATTTTTTTGTATACATTTTTATACAAGTGCCATGCCCACGCCGCGGTTGAGTCTCGCGGGAGCCGCGGGCGCATAATACGTTACATTCGGCGACGACCTAGTCTACGGCTACGGTCTAACTAAACCCTTCGACAATAGATAGGAGAGAGCTCCGAAGTCGTGTAACGGGAAACCTCCGGACGTGCTGAAACACCGCGGGATCAGGGACCTGGGGTTGGAGAAGGGGCCGAGGAGTTCCTACGGCCTAGGGGACTCTTATCTCTCAGCTCTAAGGAGGGATGAAGACTTGAGTTGATGCTGGTTGCACTCGTTGGTTTTTCTTCCCTATTATCGACTTTCTTAACAAGGAGGTTTGGCTGGCGGGATGTCTAATCTTTGAAGGTGTCTAGTGGAGTATAGCACAGTTAAAGGGAAGGATGTGGGCTACCGTTGATATAGCCCCCCGGAAATATGGCTGACTCGTATATATTGGTTTCTGGATTGGCCAGGCAGACTTTCGCACGCCCTTTGCCCCTCGGGAAGCTGGGAACATACGTCCCCCTCGGCGTTGAATAAATAAAGAAGCAGCTGCACGATGGCCTCTCGCCCGTGCTCGTCGGCATATCATAGCAGCGTTTTACCATGTTTGTCTCTCGCATCGGATTCAATATCGCTTCGTGTTAGCATCCGAACTACAGCTTCTCGCCCACATTCGGACGCAGGCGAAACAAGCGTCCGTCGGTTACCATCTCTCAAGTAGTCTAGGGCATCACTTCTGGCGAAAAACATATCATCAACTCACGTCCTTGCCTAACAGCGTGTAAAATCGGTGTCAGCCCATTCCTATCCGTCGAGTCATAACTTGTACTATCAATTTCTTCTAGATAGATTTAACGATCCTTCCAGCCCTTAATCTCGCTCTGCTGGATAGTATATTTGGAATGATGTCCAGTCACAGAAGTAACGTCAATGATGAAATACGTCACTTCTCCATCCTCGTCCTTCCCCTCGTATATCGGAGATCTTCCACTGCAACCCCGCTCCGCGGCAGCATCGTAGCCGTCCTGGGGATTTCCATTCGAATCGACGGCGGCTGATTTGCGGCTTCCTATGACGGGATCGGTATACCCCTGACCAAAGTGTTAGCACTTCTCTGTGGTATAGGTGGGCGAGAGCCGTTGATCATACAAGAGAGAAGCGAAAGACAGTGTTATCATCCAAGATGACCTTCCAGGAATTACCGCCCGATACCCCAGCGAACCCCGTCTTCTTACAGACGGAGAAAGTTCCCGCTGAGAACTTGGCAATCTTCTGCGGGGGCGCTTGATAGTACGTGCCGGAATCCCAGTATTCCCGGTCGTACACGATGTCGAACTGCGTTTCGTTTAGGACCGTGCAATGCATCCAGTGGTCCTTGCTTTGGAGGGTGTCGTCACCGCTGTCCAGAGCTACGACCAGCTAGAGGTAAGGAACCGAAATTGGTCAGAACATAGACTGTAGATCCTGTCGTAGGGGAGGGATTTACCTGGCCAACACCCACTGCGAGCGCGGCCGCTGTAAGTATGACACCGGCGACGGCAACTGTTTGCGCCATGATGGCGGAAGCTTGAATAAATGTCACGGGTAAGTGGCTAGGTGCTCAATTGAAGACAGCCTAGAAGTCAAGGAACATTTTATCCAAGAAAAGGAGCCTTTCACGAATTTCCAGGGCCCAAAAAACACCATCTGTCTTACTTATAGCTAATGGGTAGATAAATGGGCAGATGGAGATTGCCTACTCAAACTCCCAAAAGAGCCTACCTGAAGCAGAGCTCGGAGGTCTGTTTGCCGGAAAGAATCCGCTTGGTTTCATACTTGGAAGTTTGTGAATAGGAATAGTGGATGTCAATCAGCGACCATCTGCATATCTTTTCAAAGGAAGGATGCAGCTGAAATGCACTTCCAGATGCAACGTTATTGGTGGAACCAGATGGCTCGTGGCAAGCTACATTGCATTCTATCCAATGATTCCCATTATTGATGAGGGATGGTGACCCGATTCAGAAAGCTCTACAAAATGGAAAAGGCTAGAAAGAATTGACAACGCATTCGTCGTGCATGTGCCTCTTATCTCACCTGTTGACGCCTTAAGCGATAGTCTCATGGTCTACTGGCCAGGAGGCGCCCAAGTAAAGGGAGCTGAAGTAGAAGCCGCCGACATCGTGGCTGAGCCAGTCATTCTAGCCTTGCCTTCCGGACTATCACAGCGGACCTGTACTTGACTCGACAAGTGCTGTCAAGTCCGAGTCCCTACAAAGCTGAATAGAAAATCGGGGTGCGGCAAGGGTGTGCTAGTATCGATAGCGTGCCAGGACCGAACCCTACGTATAGCCATATATAAGGCTGGAGGGGATGTAGAAGTTCCGCGAGAGATCCTTAAGTGCTCTTCAAGTACTCTCCCCTGCGTCTCTTTGCGTACTGCAACTCGTACCATGCCTGGAGATCTCAACCAAGCTGTATACCTCAAAGGGCTTCCAGACGGCCTTGACTTCACAGTCACTGCCATCACCCCTTCCATTCCCGACAAGAGCGGGTGGTCGGCCGGGTACGACCATGTCGATCACGGTTCAATTACTGTCAACGATGCTGTGCGTTACTGTCCCCTCAAGATTTATGCTCCTCAAACCTAACTTACACGTTCCAGGGTACATGGGACTACCTTCGCCTTCCCTTTAAACTCCTTCCCAACGATAGGGATGGCTTATTAGGCCATTTCAAGCTGCGTCCCAACAGCGGTCTTTACTGTACCGGCCCCGGTGGAAAGGTCGACGTTACTTTCACAATCGAAGGTACCACGACAGTCGCTGGCAAATCCTACACTATTCCGAAGAAGACAGGATACATCTCGGTCTCTTCCAGCGATTGGTGCGGGTTAGCGCGTCCGGACGTTTCCAACGTCACGTACTCCGTGGCTGGAGTTACTCCCGTCAACCTTTCTGTGACGGTCCAGCCGAACATCGGGCTTGATCCCGACGACGCATACATAGTCGGTGGCATCGACAAGGAGAAGAACAACTTTGGACTCAACGCGACCACACATTCTGACACGCTTAAGACCGTTCTCAGCTACGCTATCAAAGGAATTCTTTGGGGCAACGAGAGACTTGCTGGTTGGGCGGTTTTCGAAATAGTTTTATAGGGAAGTTGATTTACAATTGAACATGCAGTTTAATCGGACCGCGATTGAACAGCAGTTGAACTGCTGGCTAAACTGCGAACGCACTGCGATTGAACCTATAGTTTAATTGAACCTGGATTGAACCGTGGTTGACCTAGCTGACTAATTGAGCTGCTATTGAACCTGTATTGAACCTGATTTTGGACTAGGGAGGATTTTAGACTTCAAGGGATTTCAGACAAGAAGGGATCTTAGACTAGAAGGGATCTTAGACTAGAAGAGATTCTAGACTAGGAGAGATTCTAGACTAGGGGAGATTTTAGACTTCAACAGATTTTAGACTGGAGGAGATTTTAGACTAGAAGGGACCTTAGTATGGACCTGATTTTAGACTAGAAGAGATTTCAAATTAGAGGTCATTTTGATTTAAAAGTTAGTTTAGATTTAAGGCTCTTTTGGACTAGGGGAGATTTTAGACTTGAGGAGATTTTGGACTACAAGGGATTTAAGACTAGAGGAGATTTCGGCCAGGACCTGATTTTGGACTAGACCTGACTTTAGATTATAGGGCATTTTGGACTAGAACTGATCTTAGAATAGACCTGATTTTAGACAAGAAGCGATCCTAGACTAAGGGCCATTTTAGACTGGAAGGGATTTTAGACTAGAAGGGATCTTAGATTAGAAGGGATCCTAGATTAGAAGGGATCCTAGACTAGAAGGGATCTTACAATGGACTAAATCTTCAAAAGGACCTGCAGTCCAATTGACCTGCGATTGATCTACAGTTGATCCAGTAGTCTAATTGAACTGCAACTGACCTGCTGACTAATTGAACCTGTATTGAACAGCTGTTGAACCTGTAGTCGAATTAAACCTGGATTGAACTGCAGTTGAAACAACAGTCTAATTGACCTGCGATTGACCTGCGATTAGACTGTAGTTGATCTACAGTTGAACCTGCAGTTTAATCGAACCGAGATTGAACAGCAATTGAAACAATAGTCTAATTGATGTTGTAATGAACCTTTAATCTAATTAAACCTGTCTTGAATCTACAGTCTAATTAACCTGCTATTGATTTGTAAGGACCAAACTTAAAAGCAGTGGCATTAAAGCCGGGAGAGCGGGGCTGACGTAAGCAAGGATACAACTAATCAAAGCAAGGGAAGAAAATAACGTCGAATCAACCGTAAAACAGCGGTTAAAGCGCTATATTCCAGGGCATGGATTAAAATAAAAAAGTTTATTATTTATTTTAATTATTAAAAAATAAATTAAATATATATAAAATATATAAAAATTAAAATAAAATATATTAAATAATACGATATATTATAAATTTATTTATATAATATAATTAATATAAATAAAAATATAAATATTAATATAATATTAAATATTTATTAAATTTAATTTAAATAAATAAAATATATAAATAAAATAATAAAATAATAAAATAATAAAATAATAAAATAATAAAATAATAAAATAATAAAATAATAAAATAATAAAATAATAAAATAATAAAATTATAATAATAATATAATAAAATAATATAAATAAAATAAATAAAATAAATAATAATATTAAAAAAATAAAAAAAATAAAAAAATATTATTATAATTTATTTAATAAATAAATACATTTTATATAAAATATATTTATATTATATAAAATATTTTAAATTAAAATAAATTTTAAATAAAAATTATTAATATAAATAAATAATATATATAATTATTTTATTTAATTTAATAAAGTTATTAAAATTTTATTTATATAAAAATATTATATTTAATATATATATAATAAATATTAAATATAAAATAAATAAAATATAAAATATTTTAAATATTAAAAACATTATATATAATATTATAAAAAATAAAAATAATATAAAAATAAATAATTTATTATAAAAAGTATTTATATTACGTTTTAAATATAAAATTTAATGAAATATTTTAAATATTTAATAAATAAAATATATAATTTAAAGTTATTAAAATTTTATTTTTAATATAATTAAAAAATTATTTAATATTTTAAATAAAATAAAATAATATAAAATATTTAAAAGAAAATATTAATTTTTAATTTAAATAATATTAAATTATAAAAAATAATAATTTAAACCATATAAATTAAATAATATATTAATATAGAGCAATGCTAGCCGCGCAGTATGATGTTGCTTATCTCCGCCGCGCAGTGCCGCTAAGAATCGCGCTAGCGTTCGAACGGTGTGTAGAACACCCTCTAACGCTGTATTTAAGTTCAATCAATTATTTCTCGCTCAATACTAATTCAAATATCTTGCAATTACAATAATTCAAAAATGCTCAGTCTACTCTATATACAGCTCCATTTGCAGGACGTAAAACGGGCGTCTGAAAGAGATATTGGACGTTGAAAAGATCGGTCGGATTGAAGCATTTCCAACACTTGCGACCGCGATCTAAGTACTCCTCCAACTTCAACTTTGAATATCTTTGCAAGGCTTATCTTTTAGGTCCTGCAACTAGGACTGTATATAGAATGGATTGAGCGCTTTTATTATATTATAATTATTGGAAATTTGAACCAAGATTCAGTGAGGAATAATTGATTGAAGTTGATTGAAAACAAGTTGTGTGTCGGTGTTGCAAAGGTACATTCAATTATATGACGGTTTGTATGGGAGCAAAGGTACCTGATCTATACCTCTTTCGGATGCGCTTTTTTAGCGCTACTGCGCGGCGGAGATAAGCAACATCATACTGCGCGGCTAGCATTGCTCTTAATATAAAGGAAAAAAAAAATTATTTACGATGAAATTATAACGTATTTAACGTAAAAACATTATATAATTATTAATTAAATTTAATAATAAAATGTTTCCCGTTAATATCGTTATTAACATATAAACGGGAAATATAATAATTAATGCGTTAATAAATAATATTATTAATTTAATTAAAATAAGTTTAAACCGTAATAATAACGCGTTTAATAATAAATAAACCATTAAAATAAATAAAAAGAAAATATATTAAAATAATAAAAATATAATTAAAACATTATTTTAATAAATAATAAAAATAAATAAAATTATTAAATAAATTATTTAATAAATAAATATATAATTTAATAATAATTAATTATCGGATAAAAAAACAGCAACGCTTTATAATTAAAAAATATTAAGAAAATATTTTTTTAATAAAAATTAATTTTTTAAAAAAAATAAAAACCGAAATAAATATTATATATTTCTTTTTAAAATTAATTTTATTATAAATTAATATTATTTTAATTTAAAAATTATAAGTAAATATAATTATTAATTATAATAACGTTATTATTTATAATTAAATATTTATTTTAATAATTTTAATTAAAAAAATAAAAAAATGATAATTAAAAATATTTAAACGAAATTTAAATTTATAATATATAATATTAAAAAAATAATAAAAATAATAAATAAAGTTTTAAAATTATAAGAAATTATAATTATAAAATAATTATAAAACGGTAATATTATATTTACGTTTCGTAAAAAAATAAAATAATATAAAAAAAAAATTTAAATTAATAAAACTTTTAATAATTAAATATTTAATTTTAATAAAATTAAATAATTATATTATAATTATTAAAATATTTCGATAATTATTTTTTAATGTAAGCGCATTAATTAAATGATTTATATAATTTTAATTTTAATATTTTAATAATTATTTTTTTCGATAATTATTTTTAATTAAATAATTATATTATAATTATTAAAATGTTTTAATAATTATTTTTAATTTTTATTTAAATTAAAGCTTAAATAATTATATTATGATTATTAAAGCACTTTAATAACCATTTTTTAATATAAACGCATTAATTACATGGTCCGTATAACTTTAATTTTAATACCTCGATAATTATTTTTTTTAATAATTATTTTTACCTTATAATTTACCTTAAAGCCTTATAACTTACTTTAAGTTATTTTAAGGTTATTTAAGCTTAAAATAAAAAAAATCTTAAAATTATTTAAGGTTAATTTAAAGTAACTTTAAAGTTAAAGTTACGAAAAAAAAAAATTTTAAAAAATTTTATTTTTTTTATTTTTAAAACGTTTAAAAATATTAAATTTATACGTTTATATAATAATAAATAACTTTATAAATTTTAATCTTATCATAATGTAACCAAGGTTATTATATAATTTAATTATTTATATAAACGTTAATATAAAATATATATATATATAATTAATATTTATAAAGTTATTAACATTAAAAAAAAAAGGTTTTATAAGAAAAAAAATATTAAATTTTCTACGTATAAACCACTTTTTTTTTATAATAAATCAAGTAAATTATAAATAAAATAATACTTTCACAAGCCGTAACTTCCGAAAAAAAAATAAGAAAAATAAGCCGTGAATTTTATTTAATAACAAATTAATTCTTTTATTTTTTAAATTTTAATTAATATTTTTATTAACTTTTTTTATTATAATACACGGGTTTAAAAATAAATAAAAGTATAAAATATAATAAAAATGCATTGGGTAAACACCGGTTAAAAAAATAAATAAAATTTCCCGGCAATAAGGTAAAAAAAATGGATAAACTTTAAATAAAAAATATATACCTTTATCTAAAAAAAAAAAGCCGGGATAACTTAAATAAATATCGGAAAATAAAAATAAAAAAAATATATAATAAAAATTTATAAGGATAAATTTTAAAAATTATATATATTAAATAATAATATAATACATAATATTTAATAAAGCATTTATTAAATAAAATTACGGAATACATTTATAAAATATTTTATATAATATATTAATAAAATATAATTTTATTATAAGTTTAAATAATATATTTATTTATTTAATTTAAAAAGTTTTTTTATAAAATTAACATATTAAAATTATATTAAAGTTAAAATATTTATAAATAAAAAAATAAATAATAAATATAAAATATATTTTTATTATTATTATAATAAAATAATTTTATTAAATATTATTTATAATTATTTTTTACGGTTATAATTTAAAATAAATCATTTATAAAATATTATATAAAATAATAATAATTTTTAAATAAATATAATATTTATTAATAAAAATTTTAAAATATATTTATATAATAAAACCATTATATTTATATAATAAAATTATTATTATTAAATAATAATTTATATTAATATTATTATTAAATAATAATTTATATTAATATTATTATTATAATAATAATTTATACGTTTTAAAATTATAATTTAAAGAAAAAATATAAAGTAAATTTAATTAATTTTTTTATAAAATAATATTAAAAAAATATTTAAAATAATTTTTATAGATTTGTTTTTTTAGATAATATTTAAAATAATTATAAAATAATTCTTTTAAATTAAACTTTAATATATTATTTAAGTAAAAGTAAATTATTTCCTAGAATTTTTTAATTTTAT